CATGAAGAACTTAATTAATGAGTTGTATCACACAATTGAATGAACACGATAATGAGCTATATAAACATGAGGAATGAGAGTTATTAAGCAATAAGACTTAAAATAAATAGTTTATCTTGTTTTAAATTGTTTCATCAAAATTTTATTTTCATAGTATAATTGTTGAAATTTAGGTTAATCATGCCAAAATGAATATGATTTAAAATTTAAACTGATTATATGGAGAGAGAATACTTTGAATTAGGAGAAATAAGATTTAAGATAATTAAAAAAAAAAGAAGTAAAACAACACTTGCTAGTTGGGAGAGTGAGCAACACCTTCCCTTTTGGTTCACATTGCAAGATGGACCATGGTACATGATATAATTTGCCAACGTTCATTACCCCCTATAACAGTCTTCAGTAGCCTCTAATAACATTACAACAGTTATAACATCATTTGTATATCCTCAAGTAAGACATGTGTCACCGCCATTCTGCTGCACCACCAGAGTTTCTATTATAAACGGACGTCGAATTTACTTGATCAAATAAAATTTTCCAAATCTGTTCCTTATAAACTCCACACACGATAACATTCGTAATAATGCAAGTTCTAAGAAGAGGGACGAGGACGATTAACGTTAGAGCGAACCCGGGGTTTGATCAGTCTTCTTTACAAATAAAAATAAATGCAATTATAATAATATTTTTCAACGTCTGAACTAGGTATGCAGGCGCCGAGAAATCTCCAAATATTTTCTGTTAATTTAAATAAATACTCCAAACCTTTGAGTTAGTACATAACAGGTATATATCACTCAAGATTAGTTTCACAGTAGTACCTTTTCATGAAACCATTAATCAACTAGTAATTTCGTGGACTTGACTGTATTTGAAGTATTGCGTGGACTTGACTAGTAATTTGGATCCAATTTATCCACACAATGACATTATCAATATTAATAGTAGTAGTATTATTTATGAACAAGTGATTCACCTGAATTTCGTGACAAAACCATGGATTGGCTACGAACCTTTAAAAGCTAAAACACGGTTTCTTTAACGTGCAAAAAGACCACCATTTGAAGAAAGATCAATAACGTATAAATATTTCTACGTCTTCAAGTTAGAGACCAACATATAATGCTAAACATTGAACTTCCCGACTTGTTTCCTAGAACACATAGGATCAAAAGCACATTACATATAACTGAGTAAATCATCCAAGTTAAAGTAATCTGTACGTATCGACTGTATGGATTGATGAATGCAACTAATTAATTACGAATTGTTAATAGTATAAATTATCAACCAATGTAAGTGTCGGATTTTTTTTATCCATGTATCAAGGCACTTTTAACGTAAACTACATGCATGGTCAAAGGGGCAAATGTGCAGATGCATCTTTTTTCCTTCTTCATTTTTTTTTTTTTTTTTTTTTGTTGGTTTGGATCGTAGTCTACATTATATATTTAACGACGACTCGGATGTTGCTTTCCTTGTCCAAGGTTTCAAAGTACATATAACTTACTAATTTTACTCGGAATATTTATTATGATCACGGTGATGTTATTAAGACGACGTCATCCCGGCAGCATCATCTGTATGATGTAAACCTTAATTGTTTTTTAGTCATTTAACTAATTTTTACTCGGCAGTTTCATTTAAATGTTTGTTGTGACTTATGATTATATGCTGTCATTACCGTTGGATAGATTATATGCTGTCATTACCGTTGGATTTTCTTAATCTCCTTTATCTCTATTCTACATTTTGTTTAAGTTGAACGGTTAAGATTAGTATATTAGCAAGTCTTCGTCATTTTTATCTCACGGCGCCGGGATTAACCGTCGAAATTCTCCCAAATATCCCATACGCGATCGTCAATAATAATTGAATGTTGTTGGAATTTGGAAATGCATGTATCCTAATTTCTACATTGCAGAAACTCAAATCCTATGCATATTTATCATTTTAAAATTGATTCTTCACTTATACATTATACATAAAAAAAAAAGAGGGCCAATGCCTGCTAAATTTTATAGTATTCCATACCAATAACTTTTCACATCTTAATACTCATTTTGTTTTGAAATGATTATTTAATTTAGATTTTTTACTTTCGATACAGTATGAAAATGTTTATCTAATTTTAAATTTTTACTTTTAGTATTGTCATAAAATAATCGTTTAGTTTAAGTTTTCACTTCGATATAAATTGTACTAAAAAGAGAAAAATCCATACTAGACAATCATTTTAAAACGAATGAAGTACTTCAAGTACAAATTCTAACCAATTTTTAAGAATTAAATTTAAAATTTTGTCTGTCTCTAAATGATAATCCGATTCAAAATTTTCAAGTATAAAATTATATCAAAAGTGAAAATTCACAAAATTCAAAACTAAAAATTTATCAATATAGGATTATATCCATTTCGTGATATATATGATCGACTTCCCCTTATCCCTCCTTCCTATATACGGAGTACGATGTTTGTTGAACAAACAAACGATTGAGGTAAGCCATATGACGACGCCAATTGCATAGGGCAATAGTTTATAGCATGTTTGAGTTGTTAGAAATTACCTAAACCAAGTCAACAAATTAACAAACCCACACCCTTTTCCAAAAAGGTTCTAAGCGCAGAACAATACATATTCAAAGGCCCGTAATACAGTAATAAATTGTTGTTCTGTCCCATTGAGTTTTTATATATGTACTAAAACTAATACAAATCTCAAAATTACTGTGAATTTTTTTTTTTTGGACAAAGATAATACTAATACAATAGTATAATTTTACAAAATTTAAAGTTTAAACCGATTTTAAAGTGACTCACATAAGTCCATTAGCATTCAAACCAACTGGAATGACTAATTTGCTATTCTGCTTAGCAAATATGGGCTAACGGGACAAAATGATTAGTTAAAATAAAATTTGTAATCTCCACATCTGAAATCCCGCATTAATTCCAGCCGCTGGGGGAAAAAAACCATGAATTAATATGATAGAAACGTTCCAAGGTTTTCAGTCAAATCCAGAGGCACAAGTTATTTTCCAGTATCTTTCATTCCAAGAACTCGAAACTTATCATCTGTTTTTCTTCCAATACTTTTCTTTCCGGGCTTTTCAAAGTATCTTCCCTTTCGATATTCTTCAACATTTTATTAGTTCTTGTTCACTTGTGGGTCATTGCATAGCATTATCCACAATTTTGTTGTATATGGTACTATATCTTAATTTTAATTTTTAAACTCAGCATCAGCTTGTTTTTTTTTTTTTTTTTGCAACTATAAATTTTTCTGGAGTGTGACAACTGAATTATTATTACAAAGGCAGCTGATAAATCTAGGGGCAATTTTCTTTATATCCAAGGCCTTTGTAATTGAATACCAACTATATCCTTACTTAAAATAATACTACTCTTTAAGTATTAAAAAGTTTAGTCTTAACTTGAAATATTGTGCATTCCATGATTATTCCAATTCAGTCCAATGTTGTAAGTAACTCCATTACCAAAATCATGAACGAGATAATGTACCATCATCGATCATTATAAATTATAGGAGCATAATGAATCATTATTCACCATCCAATCTCATTTAATCAGTATGGTTTCCCTTTTTATTTATTTAATCCTGAATTTTCCATCTCTACTAACTAAATTCACAATCCCAATAAGAAAGTCAAGTTGGAATTGCTTTTCGCGGAGGAAGCAAATATTGTGTTAATGACTTAAAAATGGTGGCTGCATTTCTGATTTTGTCCGAGGAAAAGGAAGACCTCTTATATCGAATCGCCGGTGACAGTTTTTTTTTTTTTTTTTTATTGTAATGGCAACATCAAATCTCTAATTTTCTCGGGATTTTATGGTTAATTTATAGATTTCATTTCTCGTTCTAATGCTGCTTCAGAAAGTCACATTCTACTACTGAATTTATTAAGGGATTTTTTTTTCATCAATGAATATTCATATTGGTTAGTTTTTTAAATATGATAAGAAAGACGAGGGTATAATTGGTATTTCGCCAAATCTCTCTGTGCATAAGGAAAAAAAGCCCTGGATTTATCAGTTGCCTAATACAAATTCAACAACAGTCCAATTTTAATCTTCTGATAACTAAATCCAAGTAACAACAATTCATAACTAAGTACTAATACATGTCAACAACAAGGGTTGCCTAAGTGATCATGCCATCAATCTGGAAGTCCCAAATTTCAAATCTCACTAACAGCACATTGTGTGTTAAGTTCTGCAAGTTATTTTGCACCAGTCAAAAAGACTTTTCGAGTATCAGATTGATGCTTACCCGCGTGAAGTCTTCCCTAATAGTATTATCTCTTTTTCATAGACTTTATCCCACATATAATGCAATAGATTAGGTAATTGTAATTGTGTGTTAAAAAAAAAAAAAAAGTGCTACTACATTGTAAGGTACTCAGTATCCATCACTCTATACGTGACTCGATCAATTTTAAAGAAGAGAGCGCATTATACCAACAAAATAAAGACGAAATAATCACGAAAATACAATTATAAACGTGTTTTAAGAATAAGCGGAGAATTTTCCAGATAAACGAGTTTAATTAATGGCAAATATGCTAAGTTAGAGTATAAACCCAAATAAGAAATTTACTCAATTTCCGTTTTTGGTTTAACCACCAAAGAAATTTCCAAGAAAACTAGCCAATCGACGCGGCTATTGTGTAATATAAATTCCAGGAATTCGCAATTTTCTCTCTTCGAAATCGAGAGACAGTAGTACAGTAGTATACCTCTGAGAGTGATAGAAAAGTAGAAAAGAGGAAAAGGGAGAAAGGGGGCGGCGCAAAACGCAGAACAAACAACCAGAAGCAAAAACTTGGGGGAAGGGAAATTTGTTTTGACAGAGTAAGTGATGGGGGGTTGCTTTTCGGATGTGAAGGGCGGGCAACAAGCTGTCGGGGGTGGGGCCCACAAGCAGAATGGTGGCGCCTTCACCTCCGCCGCCACCGAGCACAACGACGCCGTCGACGGTTTCTTCCGGGCCAAAGGACTTCAAACCCTCTACACCCAAATTGAGGTTAAAGTTCCGGGAAATTTTGAGTTATTATTCTATTTGAACTTATTAACTACAAATCGCCTATATTATTTCTTATTTCAACAGTGGATATATAACATAAAATACTCGAGACCCTACCCATATGGTTGAATTTATATTTTATCTTCCTTTCATACATGTTATTTTACCCGTACTTGATCCTGATGTTGACTCCTCAGTCTTCCCGTTTTGGAATTTTATATTTCTGTGCTGTTTGATTGGAATTTCCCCCAGCTTTACTTTTACTACGTCCCTTTTCTCTTCTCTCGAGTTTACGGGTTCAGATTTTCTTAAAGAAACCTCAAGTTTAAGCTAAGATTGCAAGATTAGAAAGATTCGTGAGTCAAGGGTTAGCTTGACTCTGTATTTCACTGAAGGGTGATCAAGTGGAATGGAACATTATCCCTGAAGGGTGATCAAGGGGTAGCTTGCGTATGTTTATATACGTAAGGAGCTCCTTGTTATATTGCAAATAAGCCAATGGACTTTTATCATTGTCTAGTCTACTATGAACTATGTTTTGTCAAAATTCTGAAAATATGGTAAAAAGTTACTACCTCGCTCTGATAAAAATTTTAGAAACAGGTCTATTCTAACAGCAAAGAAGGAGTACTTGAAAATGGTTCAAACGTAAGATGCGAAGTTAGATGTGAGGGATACTGATTTGCTAGGTATCAGTTTGTAGGATTATGGTAACTGAGTTGTTTCCACTTTCCACGTTGGCTTTTACGACATTATTGTTTATTGCATTCTTACGTCCAAATGTATTTATCTTGCACTTTATGTTCAAGATAACATTGGTTAATGGTCATTGGCTCCTCTGGTTGGTTCATAATATTAAATGATATTGTCCTCTTCCTTAATTTCTGGAAAGAAATACATGGAACCATGAGGAATTACAGGGATGCATATTTCCTTCCTTTAAGTTAAAAGTAAGGTAACACAGTCGGGGTTGGTCTTAGTGCTTTCTACCTAGAAGGTTTCAAGTATTACTTGTTCTTCCTTGCGTGCCCCGGAAGCAAACTAAACAAGAGTGTAAAGAAGGTTATTATTTAAGTGTCAATACAATTACATGCCAGTTGTAAATTACAAAATAGACCAGGACCTCCGAAAAGTGATAATTGTCATAAAGTTAATTACTGGAAAGAACTGATTCTTTGCTATGACATGTTATAGTTTTCCAGGTAAGTGCTAGATAATGCGGACATACCCAGAAATCGTATTTTAGGGGCTTTTCTTTATTTTTTTTCCTAGATAGTGGTTCCTTAGAAAAGGTTTTGCACATCGCTACCCGAGTCCTCCATTTTTTCTGCTCAGAGTAGTGTATATTACTATGGGTGTATGGTGGAGAATTGAGATCTGGTCAGAGTAGTGTATGTTACTGTGTCAATCGTGTAACATTAATGAAACAATTTGGTTTCATATAAGCCCATTGTATGCTTTTCAACATCTCCAAGTTTGCACATTTTGATTGATGCCATTGACGTTTAGCTAAATGAGAAAACTGTAGCTGTTAAGTTTTGTTAGCACAAGCAGTCACTATCATCCCAGGTGAGTTGAACAAGGGCCAAATGGATCCATTTTTTCTCATTTTGTTGCTTCCTTAAACGCAACAGAGCAACGATGGGCTTTTCCTATTAAGGTCGCCAAATGGGAGGAGTAACTAAAAGTATCTTTTTTTGATTATGAACTTTATGTCAACCTTGTAGATGGTGGGCCAGCACGAATTTATATTGGCTACTTTGTGGAGTATTTGCTTAAGTTATTTCCTTTTTTACCCTCAAAAACACTTGAATTTGAAAAAGAAATTGATCCGATTTTTTGTTTTTTTTTGCTGTCCAGAAGCCCATATGGGTCTTTAGTTCTGTTATTAGTGACGAAAAAGTTAATTTTGGTTTTATTTGACAGAGGGCGCACTTGAAAAGAACCTAGCTCAAATAGAATTTAATTGGAGGTTGTATTTGAAGCTAGCTTCTGGTTCATAGATGATGGAGTTGACGTGGAAGTTTAAGTTATTATTAGTAGTTGAAAAGTAGGAGGAGAAAACTTATTGGGAAGTTTATGTTCAAAGTCTTGGTCCTTGCATTGTGGGGTCACAGGTGGATGTTGACTCCTCTAGGCTCTAGCTATCATCAAAGTTGCTTTTCAGAAAAGATATCCTTATTTAAATACTGTTCAGCTTAGAATTATAAATTTTCTTCGAAATCTTTGCATAAAGAGCAAGCACATTTACATCAAAAAGGTTTACTGCAGTGAAATATTAGCACCCTATTAAAATCAACCTGTGTTACTCTCTGAGAAAAAGATGGTGGTAACCTTATGCTGGGATGTAGGAATTATAGAAAATATCATGATTCGGCATAGAAATTTAAACCTTATGATTGACAACTTCTGGATCAGCAAATTGTACATATTCCATTGTCCATTATTCTTATTATCTTTCAAAGAATCCTTTATGTTTTATATTCTTTATAAAATGAGGACACAAATAATAAACATTGGTTTGATTGTTTGCTCATGACCTGCAGTTAACGCTGTCAGCGGAAAAGTTGCGTGACCGGGATATCATTTCCAAGGTATTTACTTCATTTGACTTCATATATATTTGGAGTGGGGGCTTGTTAGTCGTCTGATATTATGGTTTGGACTTTTCGCTTCCAACTGGCTCCATGTTTGTAGCTACATGATTATCTAATTGACAAGCAGAGAAGAGAGTTAAGTTGACAGCCTGCATGAAAGTTTGTCATAACTCATGAATATAAATAACTGACTGCACACAGAGAGGGACAAAGGCTTAGCTGTTTGCGTTTCATCCTTGTCGAATCGATCAACTCTATAGAATGCTGAAATTACTGTCTAAAAATGAAATCATATATTCCTGGATTTGCTAGTATAGACTATTAGTCTTCATATAAAACTTACTTACCAGTTTCGTATCTTCTTCAGAACTTCAGTTCCATTCTACTGTGTTTAGCTTATTTGTAATGCTGTCATTTTACTGTATATTTTGAAATTAAAGTCTTTAGCTTTTCCTTTGGTTTCAGAGTGATCCGATGGCTGTGGTTTTTGCAAAGAGGAGGGATGGAACCCTTGAGGAACTTGGTCGGACGGAAGTGATTATGAATAACTTAGACCCTGCTTGGATTAAAAAAATAAGTCTTGATTATCAGTTTGAGACTGTCCAACCATTGGTGTAAGCAATGTCATTATTAATTTCCTTGCATGTTTTGGTTATTTTTTTATTTTTTTCTCCCCCAACTGTGTAGCTGACATGTCTAGCTTGTGTTTTCTGCAGCTTCCATGTTTATGATGTCGATACACAATACCACAATATACCTGCGAAGGTATACTTTATGCTCTAGAGTATAGATTACCTTAACTTGCTCCTCCACTGTGTCTGTCGTCCTACATTGTTTTCTAGATTCAACGGATTAAGTTTTGACTATTATATTTCAACGAGGAGTACATGAAAAATCATATTTTCTAGAACTTTTAACCTGGTGTTGTGTAATTTTTATGTTCTTAAGAGTAGACCAGTGTTACTCAGTGTCGTAGGTTTTCCTCACTTCAATCAGAAAATAAGGATGGCATTGATCCCTTTTCCATGCTCCGATTTTCTTTTTAGACTGGTTTTGGTAATTCGCATATTGACAAGGCCGTCATTTGAGGAAGCAAAGAATGGACTTTGAAATAACCTAAAGTGGTTATTCTCTTAGCACCAAGTCATTCTTCAGTTCTTAGAAATGATGATACTAAAGTGGTTATTCACAATTGTTTGATATACATGTATTCCTCAAGTGGTTCCAGCAATTTATATTTTGTAGTATAAAAGGACTTATTTTCAGCTAATAAATTTCATTTTTCATAATCTGTTGGCTGTATACTGAGCACATATGCCATTATGCAGCTTCATTGGTTCTTTCTGGTCCTTTCTGGTCCTTTTTTGGTTCTTTCTGGTCCATTATGCAGCTTCATTGGTTCTTTCTGGTCCTTTTTTTTTTGAAGCATCTCATGTCCAATATTTATGGAAGTTTAAGTTGATTCCATATCATATAATGTTGCAGATGCTTAAGTTGGAAGCTCAAGATTTTCTTGGGGAAACTACATGTGTTCTCTCTGAGGTAAGTACCTACCACTTAATAGAAAATCTGAAAAATTTGTTCCTCTTGAGGTAGTTCAGGCAGCATTCTATGTTATTATGCATCACCCGGTTAGCACCTCTTCTAGAAAACTGTCATGCTAATTGGTTATAGATTTACATTAGTTGGATGCTAGTTACGCTAGCTTATTCTTGTTTTAACGTTCTTCAAGAACTCAAAAAGTATGCCTGAAGAACTTTTAGCTTTTACATAATTTGTACTTAGAAAGTTGTTTCTCCTTGCTCCTGTTTGCTGTGGCTTTTAGCTAACTTTGATTGGGGCGTAATATTCTGGTTCCTTGTGGATAGTTCTCTGAAATCAGGCTGCTTCTACTTTTGTGGTTTACGAGACCAAATGTTTACTTTTTCTTGGTTGTAGGTTGTTACCAGAAGAAACAGAACGTTGACTTTGGATCTTCACAATAGAAATGGATCTGGCTTGAAAAAGTTGGGTTCTCTGACAGTCCAAGCTGAGGAAACTTCTGCCTCAAGGAGTGCAGTAGAGATAACCTTTCGCTGTTCTCACCTGGACAACAAGGATTTATTTTCTAAAAGTGTATGACTTTACAAATCATTTCTCCTGAAGGATATCTTAAAACCATGTCAACCTTTTTTTACCTGTTCTATCTTACATTTTGCAGGATCCTTTCTTAAGAATCTCTAGGATTGCTGAAAGTGGGTCTTATATTCCAATATGCAAGACCGAAGCGATCAACAACAATTTGAATCCAGTCTGGAAACCATTATGTCTCACTGCCAATCAATATGGGACCAAGGTAGTTGTCTAACCTTTTCAGTAATGCATTTAGAAAGAGGAAAAGCTTTTTGCATTTTTGAATTATCCGTTCCTATTCACTGAAAAATAAATGTGCTTAATATTAGTACAATTCTTGAAGAAAAAATAGTGACAAGATAATTTAAAATATGGTATCCCCCTTATTTGCCATTTGGTATTTACTTTTTATTGCACGGGGCGCATATTGCAGGATAACCCATTGATCATCGAATGTTATGATTTCAACAGCAGCGGGAATCATGTTCTTATTGGGTACTTTTCTTAATCCACCTCTTAGTTTCCTTTCTTTGGATCTTCACCAGGTCTGCATATTATTAGGCCGTGGTCCTCCAATATCTTCGTTCTGATTAATCATGAATCTTTGCAGAAAATTGCAGAAAACGGTAGCAGAATTGGAAAACCTTCACAAAACTAGGACTGGTGCAAATCTTTTGTCCCCACCAACTCGTTTACGGGGAGTTGAAAAGGTTTCTGTTTCTCTATGTTTGATTATGCATGTGTCTTTATATAAATTCATGTGTATGCGTCTGTTCTTGAGACCTTATCTCTTAGCACAGTTTTAGATCTTGCTCAACGTCTTGTAGGTAACTCAAGGTCAGCTTTTCGTGGATGGGTATGTTGAAAAGCCACTATTCACTTTCCTTGATTACATCTCAAGTGGGTTTGAACTTAACTTCATGGTTGCCGTGGATTTTACAGGTAAGAAATTTATATGGCTTTTTGGTACCTTTTACAAAATGGTGATTGTGTTTTCACTTTCAATTGTGCTTGAATTTGAAGTTTTCGTATTCATGTTTGGATCTTCATTCCAGCTTCAAATGGAGACCCTCGTAGATCAGACTCTTTGCACTATATTAATCCGTCAGGTCAATTGAATGCTTACCAGCAGGTAAATTGAGTCAACCTGTCCTTTAAAACTGATATATGTTCCCATTAATAGCTGCTTTGTAGTGCTAATATCTGAAATTGTTCTATTTATTGATGTATTCTTGAGTTTCTTAGAGGGGGATATACAGATGCATGCTTAATTGAAATCATCTTCTCGCGTCTTAACTCTATTACAGGCTATTGTGGAGGTAGGAGAAGTTCTGCAGTTTTATGACTCTGATAGGCGCTTTCCTGCTTGGGGCTTTGGTGGAAAGATGTACGGAGGTTCAGTTTCGCACTGTTTCAACTTGACCGGAAGCTCCACTGAGTTTGAGGTGTCAATCTCTCCCATGTTTGGAATATGTTATAAGCCTTTTACGTTTGAAACCACATGATGCTCAACTCCTTCATGGCATTGGTCTTTTGATTAAACTGCTGATCTTCCAAAAATGTTTGTCGAGTTAGTCAAGTGATTATTTAGTTAAAATTTGATCTATAAAAGTGTGACAAGTTACCTCGTTACTGTTTTGCTCTTTAAGAGAGACACAAAAAGTCTAAATATGGTTGACTTGCTTTTTCTTTGTGATATTTATGTATGCGGAACTATAGTGGTTACTTCCTTAAAGTTTAGTTAGTCTTTTCAGTTCTGAAAATTGCATTTAATTTCTTTCATGGGTACAGTAGCTTATAACACTTAACGCGCTTAGTTAATGTTGTTATCATTTCTGTGAATTCTACACACTTTATATTGAGAAGCAAGCCTATTTAGGCTAAATACGTGGATGTAATTGACTTTTGTGGCTGATACCTAAATGTCATTACGTTAACTTTTACCTTTGAATAGGTGACTGGAGTAGAAGGCATAATGGCTGCATATGCAACCACACTCTATAATGTCTCTCTTTCTGGGCCGACAATGTTTGGTCCTGTGATAACCAAGGCTGCAGAAATTGCTGGCCATTCCCTCTCTTTGAGCCACAACAAGTATTTTGTCTTGTTAATCATAACTGTAAGGACAATCTTATTGTTTTTGATAATTTTCTGTTGAGCCTTTTTTACTTTTGACTTCAAAATATTGAAGCTTTTACCATTTTTGCAAGGATGGGGTCTTAACTGATTTGAAAGAAACTATCGACTCCTTGGTGAAGGCATCTGACCTGCCATTATCAATCCTTATTGTGGGAGTTGGTGATGCAGATTTTAAGCAAATGGAGGTACACTTTCAGTTGCATCCTCCAACTTATGTAGCTTGAACGTCAACTCTTTTTCCACACCCACCGGTAGTGCCTGAATTTGGATTTGGAAATTTTTTTGACAGATTCTGGATGCTGACGGTGGACAGCGCTTAGAGAGTTCAACTGGAAGGATAGCTACACGAGACATTGTACAGTTTGTTCCCATGCGCGAAGTATACGGTTAGTGCTTAATGCATTCCATTCAAACTTTTTCTTTTCCTTGTATTGGAAGTACCTCTGTTATTGGTCATGCTGAAGGTGGTTTTGTCTAATACTTGGTTGCTCCGTGTATCGGCTATAAGACCTATTAAAATTTTTCAGTGAACTTGTAATCCTGTCAGAAATAGAAGTGAAAGTCACTCCTAAAAGTGTGGACTAGAGTCAGTAAACTCAAACTACTCCATGGGTTCTTAGTTTCAAAATGAATATGCATGAGTTGAGTTGTTTGCCTTTGTGGCACAGCTAGTGCTAGGTACCAAAGAAAAAATTTGGTGGATAGTTTATAACGTTATGATGATGAATCCTATTTTGGTCACTTATATTTTGCTGGACTATTTGAAGAATCTCATCAGTGATTGACGCTATCTAATGTCTTTAATTATGTTTGAGTTAAAGCAGATAATTCTTTTCTTTTCACTTACAATTCTCCCTTTTGTTGGATAGGGAGACAGCTTTCAGTTGTTCAATCTCTGTTGGAAGAACTACCAGGCCAATTTTTATCTTACATGCGCAGTAGGGATATCAAACCTCATCCCCTCAACCTAGGTCAGGCTTCTACCACGACAAATCCTTGTGTGGTTTGAACCTTGAACGATAAATAGGAACCGTCTGCTCAGACAGAACTTTCAAGATTCATATTAGCTTATTGTCAAAGTAAAATATTCAAAATGTAAATAACTAGAGAGGGGGTTGAAATGGTGGTATTAACAGTGCATGATTCTTTCTTAATAGTGCTACTTCTTTCATCTCAAAGTTTTTTGTTTGTTCAGTAAATTTAACTTCGATTCGTCTCCCCCCGTGCATTGTATTTTTAACCACTACTTTGTGAAGTTTGGGTAAAGGGCTAAGGGCATAGGTATTCATATCTCTGAACTAGTGAGACGGTGAAGGCAGGTTTTTCTTACCTCCACTAGCAATGTCAGAGTTCGAAACTATGATCAGAGTGATTTTGAGATACTAAATGTCATCACTATCAATAGTGTCCTCTATAATGTCAATGCAAGCTCCGACTGATCTCCCTTCAGACATAGCTACTGCGAGCTTAGCTCGTGCATCTTCATGGCGACGCAACATCAGGACAGTATTAAGTACAGCCCATCTGACTTGAGAATCAGCTTTCTTTTGTGTAAAACCCAAACTTTTCAATAACATGTCCAACTGTGTAGAGAAGACGAATTATCATCATTGTTACTTGTTAGCTGCTTAGTCAGTCAACTTTACATGGTTATCTAATCAACAAAAGGATGGATCAAAGAATAAAGTAAACATTAAACGTCAAGCAAATCATTACGTGTTAAAGTGACAAGTAAATAGTTTCTGATAAATTCCAAGCGGAAGCAATACTTCTCTTTTCGTAAGAGGCAAAAGCAGGAGAACCAACCTTGCTAATATCTGCGAGGCCTCCCTCGGCATAACCAAAGAGAAGATATTCTGTCACTACACCAGCAAGCGCGATACATGAAAATCTGTTCAGCATCTGAATCCGCACGAAATGTGCAAAACTGTTATTCTGAGGAAATTAAGATTGCAAAATCAGGATGTAATATTAATTAATGCAACCTACCTTGGATGATAGCTTCCCGCTCTTTACCTGCAACAAACAGTAATGAGGATAAGGTCCAATGTAGAAGTACAAATACCCTATATTAATAGTAAGGAGAAGTAAAATACAACTGCTTTCAAAACTTTCTACGAGGTTGTTAGAAGACTACTCACTTCCTCGTCAAATTCGAAATCAACAAAAGCAGTTCCTGCTTGAACATTAAGCGATCCTTCCTTTTTGAAAGCGTCCAAGCTAGTCAGTGTGTACCCCTTGGGGAGAAGTCCCAGCAAGTATGCAGTCAAGAAATGACCAGCTTCATGCTATGTAAAATTGGAAACACGAGCAACTCGTTACAAAATTGACGAATGAGACTCTTTAGTAAACAAAGCACAGACATTGCTGGAGACATTTGATACTAGCTAAAGGTGGTAATAAGGTGGTGACTTGTGGCTGAAGCGAACGAAAATCTTATCTTCTGCTATAGAGGAAAAAACTAGCTCCCTCATCCTTTCTAGGTAACAGAAAAGCAATAACTCCTCCTTATTCTGGAAATCAATGTGTAGATACAGGAATAAATGTGTATATTTACATTGAGAGAGAGAGAGAGAGAGAGAGAGAGAGAGAGAGAGAATTTACTTGGATCACCCTGTTATGATACTTTTGGCTGAAGGTGTGACCAATAGTATCAAGAAGCAAGCCACTGACTCCACCGCCTAATGATACCTGTTTATGTATACATCATCACTACTTCAGTGTGATACAAAAGATCAGAGCACATTTCGCTGAGGTTCTATTAGCTTTGTCTGAATGGCTAAGTTTCGCGTGGAAATAATCAAGAGTAGTGCAGACTGTACAGTTGCACAGAAGGCTGTAAAGTTAAAAGATTACAAAAAACCATATTTTTTCATTGCAAATTGTCTTAAACTCGAAAACCTTGGAAGCTCTATTTATATATGTAACAATCTTTCACGGAGCAGGGGAAGGAGTTGTCCAAACTTACAGCATCTAGCGTCCAAAAGAACAGGAATCCCACAGAAAAGATGAGCAACTGCTGTGGGCTCCACTCAAACACATTCCACGCAGCTATTCCTCCTAAAAGAGCAGCCACTTGAAGACTTCTTTCCACAGCACCCAGAGTGGTATCCACTGGTGACAGAAGGGATGTGGTTTCTATCCCATTTAGCTTTAGTTCATCCAAGGAATACAGTCGCTGAGGTATCTGAAAACAAAAGTCTACTCGACAACTTCAGGAGATTGAAAGTACAGAAGATCAAGAATGAAACGTCACTGTGATCATCAGGAAAGACATCTAAAACTCCCAGCCATCATCACACTGATCCCATATTTTAAGTAGTTTTAGAGGTGCAAGGAACTATTGTTCAAATCAAATTGCAGGAATTAGCTCCAAAAGCTAATATTTGGTCTATTGATAAAGCAACATATCACAAGCGATTTCAATCATCTGACTATCATAGTATAAAAAGAATTCACAATCTGTAAGGAAAAACTTTAAAAAAAAAAAGAGGAAAGGGAATGAACCTGCCGGGCAGTGCCAAAACACTTGAGGCCACCAGGTTTACCCTGCAAATCCTTGATAAGGGACAAAGCAGCCCTCTCATTTCCAGAGCTCAACTCCTTATCCACTTGTTCCAGCACTCTCCATCTTGATTTACCATCTACAGCTTCTGATAAACTCATGACTACCGTCATCCTAGTATGTCTCATACCCAACTGAGAATCCATGCCATGGGAACAGGAATTCGACAACAACCCACAATTCCAACGCCCATAACTGTTGACTGCAATCCCCATACTATCAAGTTAAATTAAGTCGAGTTCTAATGGGATATTTGGAAGGATTTTGGTGTGTTCTTGGAGTTGGAGGAGGAAAACGGAATCCCTCGTCTTTCATTCAAATGGAAAAATCAACATAATTTTCTTCAAAAATATTGCACGTAAGAAATTATTTTTATTTCCAGCCACACAAGTGTAGGCTGTGAGCGCCCTTTCCAGGACTTTAGCCTGAATTCTTTCGAATTCTTGCCAGACCAGATGGAGTGGTGATCATGTGGGTTCCTCATTTTAACCCTCTAATTATTCACACGATTTCTAATCCTTGCTATCTATCTTCTTGAGACTCAGGTAAATACAGCTCATACACTACGTGTTTAAGCCAACAGAAAATGAAAATGAAACCGAAATTCCCACTTCGAGAACTTGTTATATATTTTCAACACACTAATTACTCCCTCCGTCTCAAAATTATTGTCCAATTTCAGATTTTACTTTTAGTACAATTTAAATTAAAAATAAAAACTCAAACTGGACAATAATTATAAGACGGAAGCAGTATTTGATTTTGCAATTGACATTCTAAGAAGTAAGAACCTTTACAATTTGATTGATAGCGCATCAACCTCCCAGGATGTGAATGAAAGAAAGTTGCTCCATTAGCAACTAGTGAACCTGAGTTCTCTGGCACAATAAGACCCATTCAATAATGAAAAGCTAGATTCGAAGTTAAATTCAGTTCTGAACCATAAGAACTTCAGAAGGCCTTTAAAATATATATTGCCAAACAAAAACATTCATAAACTAGAACAAATTAACTAGAACAGTAGAACATAATTTGATAATTATCCTCGAAGTAACAATTTGTAAGGCCAATTCCACGGCGACAAAAAGATGACAGGTTATCATATCCAACCCAACTAAACTTCCACCCACTCTCTTAGCATTCCTCAACAGAGTAAAATCCAAAGTGGATATAATAACTGAACTCTACAGCCTCCTTCCACGTCTACCTCCCTTTCTGCGAGTGCTGTCCGTTGGGATGGGAGTCACATCCTCTGACAAAAGAACATACACAAATGTCACTCAAAAATGTATTACAACATCTCACTACAGACTAAATTCTCTTCAGAGTTCAGACAAATTGGCTATAAGAGTCATAAACCACTTCGAGATCTTCAATTTGGAATATACAAGCTTACATGAAACTCATGCATACCAGAAGACAAATGAAACTCCAAAACTTAAACCAGAAAACAACACCAGTCAAAACAAAAACAATTTAGCTGGTGAGTTTCCAACAAGAAAGGAGACCATGTCTAGTAAATGAACAATGATCAATTTCCAACACTGGTTAACACCGAAATGGATCCAAATAGCAGCCAACGGAAAGTCCAATTCAATTTTAAAAATTGCTGCCCGTTCTTAAACAAGGGAATATTAGCCAAAAGTGCCAGACAAACTCTACCATATAACAAACAGAATACACTAGACAATTTAAATTCCATTACCAATAAAACTTCAATCACATTTCAAACAGGACGCCCGTCACGGAGACATATTACACCGAATCAAGTAGAGAACGTAAAGAAACTTGTACCTATACGGCCAATTTTCATTCCAGAACGAGCAAGTGCACGAAGAGCAGACTGGGCACCAGGACCTGGAGTCTTTGTCTTGTTGCCACCAGTGGCTCGGAGCTTGATGTGAAGGGCAGCAATCCCAAGTTCCTACAGAAAACCATTGTCAAGAAAGCAGATTCAGCAAAGGAATGACGCATGAAATGATATTTCATTTTAGTATGGAACAATACAGTGGACATGACCCAAAACAGGAACACTTAGGGAAACACATCAAAATGACATTAAACTCCACATCAAATTAGGGATGAGCTGGTAACCTTGCATCTTTGAGCAATATCTTGTGCTGCAAGCATAGCTGCATATGGGGAAGACTCATCCCTATCAGCTTTAACCTTCATGCCACCTGCAGGGCCGGACAACAAACAGAAAATCAAAACTTAATCGGGTAATATCATCATAGCGCTCAACAGCAACCATTAAAAGGCACAAAACATTTCCTATAGCTCTACTATCATTTTATAATTGAGGTAATAGAAAAAATAATACAAAGATCAGATAGAAATTGTTATTACCAGTGATACGAACCAAGGTTTCCCTTCCAGACAAATCAGTCACATGCTGCACCAAAGATTACAACATCAAACACATGAACCTCAAGTGATTTCAAACAAAATAACACAAGGACTTAGCACTCGCTGACATACGATGAAAGTGTCGTTGAATGATGCAAAAATGTGGGCAACTCCAAAAATAAGCTCCCCATCCCTAGTGGCAGGTCCAAGGGTCACATTCTCTTCCTTTGGCTCCCTGGTCCTTCTCTTCGACTGCAGAAGAATTTCACAAAAATAATACATAAATTATACAGTAATGAAGACACAGTGTCTTTTCCATGCTCCATAAATTTACTAGACAAAAAGATCCAACATAACCGTATTAGGAAATAGGTAATTTTATATAATTGTCTCACTAATGTTAATCAATGTTAGCAACCTGATAACTAGCTGAAACCCCACCTTAGCAACAGAAAACAGGCCTTTTTAACACAATATAACAGGTGTCTCGTAATGCTTTAAGCTTAGTTCTTCGCGGATTCTAACACCTCAAAATACTTGACGAGATTAGATCAATGCTTAAGAGTGATTAAATACAATTATCTCCAACACCACCACCCATCCAGAAGCTCATAATCACGATACTCCAAAGAACGATTCATTCCACAAACAAAGAACCGTACAAAAGGAATCTACAACATTAGCACAAAATAACATAAATCCGTAGCTAAAAATGATAGTAGAATTCACTGATTCAGCATGCTCCTCTACCAAATCGTTCCGTAAACAGCATAAGCGAATAGTAAAACAGCGGAACAAGATGGTTTGCTCGTGCAGCAGAGATGAGGAAGCCTACCATTTTCGACGGCCGACTGATACGAGCTCCGTTCCTTGAGTGATTGTGTTTTGCCGCAAGAGAAAAGTGAAAACCCTAGCAAATGAAAGGTAATGGATAAAGGGGCCGAAGGTTTTAAGCGGAGCTTGTAGGGTTTTTCTTAGCAGGACTGTATGGAGGTGGACTAAATGTTAACGGGCCATTAACCCATTCTTTTGAAATTACTTTCGGCCCAGTGTTTCTCCAGGAATTACTTTAGGCCCTTTAGTGCTCTATAGACTTCAAAAAAAAATAATAATAATAAATCTTATGCAAAATATGCCAAACAAAAAAAAAAATACTAATAAAAAATTCTTATTTTTTTATGCCCTTATTAAATTTATTATTTTTTAGGATATATGGTTTATGCATTTCCCTTATTTTAGGGTTTATGCATTTATTCTCTTTATTAAATTAATATTGTTTTATGCATTTATTTCCCTTAAATTTTTTTTAATCTTATTATCCTTTTTTTGGTCAAAAATCCATCGAATAAGATCAATTTGATACATTTTGCCTCCTGTTTTCCGACTTGTAGTAGTATTTTCTATATAATGAACCAATTTTTAAATAAAATTTAAGATTTTTCAAACCAAGTAGTGTAACTTCATTAACTTTTAGCAATCATGAATTTATGGATAAATAATTATACGCGAAGGCTCTAATAGTCATTACCCAAACACCAATAACTATAGTTGTAGGGGGGGGGGAAATAGTACTTAAAGGAGATTACACGACACCATAAAGACTCTCAAGACTGTCTCTTTTGTTTTGTTTGGAGAAATATACTATAGATCTCAAAACACATGATAATCACTTCAAATTAATTGTTGACCTAGGTGCTCTCGAATGAATGAACATTAGTTCATTGAGTTATCACTAATGGTGATGTTAACCTTCAACGGAAATATTAAACTAGTTTTTTTTTCTCAAAAATACTATATATTCCCTCCGTCTCAAAATTATTGTCTAGTTTGGGTTTTCATTTTCAGTTTAAACTGTATTAAAAGTGAAATTTCAAACTGGACAATAATTTTGGGACAGAGGGAGTATATTATGAATTAAATCAACCAGCGATAAAAACATTACTAATATATCGAACTAGTTTAAATGTTGCACGAAAAAGAAAAACGAAAACAAAAATTAAATAATAAAGAAAACATGTACAAACAAGCAAAGTTCGCCGTGATTACATAAATGCCCCCGCAATGATTCCTTTCCAGACAGTGGTCCTACCTCCTACGACACAAGTTGGGTTCGAGTCGTCATTAAAAAAAATAATAATAAAAAAAAAACGTTGACGGAAACATGACGGAGGCGTAGAAAGGAAAAAGAAACCCACCGCACCGGCGAAGATAGAAGTGAATTGACCAAAATAGGACGAGGCCCAAAAATATTGACCCCTATAAATGGAGCCTCTAGAAAGGGCAAAGTGAGACGGGAAGGGAGATCCTTCTTGTTGGAGCAAGAAACAAGAAGACGACACAGGAAGAAGAAGAAGAAGAAAAGAGCGGGAGGACTTTCTTCTTCTCTCCTCCGCTCTCTCTCCTTTCGTGATTATTATTATTAATAATATATATATTTTTAAATTATTTATTAACAGTAGTAATCAGAGAAGATGGAGTCGGAAGGTCTTCCCATACCCTCCGTTTCCTCATCTCCACCGCCGGTGGCTTCCGATGATCATCCCGATGTTTCTCCAACTGGATCTCCCGACCTCTCCGACCATGACCATCAGCCGCAGCCACCGGCACCCCTGTCTTCTGATCAACCTCCTACCATACTTACTGATGACCTACGCGACAAGATCATCAAGCAGGCATCCTCCTTTCTTTCTTTTTTTTATTAGTTGTAATTGGACAGTTGACCTAGTTCGCTTCCGAGATCTCGTGATTTTTCTTCGACCTTAGTGGGAAGTTTTGTTATTTGGGGGTTTTTACTTGAAGTGGGATTAAGGATGCGGACTGTGTGGAATTCCATTAAGTAATGTAGAGTTTAAACTGAATTCAATTCTTGTAGTGCTATTGTATCTAGTTAATACTTGTTGAATTTAGCTTAAGTTCGCTTGAAGAGCTTGTGTGTGAATGTTCTGAGCTTGAGTGTGAAAACGTATCCCCTCAGTGAATATTATTGCCAGCAAAAGTTATAATGTTTAATTATTCCTAGTTTAAATTTACTGCTCTCTGGTGCATTTGTGTATGTATTGATTCTAATATTGTATGCCACAATTGCTTGGAGCATTAGTAGAGCTTTGATGCACTGTTTCTTATTGTCTCTTTTTCCCTTCGCACAATTTTTAGGTTGAGTACTACTTCAGTGATGAGAATTTGCCATCAGACAAGTATTTAATGAAGTACGTGGGTAAAGGAGGCTATGGTGAGTAATTGCGTTCTGTGATGAACATTTAGTTATCATTTTAGCTTGAAGCACTGTATCTGGTGATATCCACGGTTACTGTGTCAAAACACATTTGTCAGTTGAGTAGGTTGGACTTCGGATACTTCTTTTAGCATTTGATTGCAATCTCCTTGAACTAAGATATGGGAAAATTGTCTTCAGAACTGGTTGGTTAGATATCTCTTTCTGGAGATTGTTCTCGATATTTTGGATGTGAGAAAAGAGTTGCATCCATGGATTCCTGAAATGTTGAATACCCATTAGAAATGTCATAGGTGTGTATTCTTGACAACATAACAATGAAGAAGTTTCATAACCAGCCATTCATGGTTAAAATGCTACAGAGCCCAGAGTGAAGGTGATGAACTATAGCAGGTACTTGTGACTAGTCTGCCAGCCTTTGATGTCTCCTGGTATGGCTCATTTAGCGGTGCCGAACATCTGGCTATGGCGTGAATGATCGTAATCAACTGCTCCTGATTCACTCTCTACTCGAATAAGACTTGGTCTTTGCACCCATATCCACACGTCATATAGTGGCTCTTAGCTGCACTAGTGCTACACGTTTATTCGCTCAAACTAGAATTATCATCTCTTTCTTGTGTAAGTTATGAAGTTCTATAGTGGGAGCTAAGATTGAGTGATAGATATATACCAATGCCCCAAATACTTAGTAGAAGATGCTTTCCCCAGTGATCTAACATGTTCATGGTAAGACCTCCAGTAGGTACGCCTAAAAGTTGTACTGCATGTGCTATAGGAATATAGCTGAACGCACAGTATAAAGGCTAAGTTGTTGCACGTGGTGTAGGAATAGGTAGATCCACACCTTTTGATGAACTGATATGAGCAACTAATTGCTTCTGATGAATGCTTGCTGTACTTGTCCTGGAAAAGATTGATATCTGACTGTTCTCATTTCTGAGAAATGAAATAAAAGTAACAATAAAAGTTGGTCTTGATACACGGCAGTTTGTCTATTGGTGGTTGTGTGACATTTAACTGAAATCCCTTTTGGTTTTGGATTTCACTTTACAAAGTTGTGTGCATTTTTTATTCCAGTCATTTGTGATTTGTTTTGGTTTACATTTACTGTGTCATGATTCATGAATGCACATGTAAGAACAATTTGTTCTCGTCCAATAGTTTCTTTTGGGATATCTAATGTGGCACTATATTGCAGTTCCTATTGGCGTTGTTGCTTCTTTCAGAAAAATGAAGAAGCTTACTAAAGACGTATCATTGATAGCGACCGCCCTGCGGGAATCTTCTCTTCTTGTAAGCCTCTTGTATCTCAGAAAACCTGTAATTTTTTGGGAATTGCTTTTGTCCTTATCTTCTAATTGTCTGCTTAGATTATTGTTTTAATCTCATGTGCCGCACTTCCATGCTTGCATGCCTTTTGTGTCCAGAATATGCCTTTTGTGATCTGATTCTATCTTTTATTCCATTGGCAATTGTAGGTTGTGAGTCCAAATGGCAAGAAGGTTAAGCGGCTTCACCCACTTCCTCCAACTGAGGTCAAGGATCCAATGGTACGCTCCACTTTTCTTTAGAAGACATGCTGTATTTTGGCCAAAAAATTTGAAGTCATGGAAATTTGATCCTTTCCTATTTTCTGCTCCAGCTTTGCACTGTCGTGGTGGAAAATTTGCCAAATGACCACTCTGTGGAGAATCTTCAGCGAATATTTGGTGAAGCTGGAAAGTATGCATCTGTCTGTCTTGTTCATTTCTCTGTAACTACTATGATCTCCTGGTTTCCTTTTCATGAAAATTGCAGAAGCTGACCACCATGTTAAATTTTCTAGAATACAGAAGATTGTCATTCGCGACCCACATGATGCTAGGGATTCCAGAAAATTAACCACCACCGAGAAGCTGCTTACTACCAAGGTATGATTGCGATGTTTCCGGTTGTACCATTAGTGTCATATTAATTACCAATTAGATTTGCTGTTAGTTGTGTAGCAATTATCTTGTTATTGCTCTATGTTGAAGTTATTATCCTTGTAATTGGTAATTTATATTTTTTTTTTCTTTTTTTAGCTTCTATTTTCATTTCTTCCTTCATTCGTCGTTCGTCCTTACATCATTCTTGAATAAAGTGGACCCTTTGGAAGAAATTTGCTGGAGATTGGACATTAGAGAATAGCTCCAAAGTATTCTTGTTTGTTTGTGGATGCAAACGTGTATTTGAATTGATGAGGTCTTTTCGGAACTTGGATAAAATACAGCCATGATTCTTCCGTTTTGGAAAGTATCTGGCATTGTGTTGTTGCGGGATCAGGAATCTTATCTTAATGTTGGCATTGTTTTGTTGCAAGACCAAAAGTCTTATCTTAATCTGTGTGCTTTGACTGCGTGTTATCTTGTTCAAATCTTTAAATTTGTTATGGAAACTTTTCCAATGAGGCACAATCAAGAATCTAGTCAGGCCATAGCCCCCTTGCTTCCTTTTAATGATGTTCAATGGGAGAACTATGGACGAGATTGGTTGATTGATACTTATCTAATATTATTCTGCTTCTCTCATGTTTCAACCTAAACTTTCCTATTCGTTTTGAAGCTGCATGCTCTTGTGGAATATGATACTGTGGAGGCTGCTGAGAGAGCTGTGAGTGTGATTCATTGACCCTGTTCTGAGCTCTTTCCCATATTAATATCTTAGTATTGATTTATGATATTTTTGTTTTTCTTTTTGGATTATGCGTCAGGTCTCAAGCTTGAATAATGAGCAGGATTGGCGATATGGTCTTCGAGTTAAACTTTTAAAGAAGAAGGTAGCTGTTGCTTTGATTTCCTTGTTGTTTATTTACAGTAAAGATGTTTAACTTTTGTTGTTTTTGCTTTTGTTTTTGATGTGTTAACTTCATTGTTCCTGTCAGACCAAAACAGAAGGCAAAGCTGAAGGCAAAACAGAAACAAGGAAAAAAGTATGGCAGGAAGTAGATGATGATAAGAATAGCACTGGCCAAGCTACTAATTCAGTAGTAGAGGAGGAGAATCACTGTTCAAGTGATCATCACGATGATTCTCATGATGAAGAGGTCTGAAAGACATAGACCCCAAAAAACATATTTACCCTATTCCTGATCTCTAGTTTACTTGATATACTCGCTCTACAAAATCTGGCTCTGTTTCATAACACTTTTATTGCAACTGCATGACCCAGGAACGAGATTGGAGAAGTGCATTCAATTTTGGGTGCAGGGTTTAGGATGGAAATTTTAGGGTCGTATATTTGTGGTACTCTTTTTGGCATTTCTGTTTATGTTTTAGACTTGGATACTGAGTCTCATCATTTAGCCCTTATTTTGAAGGTTGCCCCGTTTGTTTGCAATGAGTATAGTTGCTTGTGTGTTGCTCAGCTCGGCTTTCCATTTGCTATCAAAACTTAATTGTTTTTAGAATGTGTGACTACCGCAGCCCTTTTCAAGAAGTGGAGCAGTGAATTTGAGTTGATTATAATGATGTCTTTTCATGTACTACAGGAGGGACACTTGCAGAAAGAAAGGACTGGGGAAAACCCTCAGAAGGACAAAACTGGGGAGCATCAGCAGAAGGAGCATAATGGGCAGAGAAACAGAAATCGAGGGCGTGGAAGGAGACAGAAATATAATGGCACCAATGGACATGGTCACGGTAAGAGTAATTTAAGTTGATCAGTATTGTTTTCCCGTCTGGAATCAGTTTAACGTGTATTTTTTTTGTCAAAATATCTGCAGGCCATGGAACTCCTCCGAACAGTCATCACATTGGACATGGTAAGAGTAACTTAAGTTGATGAATTGATTTTATGCCACCTGGACTTGGTTTAAGATTTAGTTTTTCTATCTACAGGCCATGGAACGCCTCCCAACAGTCATCATATTGGACACGGTAAGAGTAACTTAAGTTGGATCAATTAGTTTTATTCGCACACCGACTTGGTTTAAGATGTACTTTTTCCAAATTATCTACAGGCCATGGAACGCCTCCCAACAGTCATCATTTTGAACCCTCGAAACCACCACCGGGTCCTAAGATGCCAGATGGAACCAGAGGATTTACACTTGGGCGGGGCCGACCACTGCAGTCCAACCAAAGCTAGTGCTATATTTTTGCAGATTTATTGTAAACATATTCGAAACGCTGATGCATTTGTGTGCCACCAACAGTTGGTGTGTGTGGGTTGTTTGCTGTGTAAGTTGTAATGACATTTTCCCGTGGTTGGCGGTGTAATCATGGTTCCGAAGGATGCTTTCAGTCTATTGAAGCGTCAAAATGGTCGCACTGCAGCTTGGATATGGGAATTGTTGTTTACAATCAATACCAAGTAATGTGTATGGATTCAGATCGACCATTTGTCCTATAATATACTGGTTTTCTGAGATTCGATTTGTTGGGTCTCTTAGTAGCATTTGAAAACATGTTTAACTTAACAGATTATCAATCTTTAAATAAAGATTGAATTGCATAACTTGCAACGCCCCAAAAACTGCACTTCATACTTGAAATGTTCCGTGAGATGGTACCTACTGCTCAGCATTCTAAGCTTACACTAATACGAAGAGAACTAGGTGGAAACCCATTACTAAAATCAATCCCAACCCTACAAGCCTAACAGAACTGGACACTTCCACCTTCACATCATCAATCACAGGCCCGCATAAAGAGCTCATGTCATCAGTCCTTGTATTGTAGTAAATGCTGTAGAAGGCCACCCGGGTCCTGTCGGCTTTTGCAGTGAAATTCACATTCTCAGACTGGAACGTGGAATTGGAATTCGCGGCATAATGAATGTTTCGAGCTTGATCGCCAGCGAACGCCATCACACCAAGAGGCTCCTTACATGAATCTCCAGCATGACCCAAAGAAAACGTCAACTTGTACGCCTGGTTTGGCTTTGTTTCAACCATCTGGGATATAATGCCTTCTTTACCAGAAAGCAATTCAATAGCTCTTTTCCCTCCAGGAACAGTGTAATGGTACGAATCTACGTATCGAACTGCTCTGTTAGATTCAACAATCCAACCAGGCAACGAGGACGTTTCGTCGTCAAGATTAGTGGGAAGTAACACTCCTAAAGAAGCATTTCTAAACATCCAGGGGCCTTCTTCAAAATCACCGTTGATTACGGCATTATCTGCATTGCATAAAGAATCATAATCATGACTAAATTTGACAATTAAAAGCTTAAAAAACACGGTGCTTTTGGGTCGGTCTTTTGAGGCACACAGGGATTACTAGCTACTTACTAAACTGACCTTTGAGCTTATCAGGGACGAAAAGCTTCTTGATGGCAATATCATCAATAATGGGTCCGCAAGTCGGGTCATCCTCCATGCCCGGGTTTTTAAAACTTACGACGATGTCGTCTTGGTCAGGGTGAAAGGCCCAGGCGTAAGAATCCCAGCCGTGAACGCTGTACAGCGTCTGCAAATCAATGGTCTGCGAAGCCGGCTTGACCGAGACGTTGAGCGACTCGAGCTGGGCGCACGTGCGAGCCGCGCTGAAGGTGAGCGAGTACAGTGACCCTTTCTCCACTTTGACTTCTTGACTGATCTCGGCGTCGTTTCCCAGCCTCACCGCGTGGGTCCCGCCAGGGATGATCAGGATCATCGCCCCCTGCTTTTGTCCTGATTCCACCAGCTCCACTGTGCCGTTGGTTTTCCAGCTGGGTATCGTTGCTGGCCCATCTGCAAATTGGGCCTCCGAGGAAGGGAAGCCTCCCGGTGGCGGTGTCTCAAAATCACCGTTTATCAGTAAACCTGCCACCCCAAAATATCCAAAATCATTAATAATTAAAAACCGCTACATTAAATATTTTTATTGCCATGCTACGTTTTTTAATTTTTTTTTTTTACTTTTAAAAAATTGCGGTACACTTGTAGTACTAAAAGAAATTATTAGGGGGACCCATCTCGATTATGTTGGCAACGGATGTGATGGGTCTCAAAGAAAAAACCAAATAAAGATGGGCCCGAACGTCAAAACTTTAAGCCCATTTCAAGAAACGCGTCATGGGCCCACATCCCCCCCTGAATTATCTTCCATCCTGTTTAGCACTTTCCCGCGCCGATCCATCCACGGGTCAGTGCTCCGCCGATGCCGTACATATTTTGGCCGGAATTCAATAATGCACCCCAAGAGATTATGACAGAGTGCCCTTTTCTAACATTTCCAATTTCTTTGAGAATAAGGATAAGGAAAGTTACTAAAATAGCCTACGTTTAACAACAACATAGGGATGGAAAAGGGACAATTTCAGAAATGGGGTTGGAGGACAAAAAAAAGGTCATTGGCCAATTTCAATGTAAAGCAATGTCTCCAATTAGGGAAAAAGCACCAAATGATGCCTTAGTCAGTGGAAGCAACTTAAATTAAATATATACTTTAAAAAAAAGCCATAAGTAAAAGTGATAAAGACACTGTGGAGCTTAAATACCTCATCTAATCAACCATTAGCTTACATCAAACACTGAACAATCATGTTCATCGACAATCTCACCAGATAAAACACCTAATAATGATCTTAATCTTACTTTACATTTTCTAATTTTTGTTCGGAAGTAAAGTATTTCTTAATAAAATTGAAGCAAAGAAAAAAAAAATCCCATTTCAATTAGAGACATTGTATTTGCAGTAATTGCTAAACAGTAAAGAACCACCCCCAATCGCCAAAAGACAAGTATCCTCAACCAGATCTTAAACTAATTTCAGCGACGGAGGAAAAGAATCACAAACAGAATGAAGGGCAAAGTGCAATAATAATCATCAGCAGCTAAAAATTGCTGAAATATGGCTCAAGTAGCAGCTAGAATAAGTAGTGGTGAGGAATGGTGGAGTGAAGAGCAACAAAAGAGAAACAGAACAACACATACCATCTTCAACCGAAGCAGCAATAGCCGATAAAGCTAAGACAACAACGAATCCTAACATCCTTCTGCAACTTGGGCTCCAAATTATCGCCATTTTCACTCCCGAAACTCCAACAATAAAGCAAAATACACACACACACACGCACAATGTGAAAACTAGAAGTCTGTGGAGCAGCTAGGCAGCTGAACCGAGAGAGTGAGAAAGAGAGATGGGAAGTGGAAACTTACATAGAAGAAAGAAGGTCTTTATATTCCAGATTCCAGGGCGGCCCCCTTTGTTGTTTTGCCTTTTTCAATTTTCACACCCTTTTGACAAAGTTGGACTCTAATCACCACCGGCACGACTGTTTTACAAAAAGACAAAATGCCCTCTCTGTGAAAATACTCAAATAGTAGAACCAAAAAATGATGCATATGGTAATTTGTAATTATACAATTTCTATACAAATTATAAACAGTTTCATTAACTTCTTTTTTTTTTTTTAGCAAGATGAAAGATCAAAATTTTCTGTTCAGGGATAAATCCATTTTTCCAGTAATTTCTTTAGTTTCTGTTATAAGTGTAAAGTTTATTAGTTAATCAATAAAATTGCCCTTCAAATATAATAAGAAAGAATGGTTGGATTTATGATGAAAGTGAGTACTCTTCTCTCTCCCAATTAATGTTCAGATTATGTTTGTTGAACTTATATGATTTTATGACTCTTTTTTTTAAGAAGGAAAGGAGTACATCACGCTTAAAGAGTTAGAACTTTTAGGATTTTCAGCTGCAAATCTGTTACTTGTATTGTAGTATCTCATAACCAACACATTTGCACTTTCAAGAGGTGTATGCACTAGTTGCCCATGCTCTAGGAATGTTCTCCTCCTTCTCAAAAATATAGTCTATATTGAGTTTCGATGTTTATAATTGAAAATGATGAATTAGGAACTAATTTGATGGCGTATTCTTGTTGTTAACCAAAAAGATAACTTACTATCTCTTATTAAAAAAATCCATATTAAATTTTAAAATTTTTTAATTCTTTTTTTTTAAAAAAAATAAAAATAAAATTGTACCACTGGCTTCATAAAATTTTCTGTGCCATCCATATTATAAATTACTCCTTCCTCCCAAAATAATTAATCAATTTAAATTTTTATTTTTATTATAAAAACTAAACTAAAATTAAAAATCCAAACAGGTTATAATACAATCCAAACGGATTGTGAAATCCTTACTGCCAATCTCAGGAATGCTCAAATTCCAACTGAAGCTCAAATAGTAATAGCTTTACTAATCTCTTTAATAGTTTCGTTTGAATTCTGTAAACCGAACTGACTAACGTCAATAGAAATGATATTCAAGATATGATATAATAATATAGGTAGTTAAGTAATACAGGTACCATTATCCAACAAATAAATAAATAAATACTACCATTTGAAAAACGAATTGACCATTTTCAACATATTTCTACTTGGGCGAAGCCGCTAAGAGCATTTTGCACGATTTTCTTAAAATCCCAGCAAGGCTTTTGCGTTTTTCTCTTAAACGATTTTACTTCAATTGATTTTCGCATGAAAATTATACAGCTTCATTTTTATGAACACTCGAAGACTGCAGGCGGAAAAAATATCGAACTATACCTGTTAGAAAATCTATGGGTTTTCACTTTTTCACTTCACTCGTCACCGTTCATTTTATTTACTTCACTTATATTATTGATACCGAAAGAAAAACAAAATATGTACGAAATTGACTGTGAACATCGTCTCCTTTGCCAAAATTTCAATAACAGACTCTTAACCAAACATTAAACCTTTCAAGAACTGACATGTAATACTAATGAACTCTACAAGAACAAAGGACAATAAAGCATATAAAGTTTTCCCTAACCCTCTTAACCAGATTGTGCTGGTCCACGGGAACTACGACCACGGCTCCCCCGCGCCCCCCTTGTACGACCTCTAACACTGGATGGCATGGAAGGAGAAGGCGTAATATTACTCCGTCTCAGATTACCCCTTTCCTTTGCCCTCTGGATCAAATTAATTGTCCTCGAGCCGCTGCTCGCATTAATAGGTGATACCTCTGGTCCTTGCATGTCATTTGCCGTGCTGGCTGGAGCTTGTGGTAGTTTCTCAGGAGCTGCTGCTTCAGGCACCTCATCGGCAGTTTCAGGAGCTGGAGACAGTTCGACATTCTCAGTCAACCTATTGGAACTCTCCTCAATGGAGGTGTTGTCGATCGTAACAGCTCTTCCCTCAAAATCATTCTTGTCGTCATCCATAGGTAGGGGAGAAGTTTCTGCTTCTCCGACCTCTGTCACTATTCCTGCCGGAGTAGTGAATGAATCATCATCAATGCCACTAGGATCAGACTGCAGCAGTTCATTAATTTCGGGACTCCCTGATGTTGTTACATTTGCTACGCCCTCCACTTCGGCAGCAATGTCAGTGACCAGCTCTCCCTCTTCCCGTTCTTCACTTCCAGATTCAGGCTGCTCCATCAAGTCATGTTCAGCAACATTTTTGGCAAATTCATCGTCCGGGTTTTGCATATTCAAACCCTCATCCACAACATCATCACCTTTATTAGTCTGGCTTTCTTCAGGTGTCTTCACAACAGCTGATGCCAACTCATCAGCTTCCAGCTTCCCAGCACTAACATTCTCATCCTTGTCAGCATCAGCAGGATGATCTGTGGCATTTTCTAGATATTCTTCAGTGCCAGATGGCAAATTTTCAAACGAATCTTCTAAGCTCGCAGCAGCTTCGTGTCCATCAGTACTTTCAGGTGGTGGAGGTGCTAGCCCTTCACCACTGTCATCTAGTGATGGTGTTTCTGAATTTCTGGACTTTTTCAGTGATGGTTCTATTGTTTCCCCAGAAACAGGCAACTCTTCGGTTGATTCTGAATTCACCAAAGATGACCGCTTGCGACTTCTATCAACCAGTGGTAGCGGTGGCTGCTCTGGTAAAGTACTAAGATCTCCACGAGTTTCAGTAATGATGGATGAAGGTTTGTCAGTTTTATTATCAGATCCTTCAGCCTCTGGCATTTCTATATCACCCTGAGACTCGACTGGCTTTGAGATACGAGGCCGGACAAGTCTCCTCGCAACCTTCTTTGAATCCAAACTTGCCCTCTGCTGAGTTATGCCTGCTTTTGCAGGAGGAATGTTTGCACCAGATAATGCAGATGATGATGAGGTACTGGCAGGAGCCATTGCCGAAACCACTTGACCTTCCCAAACAAAGAACGTCGTAATTTATTGTAATTTCCAGTAACAGAAAAAGAAAAGATAGATTGAAAAAGTAACCCGAAAATGGATAATACCTATGGTAGACCCAGCAGAGACAGTATCCAAAGTTGAAGAAGAATCAGCACCATGACGAACAGGCTCAGCTAAAACAGGTTGAGCGGCCTGTTTAAAATTTTCAACCGCCAGATGATATTTAGTAACAAGGTCCTCCAGTAGCGTGCCAGAAAAGAATTGAATCTCTGTTGAGCCCTGGTGAACAAACAGCATATGTGAGAATTTGCATCAATACAGAATCAACCAAATGGTGAAAATCATATAGCATGAAGAACTGATGTTATACATCAGTAGACCCAAAATCTTGAAAATATTCCATTACATGAAACCCGTAATAAATAGTCAGAGATGATAAGAGCTTTACCGCTCGCTGATTTCCCTCTCCCTGCTTCAACTTTTCAACCTCATCCATTAACAGTTTCAGACCATGCTTATGCTTCTCCAACTCATCAGACAGTTTTGTGCGTTGCTAAGGAAATGAGAAAATTCAAGCATGTAAGAATCCCTACCGCGAAGGTGTTTCCAGATAAAAGTTTCAAGAACTACAATCCAGATTATCCTAGATACATGCAAGTGACAAAAAGGTATGTAATACAAAATTCATTGAAATCTACGTATGAGACAGTCGATTCATGTCTAAGTGAATCCTTAGTTTGCGGGAAGACTAATGAGTAAATACACCTGCACAACAGCATCAAGAGATTCGGAAACTGTCTTTTGCGTTTTTCCACGCCTTGCTTTCTCAATTTTAAGTTCCCCCCTCTCCTTTTTTAAATCCTCTTTCGTTTTCTCTAGAGCTTTTTCCAAACCCTTCAAATTAAGGGGAAAAATCAGTAAATTATGCATCAATGACGCAGGAAAAAACATCAGAAGATTGAGCCATTGCTGTGAAAACCTGAATCCTGACATCTTTCTCATTCTCCCTTTCCTTTGTGACGTGTTCATCAGCAACATCCCCGGCAGTCCTTTTAACTGTAAAGGGAAATTACATTAGATGAAAAATGAGTACTGCTGAGCTCTAACTGCACAACAAAAGTCATCAGGAACAGAGCTAAATAAGTGCCACTTAACCAACATTCATTTTCCAAAAAGTGCCCTAATTCCTCTGCAATAAACAAAGAAGAATCTAGCCCAAAAATAATTAACCACACTACGGAGAACAATTGATACCTTGCTTGGCATCCTCCAGCTGTTTAGAAAGAACTTCCTTTTCTCTGCTCAAGTCATCCTTTTCTCTAGTTAAAATATCAAACTTCTTCTGCAAAATGATGCAAATAGAAGGTTAGAATCCAACCAACAGTCAAAGGGTTGACTTCTTATTTCTTTTCTGACCTTTAGTGTATTAAATGTCTTTTTGTACTTGTCGAGATCTGATCGTAAGGAAACCTGCGAGGCAACAAAGGTAAGAACTTTTTCTCTTTCTACAACAATTGTAAAAGATGAAACTCCAAAGAAACAAGTAAATACTAAGAAACAGCTACCTCAATCTGTGATATATTATTTATCCTGGCCTCTTTTTCACTGATTTCTTGTTTGCAATGGGATACCTCTTTCTTCAAATGTGATATTTCATCTTGCTTCTCGGAAAGCAGTCTTCTAACGTATTCTAATTGATTATCTTTTTCTCGAAGATTGATCTAAATAACAATGCAAATATTTTATCAAACTTGTTCTACCAGGAAGACGATAACCGCAATACAGTGACACTAGTGATTTTAAACTAGAATAGCAACTGAAAACAGCAACAAGATTTTCCAAACCTGTCTTCTCCCACCAGAAGGAGAAAAAGAGATGCAAGAATAAAGGATAAATAAAAAACAAAAATGGTATAGAAGCTTCTTTTCAATAGTCAAAGCATATGGATGATAAATTCACTGCCAATGGCTATGACAATCAAGAACAACACAGCAAAGCTTTGCCCTTTGTAGAGCAAAAATTCACTGCGTCTCCCTATATTATAACTTTTCAGCAACTATAATAAAAATTTCAAGAGTATAAACTTAAAAAGAGACCTGCATCTGTTGAACAGCTTCTTTCATATGATTATACTCTTCAACATCTACAACATTCTTGAACTTTTCGAGTAACTGCCAAAATATGTACACGGATAAGCAACCAATCAAGCGGTGGAAAATACTAAGCCATGCGCCTTAATATAAGGTACCTCATCAACTTCCTTTTTCAACCGACTTTTCTCCAATGACAGGTTTTCAACTTCTTTCCTTAAAGCTTCCACCTCATTTTGCTTGCCCTCGAGGCTTCTCCCCAAACTCTCAATTTCAATTCTTGCATTCTCATAGGTCTCACGAAGTTTCTAAAACAATAATTTATTTGTTGTCAAGAGAAGCACATTACAATCAATCACCAAACACAAAGGCCACAGAACAAACCTGGCATTCCTCAAAGTTCTGTTTGCTCTCCTCTCTCAGTTGTATATTACTTTCACGAAGCAAACTTATTTCTCGAACCTGCAAGTTTTCATGCATACATTTAGGATCCAAAGTTAACTTATCCATATAGAAGAGGTAATATTCAAGCAGAGTAACTTTCCGTGTACATATCTCAGGAAAGAGAAAACTTCAGAAAAGAAGAAAAGGAGATAAACCATGCAAGCCAACAAAGCACAAAGGTCTATTAACATGCAGCATTACCACCATTGCCGGAAAAAGTAAGAACTAATAAAGCCCCAGGTGTCATTCAAAAAAAGTAAGGCATAAAATTTCCCTCTTACCACGTAATGTATGATTACAAGGCAAAACTTTTCCAATGATCATTTATAACTAAGACAGGATAATCAAGGCTAAATGGATTAATAACGGTATTTATCAGTAGTGCTCAAGCAAATTACAATATCAAAACAATTTTTTGAAAAGGATATCACAAAATATTGAGTCCAACGGGAAGCATAAAATATTGTTCTAAACATCCTCATTATTCATCCATATACTCGACATTTTTTCCCCATTTACACTTTGCACACAACATTTTCATAATGCATCACGAGGAAAAATAATTCGGAGCACACTCTCATAGACATGTGACTGCCGCTATTAAACTACTAAACAGGGAATCTCAACCTGAAGTTGTAAAGATTTGAACTCCTCCTCGCTGAAAAACGACTTTGAGCTTTTTCTTGCCGTATCAAGTGATGCTTGGGCAGTCTCTGCAGCCATCAAAGCAGTTTCAAGCTGAAAGAGATAAAGTGAACCAGAGTGTATGTTAGGATAAAAGAAAAAAATGAATAAGACAATTATCCATGAGTCCAAGATAGACGATAAAACGAAGTATAAGTGACAATACACAATCTTATTCTTGTTTCATACAAACAAAAAAATCAAGCCCAGCAACACGTGGAACACATGTTTCCAGTAAGATTGAAAAGAGAAAAAGCTTTTTTTTTAAAAAAAAGGGAAATCCAGGGCGATACCTGGCGGGAGGACCCCAATGACTATTGTGAAGATTTTGCATGACAAAAAGATTGGATCTACATAACCCAATGACTACAGACTAAATAAATCAAGGAGATGGATAGATTGCAGATTGTCAACAAGAATTTCATAACTACAATAAAATTTAGGATTTCGTAAGACTCAGTTGATTTGGATCAACAATTAGTATATGATTGTAAACTCTTCAGAGCATTTCTATAATGCGATAGATCGATATATCAAAGAGATCGAGAATAAATGAAGCAAATTCTGTATAAGCAAAATTTTGTAAAAATCCACCTGCGTTTGCAAACGAAGTCTCTCGGATTTCAGTAAAGAAATTTCTGTTTCTGCCTGTAATGCATTAAAAAAAACTTACGTTACACTCAATTTCAAGCAAGAGAAACATAAAAATGCAAGAGGACCATTTCCTACACGTACAATTTCTTTTGAGCGCCGGAGATACTTCACAACACTCTGCAAACCATCATTTTCATCCAAAAAGCTGTGAGAAGATTGACCACCAGAAGATTGACGGTCATTCTCAGCGAATTTGATGTGCATCGCCTCAAGTCTACTGTGCAATACCTTGTTCTGAAACAAGCACAATTTCAAATTATCAATAGCAGAACAAAGGAAAAGGAAAAAAATAAAAATTGTAGAAGATGATAACAAACAATATGCATGTTAAAAAGAAGGAAAACTTAATTAAACATGGGTCTGAAATTAGATTAAAAACAAGGATTGACAAGCAAGCACAATAAATGCTAGCTTTTATATGAAAATTGAACTTTACCAGTTCATTAACTTCATCGTACTTCTTATCCGCGTCACTTTTCAAAACTTCAAGCATCGTCTTATCTCTTTCCCACTTAGCTTTGAGTTCATCCTATTAAGAGTAACCACAAAATGAAACAATTAAAAGTAAAACTGTTAAGTATGCATATTAACCAATACCAAGACGAAGGAATTTCCCGTCACCATTAAATAATGGTGCAAAGTAACCTCCATTGCCGCAAAAACTTCATCTCAATTTAAGAGAATTACAGTGACACATGCATGTCATGCAAAGATAAAAGTGCTGTTGTCTAGAAACATTCAAAACAAATATGGAAAGGAATAAAATTACACCCCCCGTTCCGAAAAAATAGTCCACACTGTAATTTGTGAATTGTACCAAAAACAATACAATTCACCAACTGCAACGCGGACTGTTTTTTTGGGGACAGAGGGAGTACTAAGTAATTTTCATTTCCAACCAGAAGAACCTTGCATAATCTTCAATACAGTCTAATCACAGCATTTAAGAAGTTGAACTGTACTGATTGAGACAAGTGCAAGGATAAAAGTCATACATTTTCAGCTTTGAATGCATCATTCGATCTACGCAACTGAGATACTTCTTCTTGTAGGTCAGCAAGAGCTTGAGATGTTTTATTCAACTCTTGAATTGTATCGGACTGTAGGATAACCTAAAAATGTTACCAAATGAAAAGCGCGGTATAAGTAACAAATCAACCACAAACATAATAATTTGCATGCATTTTAGATGTAAAAAATGGCATCCAATGCAGAAAACCTCCAAGACAACATAAGCAAAGTATTGTTGCAAAAGTCGAGGTCATGCAAGGAAGAATATCTGCGTAATTGACCAACTGAACCTATAGATCAACAGTGAGGACAAGTAACAAACAACCAAAATTCTGTTAAAAATAGGAAGGCAAACCGGGAAGAATATCTGCTCAATCAACCAACTGAAAATGTAGATCAACACTGAGGCACGTAACAACCCAACCCCCCTGCATGCATTCACCGACCAACAGTAGGGGGCCATGTTTTCACTATGGGTGTGTGTGTGTGAAGTGTGTGTGAGAGAGAGAGAGAGAGAGAGAGAATCTTGCGGTGAAGTCTCATTCAAATTTGAGACAAAATAACGAATCAGATGCAGATTCTAGTATAATGAAGGCCAGCACATCATTCAGCATTACAAAAGTTCATTTGCTGAGCAATAGTACTAATATGAAAAATACAGACAGGAAACTCCGTGCAAAAAAAGATTTTCAATTCAGCACACCTGTCTCTCATAATTAGCTTGGGCAGCACTTGACTTCTTGCGCTCCTTCTCCAGATCATCTTTTAAAGATGAAATTTGTGTCTGAAGAACAGCAATCTCAGCCCTGTAAATCATACGCCGATTACACATTCCTGAATACAACCAAATTAATCAGGAAAAAACCACTGTTTACAAAAACATTACTCTTTGGCTGCGCAACTCTCTTTTAGACTTCTGACTTCCAAACGAGCAGTAGCAACAGCTTCTTCTTTCCCTGAAATTGCTGCTTCTATTTCTTTGCTTTGCAGGTCAACTTTTCCTTGAAGTTCATTAACTGCATCTTTCAGAGAAAGCAGCTCATCCTCGAGGGACTTTTTCATACCGTCAGCCTGTGGAAAAGACACAACAATGCCAACATGTCAACAAGCATAGTTACAACTTCCCAATAATGAAAAAACATTTACACACCTCTTCTTTTGACTTCTCATATGCAGCTTCCAATTGTTTGAGTGCTTCTTCATTTGCAAGAGCGATGCTTTTATACTGAAATAATATGCCAAAAAGAAAAAATAAACATAAAAAAGCGAGAGATCAGCATATAGACTGTGTTTAATACAATTTAATAAACATAATCGTCACTCAAGTACCTGAAGCATGTGGTCATGATTAATTCGTGCTTCCTCCTGCAACCTGGCAATCTCTTCTTTTGCGTTGTGTGAGTTTGACACACCCTACAATGAGTCACACAAAGAAGTTGAGAAATATATTATTTAAACTGAAAACTAAAAGACCACAACCTTTATATATTCAGATAACAATAGTACAGAGATTAAAAATAATAATAATAACTAAATTAAAATAAACTTATGTTTCAGGGTGTTTTCTACGTCGAAATGATATCACTAAAAAAGTCATTTTGAAGGCTCCGATCAATTCAGAAGATAATCAGCAGCATTATCAAAATAACCCTGACATAAACATTCTAGAACATTAGACACATTTCTACCAGTGCAGACATAGCGAAATGCTCCTATTGAAAACAGTTATAGGGCAAAACGCTCCATTTGAAAACATTTTATAAGTATCCATATGTTCATTACTGGCCCCATTCTCAAACTCTATAAGTATACTGACCACAATTAGGTAGAGGCCAAAAATTAAAACAAGGGAAAAAGAATCCAGGGTAACAACTAGTCAAGTATTACCTCATTCGTGCCAGTATATGTAGGCCCACCTTTCTCGGAAGCCTGGCTCATAAAAAATAAAGTGCAAATAAGGTGTCAACCAAAAACCCAAAGCCCAAAACACACAGAGACACACACGCGTGCGCGCGTGCACACGCACACCCAACCAAAATTGGCAGACATGCTTCAAAAATAGGACAGTGAATGCACCCCACAGATATGAACAATCAAATAGAAAATTCTGGATAGAAATGCTTGCAGTAAACGTGTGAAAGTCACTCCAGCAGAAAATAAAACAAGAAAAAAGAAGAACACGCACATCTCTTATAACTTTTTATAAATCCATAAGCGGAAAACATGTAAAAGAAACAATCACAAAAAGAAACAGAAATTCCTATGAAATACATATAAGCAGAACTACGCAGTAGATATAGATATAAAAGGGAATCACATGTCATCGGTCCTTTCAGAAGAAATATATTTCATGAGAAGAGAAAATGCATAGTACCTCAACATGGATCGAATTCATTTTTTCTTCCAAATCTGAGCACCGGGCCTGGACAATGTAATTATATTAGCAGCTATGTTCTATATCATCCAAATACATTTCCAGCATAAACTAGAGCAAAATTGAAAAACATAAATCTAAAACAGAGACCTCAGCAACAGATGCCCTAGCCTCGGCCGCAGCTAAATCTCGCAAAGCTTTACTCAATTCTTTTTTACTTTCTTCTGCTTGTATCAAGGAATTGGTCATGCCATTCTCTCGCTCAAGTGTAAGTTGTCGAACTTTGTCCCGCTCTTCGTGAAGCTCCTTCTTTGCCTCAGCCCATTCTCTCTGCATTCACATTAAGCATTCTACTTAAAGACGCATGCAGATTAAGTTAGATAAAGCCCCACTTTAAGATTTCAAAGTTTAGATGGCATTTGATTATAATAGGTCAAGTGCAATCACATTGGAAAAGATCAACGGGGTCAATGACGAAGAATATCGTAATTTCATTGCTAACTTTGTTTCAAATAAAAAAAAAATGAATAATGTGATTGAAGTTAGTTGCTTTGACTAAATAACTGAAACAGGTATGTCCCAAATTTTAATTTACCCTATTAATAAATAATAGAATTTTCAATAAAAAATAATAATTCTACTAAAATAATTCCAGAAACATTATCTCAACATTTATGTAGACTTTGTCCATATCCTGATAAGTTTTAATATCTTACTTTCTACACAGCAGCCAAAATACAATTGGGAAAAAAAATTCGATAACATGCCTAATTGCCCATGTATTTGTCAGCTTACATAGAAAATTCTTGCATTGTCTGAAGAAAATTAGAATAATCCCTCCGTTGCTAGTTGAAGGCTGGTCATGTTACACCAATTACTAAAGTGCTTTGGAGGAAAAACAGAGAGGATAATGGACGAGAGATGAAGAAAAGATTGAGAGAGGATGGGGTGGCAGGCTTTGCAGACATTCACGGAAGGGCAAGCAGAGGGAAACAGGCTGTGAGGACAAATTGGTAAGAGCGAAATAATATAAGTCAATGATTGCCTACGGGGATGTGGAGACGAATCATTGCCCACTTTTAAGCAGTAATTGCCTTAGTTCAATTACTAACGACCATGCACTATAAAAGAAATATAATAATAATAAAAAAGTTGTCACTTAATTTGATTCCCATTACCCTTTTCTATCATCCACTACCAAAACACCCATTTGCTTCAATTTTCAAGCAGTGAAAACAGGCTAGGTTACTTTTTTTAACCTGAATATCATGGATGGTTATACCACTTTACCTACCAAAGTTTCAAATCCAGTCTTTACTACATTAATTTTAAAAAAAATAGGACGATGCTGGATAAGAACTTCCAAAACAATTCCATTAAAATTATCAGATAAATTGGAGCTTGTGTGACTGAGGAAAACCTCGATTTGCTTAATGTGTAACTCCTGCTGTCTTCTTTCTGCACATCTAGCCTCCTGTTTCATAAATTTTAACAAGCTCGTCATATCATCATAATGGCAAAGCCATAAAAGATATGTAGAGCAAATTCAAGAAAGAACTAACTACCTCTCGAACTTCTTCAGTACTCTGAATAGTGTCCAAACTAACCTGAAGCACATGAGCAGAAGGATAAGTTCATTCCATACCCATACAAAGTGGAAAAATGGTTACAAAAGAAAAGGACCACACCTGCAAACGATGAACCCTCTCCGACAAACTGCGAACTTCATCACTCGCTCTCTTCTCAGAATTAATTAGGATCTCCTTTTCTTGCTTGAGAAGAGATATCTGTGGGCAGTATCCATGTTTAATAAAAAATTACAGCATTAAGGAGCAACTCAAGTTAAAACAAATTGACTTGACATTCACCTCCATAGTCAATGTCCGTGAAAGCTCCTCAGCAGATTTAACCGAGTCAGAACTTTCTCGCACCTTCCGTTGGTAGTCAATTATCAACTGTGTGAACTCAACATTTCTTGCTATCAAAGTGTTTTGCTGATCTCTCTGTAACAATGTCACAATAAGAAACACTAAACAACCCAATTAAGATATTTATATACTGAGTGCAAGCGTGTAGTACCTGATGCTCAAAATCTTTCATAAATCTTTCAAGTTTCTCTTGAGTTAATTGTGCTTCCAGAGCTAACTTGTCACGATCCGATCTTAATGATATTAACTCATTCCTACAATGGACAAGAAAAAGATATCGGGTCAGTATTTCTTATACTTTCAGTAAGCCGGTGAAGATCTCTAGAGGGAAGCAGTAAATTGAAAAGTCAAATAAAATGAGAAAGCATATAAAGTAAGCCCAGGCAGAAGAAGCTTTTGTGGAAACATGTGGAAACCAGCTCCTTTACCTTGACTTGTCCAATTCTTCTTCAAGATATCTAACACGTTCCTGAAGCTTATCGTGAGTATTACGTGAAGATTCCTGTATTCGATTAAAGACGATATATCAGTTTCAGCCACGTTATTCAGAGACTACAACTCATAAAATCTCAGACTCAGCTCTCAATACGTACAAGGTAACCATCAACCAAATTGGTGATATTCTGCCTTCCCTCATCTGCGAACAAAATATGCAGGCATTACTAATGACATATACATTATAATACTTGCATACATAGGCAATCAAATTTGATTTAATTTTCCACCATAAAAGTAAAATTCCAGGCAGAGTGGCCTTCAATATTAAAATTTATAATCTTCAAAAAGAAAAATATTTAACACACTCAAGTCTAGTATTTTTTCTTCTAAAATAAATGAAACTAAAAAGAAAAGGACAAGACCTGTCACTGATTCTTCCGGTAGAGACCCCGAGGACCTAAGTTTATGCGCCTCTTCATATAACTTCTTGTACATTGCCACCTATAGAAGCAAAAAGATTTAACTTTAAAAACAAGGGGCAAAAACCAGAATTTCAGAACAGAATGTTTCATTCTGAAAGTTTGCAACAAAATAGTAATGAAGGAAAAGCTCACAGAGGTGTGAAGTGATTCAATCATGCATTGCTGCTCTTCTGCTCGAGCTAAGACAGCACTGACTTTTTTTGTAGCTTCCTCGGTAAGCTTCTGAAGTTCTCTTTCATATTGCTCCTGAAGAATACAATTGTGTTCAGGCAAAAAGGCCCCAACCCTTGGATCTCAAGAAATTTTTAAGACAGCAAGCTCCAAAATATTCAATTTTATTAAAAAAAAACCTTCAACTCTGTTTCTCGAGACACGATGTCCTCAGAGAGGGTATGAACAAGGTGCCTGAGCTGTGCATTCTGTTCCACTAACCCACTAATATCTTTGAACGCAAGCTGGAAAAAATGCAGGCAGTCAATATAATATTAGCCTTGTTCATTTTCTCTTATTCAAATGTTCAACCATTTTAAAAACCTTAAACTGCATGTAAGGCAGCTTGATCAGCAATAACAAGGAGATACCATACCGTTAGACCAGGACTGACACCACCAGCATCGCATTCATCTTGAGATGATACAGCAGAAACAGCCATCAAAGCATCTCCAAAATCATGCCGAATAGATCCACAACGAAGTTGTATATCTTGGCATTCCTTCAGAAGAACTGAGACCTAATAAAAAGTAATGAAACCGGAAAGCAACTTAACAGCAGAAGAGACCAAAACCAATGAGAGCTAAAAGAAGACCCATTATTAACAAAAAAATTAGACACAGATACATCAAAGCTTCCAGTTAATGTAAATTTTCAGAGGCAGATCATATTCAAAACAAATTATATGTACTTAAATCAATAAGCGATAAATAAATGAGCAGCAGCCAGTAAATGAGGAGGAAAATGCTGATCATTGATAGCATCTACTTCAATGTACACAAACTTGTAACCTGATTTTGGAGATCGACAATTTCTTTTTGAGCTGAAGCATTTTCACGCTCCTTTCTCCTCAAATCAGCCTGAAAACAATTATTAGGTGCCATGAACTTCAATCCTAACAAGCATAACTGAAGCCGAAATTCAAGTTTAGTAAACCTTTAGTTCTTGGATGAGTCTCTGCAAATTAGTTTGCTCAGAAAGAGCATGCTGCAGTTTCTGGTCCAGTACAGAATAGGCCTCAATTGTTCTCTCATGTTCAGCTGAAAAGACAATGAATATAAATATAAGAATCACGGAGAGATACCAGTTCTGCAGATATTCGGTCCAGGACAGACACTATTAGGACCATATAGAAAAAAGACCCAAAACTTAAAGAAAATTCAAAAATAAACCTCACAGGGACTCAATAACAGATGGAATAACAATCAGCTAACAAGAATGATGACCCACCTCGCTCGTCCAAGATGACTCCTGCTTTCTGCTCTATTTCTTGAAGTACCTAGATTTGATTTCCAATAGGTATAAAAATTGTCAACTAACCAGAACTACAAACTTGGACATTTCAACTGCTCAAAAGAAATCAAAGCTGCACTAAAAGGAGTAGCGGTAAACTGGGAACCATACCCTCTCCAAAACAGCTTGAGATTGCTTTCTTCCCAACTGCTCATGTCGGAATGCATCAACAGCTTCTTGATACTTTGTGTACAGTTTAGCCAACTTTTGGAAAACATAAAAAATGAAAGGGAAAAACACATTAAAGGGGAAATAAGCAGATGGAAAGCCAATTAAATCAATAAAGATACAAATACCGCCATCAAAGCATCACCGAAATCATGAAAAGACAAGCATTGCCATGCAAATTCCACATTAATCATAAACATAATGCGGTCATAATTTTAACATCAGGATTCAGAAATGTCAAAGCTTTTCAAAACTCACACTCCAACCATCACGAAGAAGCGAAGCTGCTAATGCAGTTGCAGAAACACCAGCAGGAACATTCCGCACAATCATCCGACTTTCCTCGACGATGTCATTAGTTTCAATGGAGTCCACAGACCTACAACCATCAATAGTAAACACAAAACAAAACCACACACTTTATAGCCGATGCTAACAAAAATATATCACCCATCTAAAACAAATAAACAGGACCACATTATTCAAAAGAAAAACTGATAGATCAAAACAGAACAGAAACAATGAGTTCTATGCAATTTCAATTGGGGCTTGGACAATACAAAAAACATTTTGTAGCAAAAGGAGAAGGGGCAAGCACGTTTGGCAATGCCTTAAAAAAAGAGAATAAAACATACAGCCAAAACAAATTAGAAAAACGAATAAAGTTGTAAAGCAACTTCAAGGCAGCTACATTAGATAACAATTAGACTTACAGCTCTGAGGTAAAACTTCCCAGAGGAATCAATTTTAGTTCGTCAGTTTTCCTTAAAGTCTCCAACTCAGCTAAGCACAAATCCATCTTCTCCTTCAAAGCATGCGCATCCTACCGAAAAGCAAGTGAGACACAAAACAGAAAAATAAAATAAAATAAAATTCAGGTTTCTTCAGAAAGCTACAACTAAGTGACACTCAAGTGATTAGACTCATATCAGGATCATAACAATTCCCTGGAGTTGAGAATTCAAGAATGACGAACTAAGTAAATAAAAGGATCGTGAGAAGAAGGGGAATAAAGGTGGTAAAACACGACTAACCTTTTCAACTTCCTTCCTTGCTGAAACTTCTTTCTCAAGCTTCTCTTTATATTCGTTTTCGACTTGACCTAAATGAGTCTGATAAACAGAAGGGTAAGGGAAAAATATACAAATAGTAGTAGGAAAGAGTGGATAACGAGTTTTGAAGTATAACATTGGATATGGGCGAAATTGATATTCAATAACATTGGAAATGGGCAGGTTGCATCTGTAAGGAAAGTAACACTGGAAATGGGCAAATAGCATCCATAAGTATCAAAAAGTCTATGGAAGAGTAACATACCTCCAAAGCCTTGATGACTCCCTCAAGATCTCCTGCCTTTTTGGACCATTCTTCCGAATTCTCTTTGTACAACTCTACAAGCTTTGTCAACTTTTGAATATTGTAAATACATAAAAGTTAGACATTTATCATTCAAACAATCAGAGGTATCTCTTAACAAGCTTAGATATGAAGAATCAGAAGTCCATATCCATTTTTATCTTACTCACCGTTGAGACTTCAGAAGAGAACTGTTTTTCCAAGGTGGTAGCTGCATCTTTGGCTGACATCAACTCCTTCACAATCATAAGAATAAATATACATGCGAACGCAGACATAAGAAATAAGAAGAGTCATAGAGACAAGTTTAAACTACCTTCTCCAAGGATGCCAACTTTGATTCCAGCTCTGCTACTCTATCTTTGTTCCACTTCAAAGCACTAGAGGTCTCATTCAATCTTTTCTCACCCTGTATGAAAATCAACTCTGTCAAACTGAAAAAGTTAAATAGAAAGCCTGCACAATCTGTTCTGAACAACACTCACATCTGAAAGCTTAGCAGACATCTCTGCCTCAAGTTCGCCATGTATTCTTCGCAGCTGAATAAGATCATCAAGTTTAGTTTTTAACTCCTCATTAAGCCAAGAGTTATGCCTCTCCACAAGCTCTTTCTCCTGCCCACGAAAAGCAAACTTCCCTTCAATATTTGAAAATATATGTGCATTCACACATACATAACTACATACATACATACATACATACATATATATATATTATATTACAACTATTACTTAATAATACAATCCTGCAAATGACGAGATGAAAGAAAGAATTTCAAATGAATACTGCCAAAAGTTCACACAGATCACAGCACGGCAAATCTTTGAAGCATGATTAAGTTGGGTGAGCTTTATATGCTAGAACATTCTCATAACCAATTATAATACAGGAATTCAGATTAGTAATGTCAGAATATTTTCCCTGCCAAGTTCCCAACCAAAGAGCCAGCAAGTCAAAGAGTCTAAAACACATAGAATAAATCTGAATTCACTTGAGCGACAAAGCTTACATGTTTCTACATCTGTACTTGACTTTTTTGTTGTTAAACTTCCAAAGTTTTTCTAACTTGTTGTCAAAGGGATAACCGAGGAAGTACAAATGTAGGCTTCAACAGATTAATTGATAACTAAACACAATCATCTCATGGCAGACAATCTTAACAAATTTCAAGATGAAATTTTCAGTAACTCCCGTGAACAAACAGAGACCGAGGAGACGGAAAGAAAAGAACAATAAAATTGACACTTAATTTCTAAATATAACAAGATAGTGGCTACAAAATTCATTTAAGTTTCCCTTTCAATTTAAGAACAGCACAAATATCACGTCGTAGTCCCAGTTTGCTCGTTACTTTCCTATTTTTCTTCGCAATATGTACACAGTTTGCAAGAGATAAACTACCGCCCCCTAGAATATGAAATGAAAAAGATTGTCCTATATTTTTAAGCAGCAAAGAACGAAAAAAAAAAAAAAAGGATCAATTACAATACCTGTGAAATACGGGCACGGGAAGCCTGAGATTGACCAAGCTCAGCCTCCAACTCACTAATCCGTGCTTCCTTGGATGCAGCATTCTCAGTCAAATTTACCTTCACATTATACATATTCAAAGAGTAAATATTTCTACACCAAATATTCCTAGTCATACATAATCTCCAACAAAAAGGATAAACCACAGTAACCATACAACCCTTTTTCGTGTTCATTAATCGTTCTAATAAAAGCATAAGATTTTGCAGATCAAAAACTCTTTCTCATTGAGGCAGGCCATACGAAAACAAAAAGAGATCGATTACAACTGCCCCAATAGTACGAAGATATCAGAATACTAGAGGGGGATAGTTCCATAAAATTTATCCAACCGGCATGACAAGAAAACGGCTCATTTTCCCCTCCACCGACCAAATTATAAAACCAAAAAGTGATCATTCAATAACTTCCAATTCAAAGGACATAAACACTATGAGTTGCAAGTTATAATATAGTTTTTAATTATTTGCGTAATTTCAGTATAGCTCAGCAAAAGCAGCCAAAGTTTCAGATCAAATAAGAGGGTGGATTGTCAAATCAATCAAGTAAGCAGATGCACTCCATCCCTCTATCCCAGTGCCAAATGGCATAAGGAACTAACAACATTTTAAAACCAACCTCACTACTACTTTCTTCTACATGAACCGGAAATGTTCAAAAAATCTCTCAGGGGAAAGGCTGAAGTAGAGCATGCACCGAAAAGAAATGAGCTATTTACGGCATATTCTACATCACTAATAAACTGCCTCTTTTTTCCTTTCAACAGTGAATTGTTTTTTTAAAATAAAACACATGAAACAGTAACAAAAGAATTTCCCAAAAATTTAAGGAGGAAAGGGACAGAGGAAAGGAAATGAAACGTACGATCTTATCAAGATAGCTCTTGATAGTAGAATTTTTCTCCCTGATCTCTAATTCTCTCTGCTCCACTAATTCCATCAACTGCCTCTTAGATTTGTGCAGCTCCACCGTCTCAGTCTTCAACCGTTCAATCTCCCCATCTTTCTCCATCTTTTTTCCCAATTATGACAACGAAGCGTTAGTAATGGAAAATATGGGGGACAAACATTAAACGGGCAATCGCTAAAGGTACATACGGATGAGATATTAATTTGGCGATTTTGAGCTTGGAGCTGAGCAATGTCGGAGACGCGTAGTTCGAGGGTGGAATTGAGTTCCGAATGTTGTGACTGGAGAGCGTTGAGGTCGGCGGAGAGGGAGACGTACTTCTGTTCGAGGAGCGAGCAAGTTTGCTCGGCGGTGATGGAGGCGGCTTCGCCCTGTGCTTTCACCGTCTCCAGTTGGTTCATTAATTCTCTGACGACGGCGTCAGCCCTCTCCGCCACCAGAGAAACGTCGTGCGAGCATTGCTCGAACTCTTCCGATGACATGAATATCGGCATTCTGAACTACGGCAACGAAGAGGAAAACCCTAAGTCGCGTATTTACGATGCTGAACTGAAGGCAACCAAGGAAACATACGGCGTCGTTTAGAAGCAAGCAATTCGAACAAACGATTGAGCAGGACTGAAGAAGCCTGAGGAACAGGAAGAAACGCAGGCAACGAAACGTCGAATAGAATGGGGGAACATATAATGGAAAAAATGTCTTTCTCCAGGAGAGAAGAAGAAAGAGGGACCTTCTTCAATTTTCGAATCGGGAGGGCCCTGCCAATTTGGGCTTACCACGCGTTGAGGCCCGTATGTTATATTAGTTTCGATTTTCGAAGGGCTTATTAATAGTTTCTATAAAGTTTATGGATCAATTAGTAATTTTCCAGAAATAACCGTTGGACAACCTATTTCTACTAGGATTCTGTTAGAAAACACCAGAGTCGGAATTCACCTTCAACACCGAAGCAGAATCTGATTTCGGACAAATTTGATCTCTTTGTTAGCAATTCCGGCGCGAAAAATGCCCGTAGAGAAGTCAATCAGCTTGAGGGTTGTTAACGTGCCCAGCCAAGATCAAACTCTCACTAACAAAGCCTTACTGTTCTACTGCTGATTTCCATGATTTCGTGACTCTCAGATCCAGACTAGCTTATGTTCTCGGAGGAGACGTGTTTTGTTCTATCCTTGTATAGCGATGTTAAGATTATTTCTGCTGAAATAATGATTGGACTGTGTGAATCCAGTAAATGCGCCCGGATTGTGAAGGTGTTTGAGAATGCTTATAAGTCACCACAAAGCATTATCATCCTCGATGATATTGAAAGGCTAATTGAATATGTTGATATTGGTCCTTGATTTTCAAATTTATTTCTTCGACATTGTTGGTGCTCCCTTTGGTCCTGAATACTATAAAGTGCTAGTGATGTCTAGTCGCGCAATGCGCGACCCTGGTCCAGTACATCTGTAGATCATAGAAATGTTTGTATTTGAAAAAAAATATTTTGCATTTGGCCCGATATATTTTAGAAATGTTTTATAAGTGTGATCATAGAAATGTTTGTATTTGGCAAAAAAAAGAAAGTGTATTTGGCCCGGTACGTTTTAGAAATGTTTGAATATTTTAGAAATATTTTATAAGTGTTAATTATTAAATATAAATAAACTTGATCAAGTATATCTCTTGAAGTAAATGTTAGACAAAATATAAAAGCATCTTAATAAGTTTAAATATTAGTAAGATGATTTATTGATGTTCTCCATTTGTCGTGCCAAATCAATATTTGGTTTTGGAGATTTATAATAGCTTTGTAGTAAGTTTCCTCCGAAGGGTATACATTTAATTGTTGGAACTATTTCTTCCAAGGGTTTATAGCTAGTAAAATATCGAAAATATGATTTTGAAACTGATTAATTGTTGAAACTGGTTGATCACAAATATGAGAACGAAAATTAATGTAAATTTGCATAGGTTTCAAATTATAGCAAAAAAGAACTCACCTCACCATGGCAAATAAAAAAAAAGTAAAAGAGTCTATTAAAAATTGAGAAATTTTTTTTCCATGTAGGTAAAAATGATGTATAAAACACAAATAAACGTAGAAACATCATTCCTTCCCTCTCCACCTCAAATTCATAAAGGCTTCCCCATAAATTAGTTAGAAGAAGTGGCCTGAACCATTTATATGATGAGTAATTTAAAAAAGTCCAAAAACCAAATCCAAAAAAGTATATTCTTGAAAGTCCGAACACCAAAAAAAAAAAAACGCGCTTCATTTGTAAAAATAATATAATAATTATAATAATAATAATAATTAGTCAACTGGGAGTATGAAACAAAATCAAAAGCAATTAAACAAAGGAAAAACACAATTCATAACTGACCATATACGAAAAAAAAACTGAGACTCCATAATTAAAAAAAAGAAAACCACTCTAAATGAATAAAACATAAAAAGGAAATAAAAAAAATCACACTTTGTGACAAAAACTCAATTGATCAATTCAATTCAAACAGAGTTAAAATCATACAAAAATTCTAAGCTGACTAACAATATAAGAAATCACATCATATTACCTGGCAACGGCTACGGTAGCTATAACGGGTGGACGCATAAAAATAATTGTAATAACACTATTCTTGAACGGAAAAAATAAAAAATAAAAAGCCGTACAAATGATCCGTGGATATAAAATTATTTAAATTTTAATATCTGTAATGGTACTACTACAACGGTCGAAAGCAACATCAATGAGAAGTTTTTTTTCCCTTTGTGTTTATATAGAGAGGTAAAGATAATATTTTTTGAAGTCAAAATTTTATCTGATTATGATGTAGTTGATCATCACCAATGAAAAGATTGAACATGCTAATAGGAAAGAAATATATTTCACCACATATTCTTAATTGATGATTGATGAGAAATTTTTTTTTTTTTTATTGTGGAGAAGGGATTGATTAGGGAGTCGATTGTCGTGGGGATGGAGATGGGGATTTGTGTTTTTTATGAAGCTGTATTTTTTTTTTTGTTTTGGCGAAAATAGGAGGTGATGGTGGATTTGGACTGCATTTGTCTTTTAAGTCTAAGAAACTGATGTGTAAATAAAAATTTATTTTAAAAATATGATGTGGAAATGCCACATGGCAAATGGTAGTGCTTTCTCTTAAGTGTGATTTTTGCTTCTAATATAGTAAGATTTTGGTTTGTTATAAGTTTTATCTACGCATTTTTTTTTACCAAAAATTTAAAAATAATTTATAACAATCAAAGATAACGAATGTGAAAATATATTTTTTAGATTTTTTTTTTATCAATTTAAAATATGTCTTATATTAAGAACCAGGTGGAATACTTCTTAATCGGTTGCCCCCAAATTCAATTTATGGTCCGTTGAACATTATTAGTCTACTATCGCTGGTATTAGGACAGAGTGAGTACATGCTATGAAAGGTGAATGGATTGTGTTTGTGATCTTAGTTGTATACTTGCACACTTACAAAAGCTCAAGCAACTGCACACTTGCATTTTTGCGCGTTTACTTAGTGCAATTACGCCCTTACAACTCAGAACCAAGCAATTTGCATCAGGTGGTTAAACGTAAATAGATTTTCTTTGAAATTTTAGTACTACACACTTATCAACAAGTAAAAAATGTTACATCATAGTATTATGTCACAAGAATCAATCTCATCGGGACTAAAAGTACTCAAAATCAACATAGGAAGGATCACTAGAAGTGGAAGAACTACAACTCTTGTTTTTATCACTCGCAATCTCAGCCATCTTCTTGTCCGAATGACCAGTCGTCGCTCCTCCTCCTCCGGGGACTGCCCCTGGCCCTGCGTCTTTGCAACCACCACCCACAGCAGCAAACTGACCAAAATCAACAGGTTCAGGAACATGAGGAGGATGAGCACTTCTAATAAGAGCCCAATTCACCCCTTCGAAAAACGGATGCTGTTTGATCTCAGTCGCGCCTCTCTTATACGCGATCCGCTTATGCGGCTCCTTAACCAACAGCCCTCGAATCAGGTCACGAGCCGTGACGCTGACTTGAGGGCTGTCTGGAAACCGCAAAGGTTGACCAACAACGTTAAACAAAGTGGCTCGATTCCCTGCGCCTTTAAAAGGCGTTGTCCCGTGTAAAAGCTCGTACAAGAAGATCCCAAATGTCCACCAATCCACCGCACTGCCATGACCTTCCCCGCGAATGATCTCCGGCGCTAGATACTCGTGGGTCCCGACAAACGACATGGATCGTACGTTGGTTGGTTCAGCCATTAGCTCAGGGAGTGCCCCGCCCACAAACAACCCGAAATCTGATTTAGATTTTCTGTTCTTTTTGCTAGGAAGAATCCTTGGGAAAAATGTTAATGATGGCTGCATCATACAACCTTGTACCGCGTGATCCTCATCCAAAATGCTCAAACTGTTAGAACTACTACTACTTCCGCCAGCATGAACAGATGAAGATTTCACCAGTGTTGGACTAACGGAGCAACGAAGTGAGAGGTCAAAATCAGACAGCATTATATGACCTTCATCTCTAACTAACACATTTTCTGGCTTTAAATCTCTGTAAACAATTCCCAGCATGTGCAAATACTCTAATGCTAATAACACTTCTGATGCATAAAACCTGCCCCCAAAAAATTACAAATACATAATTAGTGATATGATTACAATGATTTGGCTTGATGGCCATCAATTACATTAATCATGCATTTCTGGATGGATGAAACTCTCACCTGGCAGCATCCTCGGAGAAATGCTTGTTAGGTTGCTTCTGTCTAAGGGTATGAAGATTACCGCCACTGCAGAATTCCATGACCAAGCAATAAAATTTCTCTGTTTCGAAATACGAATACAGAGTAGGCAAGAAAGGGTGATCAAGCAAACTGAGGATTTCCCTCTCAGTTTGAGCTCGGAGCAACTTGTTCCGGCTAGCAAGCGACCCTTTGTCCATCACTTTCATGGCGAAATACGTGTCGGTTGCCCGGAGTTCTACCAGGTATACGCTTCCAATGTCTCCATACCCAAGCCGCTTCAACAGCCGGAAATTGCTTAGTCCAAGTGGTGAATCCCTCTGGGCGGCGGAATTGATGGCATCCCACCGGACATCGCCGCCGGTATGGGGCTTGAGAGGTGGCGCAGCTGCGGCGATGGAACAACTCTCTAAGCTGTCACTTCTCATATGACTCATACTATTATTGTTATTGTCCATGATCTTATTGGGCTCAAATAATGCATGTTCTGATGATGGATAACCACTCATCTGCGTCCAATACAACACAAAACATCTCAATTACTCTGCTTTTGTTTCATTATTTTCTTCTAGGAAACAAAAAAAATAAACAAAACGATCAGGTTCATTCCTTAATGGTAGAAATAAAATGAATGCATAACGCGAACCTGGAACGAGAGACTTCACACTTGGGGTGTGATGTCATTTTATGTACAACCTGTGACGTATTAATTAAGGGAATGCACGTCTCTGCATTGTCATTGACCATTGTTAACGTGGAAGAAAAAAATTACAACCTGCAATAACAGTGTTTTTTGCAAACTGAAAATAAGTAGAAAAGATTAAAAAAGAAAAAAAGATGAACCTTCAATGATTTGGGGGGAGACACAGAACGATGCTAGAAGAGAAGGGGAATCCAACCCTTTGCTTTACATGAAGATTCATATGATATATCATCAAGGGGAATGTGAATACGAGGAGGAATGGAGCCAAGGAAAACACAAGAAGGAAGGAAAAAGGAAGAATGAGGATTCGTGTTGAATGGGAACAACAACATCCTACAATTTGTGATGGTTTCTGTGTTGGTGGAATGATGGGAGAAATTTGAGGAAAGCAGGAGACAGAGAGAGAAAACAGAGAAATTTGTCCATTCATTAACATCCTCTCCTCTTCTTTCTTTTCTCCATACCATTACATCTCTCTCTTCCTACACTACTTTACTACTAATCAGCCATGCAGTAGACTTATAAATTAAAAAATTTTTAATCATTCAAAATAAATGGAAACTGTCCAAGTTTTTTTTTTTTCTTTTTTTTCCGTGATGGGCATCCCGATTTTATTAATTAAAAGCAAAGATTACAAAAGACCGTCCAAAATATTCTTATAAATAACTCAGAAAACCACACCTAACGACTTTTCTTCAATCGTTTGACAGTAGAATCGGCATCTAATTTTCTGAAATTTGCAAACCACACCTATCAAGTGGGAGGGGAAAAAAAACAATAACATCCAACTTGAGCTCAAACAAGGGCTTCAAATTTAGTATAAATTTTGTCAATACACCTCACATTATTTCATATATAATTTTTTTTTTTTGGTTGTATACATTTATAATTAGTATTTTTTAATTATATACTCTTTCCAATCCTCCTATTTATAAAGTACCAAAAAAATGTCACAACATTTATACAAGTCAATCGAAGAAATTGTAGATGTTAAAAATTAAGAATCAATGTTAAGTTTAGCTGTAACTAACACTTCAAAGAAAAAAGAATAAGTAAGATTGTGACTGTCTCGAGAAGAAGACCGATACATTGCAAAATGGTAGAAATGCCTTGTTATCACTAATACAATTACACTTGGCAGACGTTCTGTACAACAATATTGCTTTGCTTTTTAAATAGTTCATCCTACTACTTTTCGTTTTGTCTATTGCTTATCATTTACAGGGAAATTACTCCATAAAAAAAAAAATTTTAAATACCCCCAAAATTAGGGCCACCCCTTCGCCCAAAAAATGAACATATTTATAATCATCATGAGCCTGACAAAAATATCATTCCCTGGAAATGGGGCATAAAAATTAACCCAAAAAATTTCACCATTAATCAGAACAGTGAGTGAGCTGCAGCTGGAACCTTCGCAAAGAGCATTTGCCCATAAGCAGCAGCTGCTTGTGTCACTCTTAGTCATCAATATCTTGAACCCATGCCAAATCTGCCCATGATAACCCAAACTATCAACACAATCTCATGCAAGGAGAGATCACATACTATCATAATTAAGAGAGAGAGCGAGCAGACCTTGCAGGACAGATTCAACAGCTGCATTTGGGATTAGCAATCCAACAATTCTCTTATTGTCAGACGTAGTTTCTACCCTCACAACCCGGATTCGTTTATGGATTTGTCTAGCCTAAAGTAAATAAGAGAAACTGAAAAGGTAAACAATTCGTCTTTTGATTCAATCGTAACAATCCTTCATGCAGAAAAAATAAAGACACCTAAGTTTTAAGGCTTTCATGAGCAGCTGCTGATTTGTTTAGATGACATGGCACTTTACTGAAAGTTCAGAGACAGATAGTAGGGACAGCAGACAGGCATACAGATGTACATACATGCAGGCATGCAGCTGAAATGTCCAGGCTACCAATAACGATCTGGTTATTACATCAGCTAAAATGTGAAAATAATGTTAGTGGATAAAATGCAGCCAACGTACCTGCTTGGAGAGAGCCTTCTCTATGGTTCCCCAAATTGGAAGAATGAGGCCACCTAACACATTCACCTCCTGTAATCGTCTCCCGACTGTACAGTAGCTCCCTAACTTACACTTAGGTCCATGCATGCACTGAACACAAAATTTAATTCCACTTAACGCTCTTACATATTGCTCATTTCATTTTACAAGTTCAGTGCCAAAAGCAACCCAAATAAAAAACATATAACTAGCCAAGGGAACTTCCAGAAAAGCCATTCCTTTGAATAACTGGTGCAAATGTTATACCTGCTTCGAAGAAACATCGTATTCATCTTCCCAACAGGTACGAGCTTTCTCTAAAGAGGAAACCTTACGATACTTGTCTTTTAATTCTGCCAGAGGCATTTCCCTGTCCATTTAGAGAACCAATCACTTACTGAACAGGAAGAGTAACGGCAGATGATGATGCTAATTATATCAACACCACATTAAAGTGGAAACCAGAATAATTACCACATTTACCTCAAGGCCTCCCCAACAGCAGGACGGAAAATCTTGTAAAAATTGCTGGAAGATCTGAATCACAAAAATATAGGAGCTTTTAGATGTAAATAATCTTAATAATTCCGTTCAAGTGTTAATAAGTCAATATGTAAGTTGATAGAATGCATCATACGCACCCCTCAAGTGCTAATAAGAAGTGTCGTCTTCCCAACCACTCCCTCTTAGACTCATAAAAACCATTGCTGCTTGAAGCACTCCCATCCCCTTGCCTCTCATCCATTAGTGCAGAAGCAGACTACAATCAAACAAGACAAAAACCAAATCCAAAATCACGATTGAAACCAGTGCATGAATGAAAATGGTTTCAAAATAACAAAAGAATCACCTCCCAGGTGATTCCACGGTCCAATGTGAAAGTAAATAGTATGGTCGATGCCCCAGACGTACTGTCAACATGAACAGTCTGCAAGATCACAAATGTTACAAGTGTGCTTACCATAAAGTAGCAAGAGCAAATAGAGGAGGTTTTTATAACCTTGGGAGTCTCTCGTAGCTCAACACTACTAGCTTTCATATCAATGATCCCAGAATCCAAGTGTCCCTCGGTGCGTGCATTCTGAACAAGAAGATCAAGGATGCTGACAAATAACTCAAAAAGCCTGTAGACATACCAAAGAATCAAAATTATTTAATGTTCACGATACAATAGTTACATCAAAATTTGACAAATATGCACCTATTTTGGATCTCTGGCGGAAGACCTAAAAGCCGGTTGAGGAAACGCCCAACATCATGCATATCTGAATCAACTATGCGCCCAGTAATCTTCCCATTATCCTTTCCATTACCTTTGAACAAGAAATCAAAAATGGATCACGTAGCACATCAAAGGTTCATCATTGCAAACAAAAAAAAAAAAAAAGGTTCATCATTGCAAACTACGTGAGTATCTTATATTTCTGATAAGATGTTTATTATTCTTTGAAGCAATTAATACTTTGAAAAGCAGTACACTAAGAAAATAATCCTTTCTAGCCACACAAAACATGGGGCAAAAGTTCTAGATATATTTCTTTCACGGGCAGCAAGCACGACAGTTGAAATAAGACGAATTGCTGAATCCACCAAGGCACAGGAAGAATTAAAACATTAGTAGAATAAGAGCCTATCTAGATACAACACGAGAATGTCCATCACTGTCGCTGCTATGAATTTGATTGGACAGCAGAGCTAAAATATTACCTATAACCGAGTCTCTTATAATTCCAACAGATACAAGAGCAGCTTTCCCCTGCAAAACAAAATCTTGGATTGAATCTGGCTTTTCAGGTGAGCATCCTGGGGGTACAACAGGCAAACGGTCCTGAAAAAGCAATTTAATCGAAACCCAATCATGTAGTTAGTTACAAATTTAACATAAGTGCGCACCAAAAGAGAAAACAGACCATGACAGAGGACACATGCCTGCTCCAGGATGCCTCTGTACAGTATCATGAGAGCTCTCTTCCCATAGGTACTATCATAGTTGTACGCACTTAGAGATGGTCCAGCCCTGCACAAGAAGAATATTATTTTGGTGGACATATATGCATATGCAGAGAGGTATGCATGGAAATTCTTTACAGGTTATTTTCTCAACAGCACATAGAGACAGTAAATTTCCTTAGAGACTGATGGGTCATTTGGTCTTGGATTAAGTTTTTTGTAACAAATTTATTATCACTGCATTGACCACCAATGAGTTGAAGATACATTAGTGACAATGGAAAGTCATCCTGATTTTGTCACTATCAACATCATCACTGTTATATCAATGATTAAATATGAGTCGCTACCTACCTGCGGTCTCCTTGAGTAAGAGCTCCAAGAGTTTCCAACCTCTTGGCAACAATAGATGCAAATCGTCTCTCACCTCCTAGATTTGTAAACAGTAACCTAAAAAGAGTAAAGAAACACATGACCTTCAGTTTTAGACAACTAAATTTGAAAAAGGAAATCAGCAGTACGTGATGCGTGAATGAGGATAATACAGAACAGAATATATAAGGCAGAGACATCTTTCCATAGATTAGAATATGATACATACCTATACTCTGGTGCAGAAGCTTGGTTTGAACGGTGAGTTCTGCCAAATTGTTGAATAGCTCTGTCAGCACTCCATGGTAGCTCCAATGTCAAATGGACCCTTCTTTTCTGTCCATAAGGAAAACAACTAACTTAAATGGGACAAAAGCAAAAGCAAAATCACAGGGGGAAAAAGTAAATACGTACAATAAATAAAAACAATATTTGAATTCTTTAGTAAACCTGATTTAGGGCCCTTCTATCTGCTTGCAAAGAAACACCAGCTGACCCAGCTTCGGAAATGATAGCTACCAGCTTTTTCCCATCCATAAATAGTTGTTTCTCATGCATATTAACCATTTCCATGGTTACCTCCTTGCTGTGGTAACAATATGGATGAGATCAGCCGCCAAGATGGAGAAAAAAAAATAAACGTAAGAATAGATAAAAATGGAGCTAAACCAAACCAACACTGACGTGTTTCTCGCCAGATAAGTTACACCTTTCCCACCAGAAACCCTAACAAGCATGCCGCGCCTTCCTGTAATTTCGGCAACTTTATCGGGGCCACCAAGCTGCCGAAGATTTATTGGTCAGGAAAGTGACTAAAGTAGAGGATTAAAGAAGCAATAGTTAACAGCTTCCCCAGCTAACCTGATCAATAATATCATCTAAAGGATTATTCGGAAGATCCAAGGAACGAATTATTTCCAAAATCTTGAACTTACGCTCCAAAGCTCCATCATATCTGAAATTATGTTATAATTGATTAGTACACGTTCATAACACGCAAACTTCATGTCAAGTAATTTCAAACATAAAAACCTTTTATGCAGTTCTTCAAGATAGAGACGTCTTGCTTGGAGATACTCCTCTGTTTTTTCCTTGCATGTATAACAAGACCAATCATTGGGTACGGCTTCCTCAACAGGTGGTACTACACAAGCAGGATGCACAAGTTGGCCACAACAGGAACACTGCAACAACTTCTTCCTTTCCTGCAGTTAACACAATACAGAACAATGAATAAAAACCTGTCAAAAAAACTATCAGAAGAGAATAAATATTGTACCTCTTCCAAACTACAAATATCACAGATCTGAAACTCATCGTCATCTGATTCAGTAGTCTCTTCATCTGAGTCCACTGCAAAAATAGAAACATAAATCAGCAACGATTAGTGACAATCAAACACAGATTTAGAGCAATAAAAGCAAGGGTTTGAGTATCTTACGATCTGATTCATCAGGACTTTCATCGTCTAGTTGTTCCCACTTTGCAACTTTCCTTGCTCTCCCCCTAACAGGAACCTCAGGAGTCGCCGAATGCCTCTTTCTTTGAAGCTCCATGACACTTTCCTCTAATAATATCAATAAACTCAAACTAAGGTAGGGAGAAAAAAATCATGCAGAAAGTAAAAAAGCACATTTAAAAGATTTGCACGGTTCTTCCTGTTGAAAAATGAATTCTCACCTGGGAGTGGTTCCGGTTTTTCAGGGAGAGGATAATTTTCTTCAACGAATTTCAGCAACAGTTCACGAGGTCCAGAAACAAAATCGTCGAGTTCAAGACCCTAATTTTAATAATAGAAAAAAGAACAACATTGAGAACATCACAAAATGATCGCGCACAATGTTACAGCGCTATGCAGCGATATTCATATGCAAAACTTGAAACTCACATATTTTGATACGGCCTCCTCAGTTCGAGCCTCTCCGGTACTCTGGAGGCCTATCACAACACATTTGCTATCCGCCAATGCTTGCTTAGCTAGTCTTACTAGAGCCGGCACCTTAGCTGACAAACACAAGTGCCTAAAGAAACGCTAGAACAGCAAAAGAACAAAGAAAACCCACAAAGTTACTTTGTCAGTGAAGATAATAAAATATAATAATAAATATATAAATAAGTAAAAATCTTAAAAGGTAAAATTCACAGCAAGAAACAAAAAGGAAAAACACAGAAATTCAGAAACCTGATGATTCGCCCAATATAATCTCCATAGCTGACTAGTGTTAGGCTTTGCATTGGTAAGAAATGCGCTAGCTGACATCAATTCAACCCTCAATTCTGCCCAAAATTCTGCTGCCTTTTTGTAACTTTCCTGTGGTGAACAAAGTGGCAAGCAAAAACAACAGATGTAAACTGTGTTAGAAATGGAATGTGTAGACCTTTTTGATTGCAAGAAGATAACCCACTACATCAAACCAATAATTTACAAACAAACATAACCCACACTTCGAATGGCAAATGTAATTTCTTTTCGATTACTGTTATAGGCTAACAAACTTTACCATCATCTTGTCCTCCAATGGCACTTCAACAACTTCAAATTCAGCACCTTTATAGCTCAGTGTTCGACAAACATACATACCCCTAACAAAAAAACAAGCTAACCTCAAAACCTCATTTGACATGAAAAGAATATCATCCACCAGAAAGAACATAAAGCTTCAAACCTTGCTTTCATGTCCATCGCAACAAGTTCGAGTGCTCCAACTCCACCTTTCTCCATAGAACCTAATAGAGACCAGCCAAGTTTCCAGTATTAACACACAGATACAGGCATGAGCATAATAATAACCAAGCTGAAATACAAAGTTTAAAAAGAACGTAACGGTGTTCCATATAATAATAGACAAGGAACAAAGAGTTCATCTCATAATGTGGGAACCACACCTAAAAAATCACGGAAGTTGAGAAAAGAAGTTCCAGCACCCCAAAGACCAAGGCGAACCATATAACCCAAATTACGTGGTTCAGAAGCACCCGTTGCTGAACAATAAATAACACGAGCTTGAGGAAGCCGAGCCTAAAGTACACAGAGAAAACAAGAAATTAGTCATGTAAAGCAAAGCAGTAGCTCATAGAAGAATCATCAAAAAAATTCAGAAAAAGGTACATAAAATATGCACGCAGTTATCTGTGGAACCACATGAATTAACACGGAAGATCCGTTATATTGCATGTGTTTTCCCACCTAGCGCTGAAACCACAAGAACAAATGCCTATAGGAAACTAGTGTAGGCTGTCAGTCATGATGCAAGACAGTACAACCTTATACGATGATCAACATTGCATCTTAGCATTTCAGGTAACAGGCATACCTGGATCTCGAGAACAGCTTCCCCTGTCCTGGTTGGTTGCCCACCAGCTTCAGGAACTAAATTTTTCGCTTTGTGACACTATGAAACCAAACCAAAATTACAAGACAAATCAAATGTAATGTCTAGCCAAATCCACAACTAACAGAAATTTAAACTTGGAGATATGCAACAACGATAGACAATGGACTGAAGGTTTAAAGTTTCAAATAGAGCACACTAAAGTAACAGAGAGAACTATATTAAGCCAAAGTGCAAAGGGTCATGTCCTCTGCAAAGCATAAAATAACATACCTCATCAAAAATGATAAGACCATCATATTCTGGTCCACACCATTGTACAAGCTGTTGCAGACGGCTTCGACCTTTCTCAGAAGAAGCAATAAGGCTGCTGTATGTCAAGAATATGACACCCTCCCTGATGCCGACAGACTTTGAATCAAGCTTAGAATAAGGCAGCTTGTTTAATGCATGAACTACAAAAAGGCAGATGCATTCAGTTCAGCACAGATTCATTTGGTAAAGAATGCTAACTTCATACATTTGTTAAAAGCATTAAGACAAAAGAGAGAAAAAACTCAGTGCTTGTTTGGACGTCATCTTACATTTCATTTTGCCACTAAAAAGTGGAAAGTGTTTCAAGTTGAAAACTAAATGGGAAATGAAAATGTTGTTTGAATGGTATTTTGAGCAAAAAGTTGTTTGGATGTTAGTTTTGAAAAAAATATTTTGAACTACATTTTGAAAATATCAAGTACGAGTCATCACTAAACAATTAAATACTGTCAATTATAGTCACTGCAAAAAAGAACTTTTCCAAAAACAATCACTCAACAACGGAATCCTGCCAAATTTGTCATTGAACTATTTGTAGTTCTAAAATGGTTATTACACTAACAAAAAGTGTTTCAAGTTGGAATTTAAAATGTAAATTAGAAAGTTGTTTGGATGATGTTTTCTTTTGCATTGGATTTTGTGTTGAAGGGGTAAAATGAGTTAAAATGTAAAATGAGCGCTTGTCCAAACAAAGCCTCATTAGAACTAAACATCATCAACTGCCAAATTAAAATTTTAAGCCTTTATTTATGTAGCTCCTATATACTCCCTCCATTCCAAAATATATGTCGTTGGAGGAAAACTAATTTTTTTCAAAATAGATGTCGTTTTCGCATATCTAGGCATATTTTGTCAATTTCTTCCAACATTGCCCCTACACAGGAAATTGTAATTGTATTTAAAGTAGAAGTGTATTAGAGTTAAGTGATATTGGGAATAGAATTGTATTGAGAATAAATGAGGGTAGTTTAGTATTTTAACCAAATATTTATTGTCTCCTTAAACTTAGTGAAACTCCTTCAGCGACATATATTTTGGAATGGAGGGGTAGTTGATCTTTTAATAAAACCATACATCCCTCAAAATATTATCTTCTATTTCTATAAAGCTAGAATATCTGCAATGTGGAATGCATTTCGAACCTTCAATACACGATGCACCCACATCATCCAAGTCTCTTCTAGCGTCAAATTTCAAATCAGAGCCAACAGAAATCCATCTGCAAAAACGAAGAAGGAATACATTTGGGAATTATTATATGTGCGAATTCTAACTCATCACAGAGCAGAAGCCAGTCATGCAACTTTTATTCTTGGTACCTTTTCAAGATCCTTGAAGGGATTGATAAAATTGTAAACCATAAAACAAAAGAACAACATATAAAATGCGAAGAGTGCTGAAGGGTAGACTCTTACAGAGCTTTCCGTCTCATGTGGTGCCAATTTTCCCATATCAACCCAGCTATTGTTCTCCCTTTGCCCACGCCAGCACCATCTCCAACAAAAAACCCTGCCCTTGCACCATTAGGAAGGTGTTGAAGGTGTCTCTGGAATGGAAGCAACAAATAATCAAGATGTAATTATAGAATAAAATTTAATTACGTCAGAGGAATTACTATAAAAGCAACCTGACTGGCATAAACTAAAGTCTCAATCTGCAAACATGACAGTGCTTTTGAACCTTCCAAATCATCCTTGATGGCAAGACTGTAAGTGGGTTCAGGAGGCTGCACTGCAGATAAGGATGACGTCTCCACAACAGGGTCTGGATGCGGAGGACCAATCGATACTTTTGGAGGCCGCTGCAGGGGTTATGACAATTAGAACGAACACTGGAAAAGAAATATTAACAATAATCTAGCAAATACTGATGGAGATATTGCAAAACATAAATATATATAAGAGGAAGAACAATTACATAATCAGTGAATGTTTCCCCAGCTGCTCCACCTTCATCTTCTTCCCGCTCCACTTCAATTGCAACCTGATAGAGTTCGAATGCATGTCAGAATACAAAAAAAGAAAAAAAGTAAATAAATATCCAGATACACATTCGAGGCAATCTAATATTGATTGATGCCACTAAAACCACAATTTTTTTTCCTTTTTTTTTTTTTTTTTGGGGGAGATGATACTACATCCTATTCCAGATTACACGTTCACAATCAAATGCAGAACAGTATCATTATTACGAGCGACCAAAGGGGGAACTCTATTTAAGGAATTCAAATTCACAAAGCCATGAGAAAAGCATACATTATTACACTACTGATATTCTCCATATTTTGCCTAAGCTTATAATCATAAGCAACAAAATGATTTTTTTATTTGCTCCTCCAAATGAATGAACTACTTATAATATCATCATGGTTTCCATCCGTGTTCCTTCCATTAAAATACTTTAGTTGAGAAAATTTCATCATAAGTATAGTAGTAGTTCCTTCCAAAGAGCGTTCCATAATCCACTTGACCCAAAGGAGTAGATAATTTGTCATTATACACAAATCCAATAACACTTTTACAAATACTTCTTTAGAAAGATGGACCATATATGGTGCAATTTATATACTAAGATGCACCAAATATAGAAGAAATCCAAGAGCAAAGTTACTACCAACAAAAGTAAAAGAATTCCAAACAGCAACAGCAATAAAGTTTAAAAAGCAGAAGAAAATGTGGAAAGGAAAGTGAGAATGAACCTCGTTAACTTCTTCGGGGAGAGGGGGAGGCGGGAGGAGAAACTGTGGAGGCGGAGGAGCACCGGGGAGTGGCTGAGGGAATAAGTGGTTAATCTTAGAGAGATCAACGGCGAGGTCGACGCCACACTGAGGACAATTGAAGCGGGACAGACCGTGCGGCACATTCAGTATTGCTTTGCAGTGGGCGCATGGGAGCTGGATCTTCGTAGGATCAATGCCGTGCGGGGTGGAGGGGTTGTTGCTTCGCTGCTGTGACAACAAGAGCTCCGGCGGCAGCATCTGCGGCAAGTTGCACTTAGGGCACACAAATTCGGTGAGACCGGTGGCGACGGTCAATATCATCTTGCAACCAGCACACCGCACTTGGCTACCGGAGGCCTCGCTAATGCCCTGGATGACGGGTAGTGGTGGTAGAGGTGCTGTTAGGGTTGGTGGCGCCGGCGGTTGTGGCGGTGGCGCCGCCCGAATTGGTGGAGGAGGCGATGGGATAGAGGGAGGCGGTCCAGACGACGGCTGCCCAATCTCCATGATTCTTTGTAGCCTCTTCTTCAATTGGTTAGTTGTTGCCCGAATTGAACATGGGGAAGGCTAATAATAATCTTTTCTGATCGGCGACCAGAATTTTGGGCGGCAAAATAACTGGAAATGGAACCTCCGGCAGACGTTCCAAGAATTCGAGCGGCAAATTGAAAATGGGCTACACTCTATAACTAATGCCTTGGTTTCCTTTTTTTTTTTTTTTTAATACTAGTAATACTTTACTCCATTTTTTTCAAAAAAAGAGTACTCAATTTTGTATTTTTACCTTTTTACTTTTTGAAGTAAAACTCCAACTTGTATTGATTTTATTTTTTCACGCCCAAAAACTTTTCAGTAGCTAGCATTGTTTCGTACTACAATCTAAAATTCTCTAAATTAATAGGCTTGGACCCCAAAAATTTATTAATTTATCGATAAATTAATAATTATTGATTTAAAGAGTTTTTCAATCCTAATAATGGATAATCGTTGCGAAGAAGAAAAGAAAAGTCAATTATAAATATGGACTTTTAACTTTATCATTAAGGTACTAGGATTCTTTTTCTGTAGCTACAAATTTTGGATTTCCGGAAAAGAAGCATTAAAGGCAATAGAGTTAACTCGTCATAATTTTTTGTCACAAAGCGACACCGAAACTTTTGAATATAATGAGAAAAATAAAAAATGATGTCTCTATTGATATAAATTTTAAGAAAAAACAAAGATCAATAGATTCATATTTTATTATAAATTTTATTAGTTTTTGTTTAGTTAATTATTAATTTATGAAGATGTGGGACCTATATTTACTTAGGGGATTTTTAAAAATTTATTATCTTATAATTTAATTGAGTTTTTTTATTTTTTGTACTGATTCGAATTGGGACCTTAAAAAATTATTATTTAATGAAGGTTATAAATTTATAGAGGATTAATTTAGAGAGATTTTACTGTAGTTTCATTAGTTTGAATGGCCTACTGCGTACCTTGATTTATTTTGTTTTGCCCCAAACAACTGTTTTAAACTTACAATTCTTTTTTTCGAATTTTTTTCTTACATTTCCTGCTACAAAAATTTGTGCATTTTGTAGTTTGTGCTTGCATAAACATCAGTACTATGAAGTATTGGATTGTGTAATATTACCCTTCCATTCTAAGAAAAGAGTCTATCATATAATTTACTATGTACGCAAACTTTTTTTGAGAGAGTATAAAGAATGGTATTATTATTCTTCTTCTTATTATAAATTGTGTAACGAATATAAATTCCATCATCACTTTTCCAATGCATCGAAAACGTAAATATGCTCAATGCCATTCATTGATCCAAGCCGGAAACTGGATCACACAACTCCAGTACACTAAAAAGTCAAAACATACAAATATATGTTCGTTTTCTTCCATTCTAAATCTCTGCTTGTATATGTCTGATTCTCCTCATGTTCATATATCCATGTAATAAAATTTAATTCATTACAATTTTAAAGCAAAGAAAACCTATAATTTCTGGTTCCCCTAAACGTAAGGATCGAAGTTTGCAGAAAACTAGATACTGGCTAAACCTTTTGACAAATCGGCCACCCTATCTTGATTAATTGGCTCAATATACCAATTGGGTTGGGTACTTGATGGTTGTATTGTAGATATATGCAAGACTCCTCTATGGTGATTATACAACGTTCTCCTATGCCCTATACTTACATAAGTTATACCAGCAGCTTCTATATGCCCGTATAAATTAGCCTGCAAAAAAACGGGAGACGAAATTCATTAGTAGTCATAATGAACTGCTAAACATGAAAACTCATGACTGTCTTTTCTTTTTCACTTCATTTATTCAAAAGGAAGGTAATAAGTGATCAGATCAAAACCTATTTCGCTAACAGAAATAGTATGGCTTCAATCACACGTTGAAGTACCTCATTTGTTTCATCCAAAGCACTTGTAGCCTCATCCAGTAGAGCCAAGGTTGGTTTTGAGAGCAATAGCCGCGCAAATGCAAGGCGTTGCTGTTCACCGAGTGAGAGTACACTGGACCAGTCATTTGTCGAATCAAAACCGTCACAGCGTGATAATAGATGCCCTAGGCGAACAACCTCAAGTACTCGCATTAAATCTTCTGTTGTAGGCTTTTCAGGCCTAACTGTGTCGTATTTGATGCTTGGCACTTTATTCAGGAAAGGCAATGAATCTGCAAGATTAATCAATTCATATGAGTAGCAAGCATTACACACCTGTAGTCAAGACACAGTAAGCAACATGACATGGCAGCATTCGATCAACTCCAGAAAAAAATAAGAATACAAGCACAAATAAGTAATAAAATGCACAAAATGCAAGATGGGGACAAACAGCTAATATAAACAACTGCGGTCGCTATGGCTTCTGAACTTCAACTCTACCAAATCAAGACAAACAGCATCGTGTTATAATCAGAAGAAAAAAAAGTTCTGATAAGTACTCCCGAAAAGAAATAAAGTTGTCCATGTGTAGTCAAATTCATGCTAATCTATATTCACACAGTATACCCAAACATATCCAGCCACCATTTGAAGATGCATTTTTGAAAAATCCTCAATGAAGAAAAGCAAATGCTATGCAATAACATGAAGGTGCAATATAAAATTTTCTTCAAAAGGAACTGCAACAAGCACACACAAGTAGAGACTCTGCGAAACAGTACCTTTTGATTCGGTATCACCAACTGCAGAAGTAAGATCTTCAATCCAAGTAGGATAAAGCAATTGCTGACGAAGAGTTCCCAGGACCATGTATGGTTTTTGAGGCAGGAAAAATACATTTCTACAGCTTCTGCGGCTTTTTAAACTTCCTTCTACATTGTGTGTACCAGCAACTAGACCAGAAGCTGGATCTTCATTATTGGATAGTGGAGAATCTCTGGTATCTCTAGTGTAGAACGAGATTTTTCCATGACCATAATTCCAAAGCCCTGCAATAGCTCTCAATAATGAAGTTTTCCCGCTTCCACTCGGTCCTGTTATCTGTTCACGGAATAATGCATCATTAATGAAACAACTATACCTACTTTCTAGCAGGCTTAAGGTTTAAATAAAGAAGAAACAGATAGCCAAACCAGTAAATGATTCTTCTCGTGTATTTCAAATGACAAGTCCCTTATAAGGGTTGTTCCACTGGTTGGTGTCTGAAGGGTCAAACAGTCAACATCAAGTAATTTCACACGCTTGTCAATAAAAGGTACAGATCCATTGGTTTGCACAGGTGCCGAAGTTAAGCTGTAAACTTGAAGCTGAATTTCCCCCATGGGTTCAGAGCCACCTTTGATGTTTTGGATATCCAAGACATCATCAAACTCTCCTGCCAGTTAGTACCACACAGAATCGTAAACCACTAAATGAAGCCCAATAGGAAATTCCGAAATTCAGTGAGTGCAACTTGAAACCAAAACTAACGTAAATTTCACAGATAATCCAACTGAACTTCAAGAGAGAAAACACAAGACATTAATCTCATTGTTTCCCCCTTTCTTTACCAAATATGAACACAATCTTCTCCAACACCAACATCTCAGAGATCTCTGCATTCAAGGCTAGAAGAACATTTAAGATTTACCCATTTTTTAATCGTCTTTTTACATGAACGCTTAACCTAGTTACTTCAGGCAAAAAAACTAAGGAAGCAAATCATGCTGTGCAACTCAGGAGTACTCCCACAGAGTAACAACGAACTTTTTTCAGCAAGAGAAAGACAGGGTACCTAATCGATCGATGATGGCTGAAAAGGCACTGATAGCTTGAAACTGATAAACAACGAGAGAGAAATCTCCAAGAATATGATTGAAAGCCGATACAGATTGATTGATGACCCCAAATTCAATTTTACCAGAGAAATACATAGGTGCCACAACTGCAACAGGGAGAACTTGGATAAGATAGCGATAGCCATTGGTGAAGAACTCCAAATTTCTCGAAGATATTAAAAGTTTCTGTAAAAGTAACACAACACAATATATCATCATAAGGACATGATATATGATGAAGAATGAAGAAAGAATAAAGTAGCAGTTAGATAGAAAGCATATTGCACCTAAAACATTCAAGAAGAAATTATGAAGTAATTCAAAAGTTTTCTTACAGTTAGATTTTCAAAGGCGCTTTTGAATCGATATAGCAGCAGCTGCATCTCATTTTCCTCACCACCATAGAAAGCAATTGATTCAGCATTTTCTCTAATGCGTACAAGTCCATAACGAAAATCCGCCTCTTTTTTCTCTTGCAGGAAGTTCAAAGTTACTAATCCCTGAAAGTGACAGAGAGGTTTTCCTTCATCAGAACCAAAAGAGTAAACTATCTACAATGAGAAATGCATTTGATAAATATGAAGACGGAAAAATACACTATCTATCATCCTGTGGTAATATCTAAGATGTGATTAAAGAAATACCTTCCCCAAGAAAACACTTAGGGCAGTCCCAGAAAGTGAGTAGACGAGCAGAACAACAAAAAGTGGTGGATAGATGCCGTACAAGATATTGCTGAAAGAAATTAAGTCCACAGCAGCATTGAAGAGTGTTAGTGAAAAGGAAAGTGCTGTTCCTGTGAAGGAACTTAAGTCATCCACAATCCGTTGATCGGGATTGTCAATTATTGATTGAGACTGTATTTTGTAAAATGCCTGATCCTTCAGATAGCGTTCCATGTAATAACTAGTCATCCAAGACCTCCATCTCAATGCAAGGGTATCTCTTGCATAATCTCGTAACACAAAAAACTGCGAAGGAACACCATAGTTAAAAAAGCATCACAAAAATATTGGAGACATCAATCCATCTTTTTTATCAAGCAAACTTGGCACAAAATGCAATATTGCAAGATCAATAACAAGTCGACATACAAGCAATTACTGTTTGATAAATGAAAAGATGTTTTAAAAAACAGTCACAATTTGATAAATACACACATATCATGAAAATAAACAAGTGTGGTAGCCTAGCAAATACCTACGAAAGTGGAGCAATGTGCTCACCGGAATTCCCCCGGCAAAACCAGCAAGGTAGTACAACAATTGCTTGGTAAACTGTTCCTGGTCCTTGTCTTACATCAAATGTAATAAACAAGGAAAATGGAACAATCATTAGAAGCCAAACAAACGGACATCCAAGGGATGCAACAGAGATATTAATAGTGAAAACGGATATCTTAATAACATGAATAACCATCCGACACAAAGTTGCTCACACCAGACCTTCTGTAAAACCCCCAATAACACTGTTGAAACATATTCCAAGCATCCTTTAAGTTTTTATCTACTCTTTACAAGTTACAAAAAAGTTCTGACAAGTAATCACTTAACCCTGAGAAAAGGGATCATTCTTATTCAAGAAAAATCGTTACTAGAAATGAAAGTGATGTAAAAAAGCTTGTGTGGACAGAAGTCTAGAGACGTGTGCCATTCTTCCATAGGTTAAACATTGATGAAATTACTTATTACCACCAGTTAAACTACCAGATTTCCCACACTAGGACATGGTAACAAAAATAATTTGTCACTTGCACTACATCCATCCAAATTATCAAAGTCCAAAGCGTATTTCCAATAAAAAATGAGTAAAATATGGTCAATGAATTTCCTAGTATGTCATTGATCATATATTAATATTCTCCAATTTGACTTATTCTTTGTCATCAATCTATAGCTAATAGAAACGGACCCCAAGCAAACAAACAATGGAGAGCACAGAGTAATCAGATGTGGAGCGAAATTAAATTGATAAAAAAAAAAAAAAGAATAGCGAAGGAATATGTGATGTACTGGCAAGGGCGTTGTAGAAGTCGCGGCCAAGGAAGTTGAATCCAACACTGATACCAGTCGTTGCTAGAGTAAGAAGGAAGACGGACAGCAGCCGGAGCCTTGCCTGCACTTTATCGTCGGAAGAATACCAATAAGGAGCAGCAACTTTCCAGAACCTCCTCCCAAGGGTTTGCAGATCGGGGGCTTTTCTTTGCGCATTTTCCTCCTGTTCCTAAACGAATTCATTCAAAATTTTAATTTAATTCCATCCTAATTTCAACCACTTCGACGATATCTGTACCACAAAAAGATAATTTACATTAATTGATGTCGAGCTGACCAAACCTGAGGAGGAGGTGGAACGGCCGTATTAGAAGTGGCTTGCCGGACGGTGGAAAGTAACCGGGGAGCTTTACTTAACCTCTTCTTCCGGGGACGAGCGGCCGTCATTGTCATAGGCGGCGGCGGCGGCGTCGACGGTGGAAACTTAAACGACAGCACCGAGACTGAGGGAGTAAGAGAAGCTGTAGCAATTGTAGTGTGGAGATGAAAAGTATTGGATACGGCAACGCCATTTCCGGGTTGGGACACGTCAGCATGTACTGGCGCCAGCATCCCGATTCTAATTCCAGCTCCCATTCAAAAATCAAACTCCGAAATTGAATCAAAAACTACTGCTCGTTTTAAAATTTCGGTTTCATTTTCGCGGATTTATTTGGTAGTTTTGGCGGCATTCAGTTCCGTTTCTCTCGAAGGAAGCTGCCATTACGACGTGGCTATAAACGATGCCCTGCTGCGCTCTCTCTTCGTTCTCGTCCAAACAGAAATTTTCGAAAGAAAAATAAATGAAAATTATCCACCGCGGAATGAACCCGCCATCAAGCAGGCTCTCCATCCACGTAATGCCACGTCCACACATTCCGTGGTTGAAGTTAAACTCTAATTTTATCTTCTAGCCTCTAAGTTAACTTAAAATGTCACTTCGGTCCCTGTTAAAGTATAAACGTTCGAACTTTTTTTTATCAAAAAAATAAATACCCCTACTTAGAAGCAAAAATGCTTGGTTGAACACAAAAGGATTACTCTACCATTATCTATACAAATGGTTGCTTAGATAGGGATGGTCTAATATAACAATGGCGTACGTATAATTAGATCCAATTTTCTTCCAATGTGTGGTTGATGTGTACATTCCACTTAGAGTTCAGTTTTTTAATTACATCGTGTACAATAGTTCTCTGCAAGCCGAGTACATCTTATAAACGAGACATCTTTTCATCACAATGTGTTTTAAGAATAATATTAGACTAGTAACTTGAGATATCGAGTTTAGTTCAAGTTATTTACTCCGAAGTTCATATTGTATCGATTATAGTATCGCAAATTGGAAAAAAAGCCACATGTTCACAGTTTTCATTGGTGCCGTATTAGACTTCTGGTCATGAAAAAATTTGACAGTTTTCCACTTCGTCTATATTTTAAGTTTATCATTTTTGTACGGTGTCTATACCATTTCAAAATGTAAAATTGTAAATATAGTCATTTCTTGCCATTTGTCATTAAATCCTGAAAAAATTTGTGTGTTTTAAATTCCTCATAAACAGGAACATGTGATATTGACCTCTTATAGTGTTAAATAAGGGGAGGGATTTTTTCAGCCACAATTTTTAGTTCTTTCAGCCACAAATTTTTAATTTTGACCATTTTATCTCTGTTATTTAACCAAACCAATTTGAAGGAGAATGAGAGGGAGAGGGAGAGAGAGAGAGAATAAACCACTCGGACCGAACCGAGCAAGATTTTAATGACCTAAAAACTAGATTAATTAATTACAAAAAAACAAAAAATCTAAATAATAAAAAAAAATAGTAATGAATCCGATTGCTATTTTTTAAATTTTTTTTAGACTTTTTTAAATAACAAATATTGCTATCTTTTTAATTACAAAAAAAATAACAAAAAATCTAAAAATAAAAAAATAGCAATGAATCCGATTGCTATTTCTTTTAATTTTTATATTTTTTTAAATAACAAATATTGTTATTTTTTTAATTACAAAAAAAAACAAAAACAAAAAATCTAAAAATTTAAAAAATAGCAATGAATACGATTCTATTTCTTTAAATTTTTATATTCTTTAAATAACAAATATTGTCATTTTTTTAATTAAAAAAAATAACAATAAATCTAAAAATTAAAAAAAGGGCCTGACCGGATCGGTTCACCATATCGGTCGGGACGGGCAATGAATCTGTTTGGGCAAACAAGAGGGCGGGCGGTCCACCCGTCCCGGGTTAACTCGGGACTGATTCATTGTACGGCCGGTCGGTTTTTTATTTTTGTTTTTTAGTTTTTAATTTTCTTTTTAAATTTTCTCTCTAGTCAAGTTATTCGATTTGAAAAAATGACAGGGGTAAAATAATCTAAATTAGAAAATTGTGATCGAAAGAACTAAAGGTGGTGGCTTGAAAAATTAATACCTTTAAATAAAAGTTACGAATAAACCCAAACAATTCATATTGTACATAGGCGCTTTAACCATGAATATATTCGGGCTTTGTAGGTTTTCTTCAGTTTTTTCACAAAATTTATTACATAATATATTTCCCAAGCCCGTCATAAACTGTTTTTAATATATATATATATATATATATATATATATATATATAGTAGTGATGTTTGGTCGCGCAATGCGCGACCCTGGCCCAGTATATCTGTAGATATTAGAAATGTTTATATTTGAAAAAAAAAATTCATTTGGCCCGATATATTTTAGAAATTTTTGAAGAATTTAAAAATGTTTTATAAGTGTGATCATGGAAATGTTTGTATTTGGCAAAAAAAGAAAGTGTATTTAGTCCGATACATTTTAGAAATGTTTGAATATTTTAGAAATGTTTTATAAGTGTTACTTATTAAATATAAATAAACTTGATCAAGTATATCTCTTGAAGTAAATGTTAGACAAAATATAAAAGCATCATAATAAATTTAAATACGAGTAAGATTATTTATTAATGTTCTCCATTTGTCGTGCCAAATCAATACTTGGTTTTAGAGATTTATAATAGCTTTGTAGTAAGCTTCCTCCGAAGGGTATATGTTTAATTGTTTGAACTGTTTCTTCCAAATGCTTATAGCTAGTAATCAAACATATGATTTTGAAACTGATTAATTGTTGAAACTGGTTGATCACAAATATGAGAATGAAAATTAATGTAAATTTACATAGATTTCAAGTTATAGTAAAAAAGAACTCACCTCACCATGACAAATAAAAAAAAATCAGTAAAAGAGTCCATTAAAAATTGAGATTTTTTTTTTCTGTAGGTAAAAATGATGTATAAAAACACAAATAAACGTAGAAACATCATTCCTTCCCTCTCCACCTCAAATTCATAAAAGGCTTCCCCATAAATTAGTTGGAAGAAGCGACTTGAACTATTTATATGATGAGTAATTTAAAAAAGTCCAAAAATTAAATCCAAAAAAATATATTCTCGAAAGTCCGAACACAAAAAAAAAACGCGCTTCATTTGCAATAATAATAATAATAATAATAATAATAATAATAATAATAATAATAATAATAATTGGTCAAGTGGGAGTATGAAACAAAATCAAAAGCAATTAAACAAAGAAAAAACACAATTCATAACTGACCATATACGAAAAAAACTGAGACTCCATAATTAAAAAAAAAAAAGAAAAACCACTCTAAATGAATAAAACATAAAAAAAGAAATTAAAAAAAACACACTTTGTGACAAAAACCCAATTAATCAATTCAATTCAAACAGAACTAAAATCATACAAAAATTCTAAGCTGACTAACCATATAAGAAATCACATCATATTTCGGACGGCTACAGAATCGTATGCGGGTGGACGCATAAAAATAATATAAATAACACTATTCTTGAACGGGAAAAACAAAAAATAATAAAAGCCGTACAAAAAACCTGTGGATATAAAATTATTTAAATTTTAATATCTTAACGGCACCACCACAACGGTCGAAAGCAACATCAATGAGATTTTTTTTTTCCTTTTTGTTTATATAAAGAGGTAAAGAGAATATTTTAGTCGAAATTTTATCTGATTAGGATACAGTTGATTATCACTAATAAAAAGATTGAACATGCTAATAAGAAAGAAGTATATTTCACCACGTATTCTCAATTGATGATTGATGAGAAATTTGTTTTTTTTTTTTAATTGTGGAGAAGAGATTGATTAGGGAGTCGATTGTCGTGGAGATGGAGATGAGGATTTGTGTTTTTTATGAAGTGTCTTTTTTTTTTGTTTTGGCGAAAATAGGAGGTGGTGGTGGATTTGGACTGCATTTGCTTTTTAAGTCTAGGAAACTGATGTGTAAATAAAAATTTATTTTAAAAATATGATGTGGAAATGCCACATGGCAAATGGTGGTGATTTATCTTAAGTGTGGTTTTTGTTTCTAATATAGTAAGATACTAGATGCTTGCCCCGGGCGAATGCCCGAGGTGCCTCCTGTATTTTTAAATCGATTAAATAAAAAATACGAATCATTCTTAAAATAATAAAAAAAAATTAAAGAATAAAAAATTGATTGAAAGGGCATAAAGTGAGTTATTACATATAAATCTATACCCAGATTTACAACATTTAATTTATAATACGTAACTTATGCCCGGGTTTACATAAATCATAAACCAATATCTACAATAGAAGGATAAAAAAAAATCATTCTTAAAAAATCAAATTTCTTTCATGACAGCTTACTTTTTCTCTGTTGTGGAAAGAGATGGATTGATAATTGATGTCAGATATTAATTAATTGATTTAAAGGCCCGGTGTGAGATGAGAGCGGAATGGAAGAGATTTTTTGAAATTGGGGATTGAGAAGACATTGATGGTGTTTCACTTGATTTAAAGAGATTTCCTTACATTTGATTTTATCACCTAAATATTGTTGTTTTAAGGGATTATTGTATACCTATAATTAAGAGATTTTTATGTAGTTATAATTAAGGGATTTATGTATTTATTTATTCCATCTTTTTTTCTAATTAGTTAGAGTGCCACGTGTCAAAAATGATTTTGTACTGAAAATGACTTTTAGCGGGAAAATTTTTATTGTAATGCTGACACATATCCTTTTTGTTTGCTGCTTTAATTAAGTACTAGATGCTTGGCCCAGGCAGATGCCTGGGCGCCCCTCTACTTTAATTTTATGTTAATAGATAAATGAATTCTTGATTTGGAAAAAATAAAATAGCTACACATTTGTTTTTTTTTCCTTTTTAGCAAAAAATAATTATAAAAATAAAAAAATCATCTGCCAAAGGAGAAAAAATATTGAAAAGTACAACGATTCAGAAATCATACAAAAGAATATGGAGTAATAAAGAGGATAAGTTTATGGACAAATTTAAATACTATTTTAATTTGATTGATAAATGATAAATGTTAGGAGTTAAAATTGTGTAGCTATTTTTGTAAAGTAGCTTTTGTTTTTCTGGATAAGAATTTTTTTTTTCTTTTAAAAAGTGATGACACGTGGCAGAATGGTTAATACAATATGGTGCATTTGGAGCCAAAAATTTTTAATAAAAAGTTGCCACATCAACATCCTGTATTCTGCTTTAATAGGGTAAAAGGGACTATAGATATATATATGTCATCACAGAAAAAACACTTAATCCAAACTTTCACGCGCTTCAGTTTTACACCCAGTGCAATATCCAACCACTAACCTCGACAAAGAATTCGTTTACCTACAATCATACAACAGTTATATATATATATATATATATATATTTTTTTTTTGAGAATGACAACAATTATATTCAATCATGAATGAGTATGAAGATGATGATCATGAATAGGTTAGAGCCAGCTACTCTTATCATTCGCTTATTTTTTCGAGCATGATTCAATTACATCTAATATTAAGTATATAAGTTATACTTAATATTATTGATCAATTATCCTTTTTCAAAATGTAGTATTTTTATTAAATTTTTAAGTCTCACTGGAATGGCTAAATATTTAGTTAGGGTAATTAAGAAATGTAATTTGTCGAGTCCCCAATAAAATTGTCAGATACACATTTAAGATGGGTTAAAAAGATTCTCAACAATAGTACTACCACTAACTAAAAATTGCATTAATTAATGTTTTTAAAATACAATTGCAAACCCTAAAGCCAAAAAAAAAGAGTTGGTAATAAAGGTTGGAGTAGAACGCATTAGTTAGTGTGATCCGTCGGTGTCCGGTTGTCAACGGGCATAGCTAATTCTATCGTTACCATCACATCATTAATTAATATACTACTAATTAATTAGCTAATCATTTTTTACTTATCATAGTTCATAGCGCACATATATAGAGCATTAGAGCTCACTGAAAAATCCCTTTACGAAGAAGGGTTTTTCTAACGAATAAGCCTTCTTGAATCTCGAATCGGATGTACGGCTTTAATTTTAACCGCAGCACCAGCACCACCGTCAGCCCCGGAGGAGGAACTGCCGGAGTAGGAGTAAGATCCCTCGCCGCCGGCGACTTTTATCTGAACTCTGTCAGCCCGACATTTCTGCAATCTTATTCCTCCCGTTTACTTTCCTCGTCGGCCATGCTACTCACGGGCGCCGCGGACGACGACAATTATTCGGCTGCTGCTTCTAAAATCCCTGACCTCAATTTCCCTTCCCCAGAAGCAGCAGCCGCCACCCGCCATCGATCCACCTCTTCATGGCCTGGTCTCTCCGGGGTTGACAGCGTGGCAGCACTTGGCTCTAGTGCTACTGAGCAGCTTCTTGCTAACCTTAAGCGTTCCTCTTCCGAATGTAAGGAACTATGCTTATTATGCTTATTGTGCTTATTGAATTTTTTAAGAATGCTGGACTCTGTTTGTGTTGACTTTATGCTCATCTTTTGATTCCTGTGTTTTTTGCTACTTTGCTTGGATGGCTCTAGATATTTCTGTTTATCTTTGTATTTAAAGCCAAATTAACCTTAAATCAATGTTGAAGGAAAGCACTTGAATTGTTGAGTGAATTAGCTAGCTATTTAGTGAAATTACTTAATTGGGCCTTCACGGACAAGTGAACCACTGATGGGATCAGTACGCAGTAATTTAGAATCTTGGATTCCCATCAGCATTCCTTTACAAAGTTTTTCTTTTTCTTCCTCAAAGTTGGTTCATTTTAAATTCTATGCAGCTGGGAGTGGAGGAGAGTCATGATATAGAATTATACTACGTAATATATAGTTCTGATGTACTGCGGCATTTTTTCTTATCTTGCAGAATTCCTGAACTTCTTTAGTCTTATGGTATAACAAGTTACTTTTAAAATTATTAGGGATGATGGTTGAGCAACAAAGCAAAGTCTAGTAAAGTGCTGTTGCTTTTTGGTTATTAGCTTGGCTCACTCGCTCAAGACTCTTATGTCTTTTGCGTTCTTTATTGACTTCTCCTCTTGCTTCGCTTAGGTATAGCTATTTAGCTCCCTTTTCTGGGGGCTGGGGTCAGGAGTTTTATTTATAGCCAAGCCGTGTTTTTAGTTTATGGTTCTGGCTGAACTGAAATAGAAGTTCCGTGTGCCTCAAACCTGCATTTTAATAGTCCCCGGTTATTTGATATTTATGTATATAATTATTTTTTCAACGATAATAATTTTTTGTATACTCCTGGTAAAAATATATAAGTTGCTTCACTCATAAACTTAAAGCTATCACAGTATAGTGATATACATTTTTAATTTGTGTTTTCTCTTCTTCTTTTTTTCTTTGTGCGTCTACAATCTACCATAGCACTCTATCATCAGACTCTTTTTGGTGCCCATAACACTCTTGGGCAAACTGAAGCCTGGTTTTCCACAAACCATTTAGTCAAGCGTCCTAGATTCGACGGTTCAAGTGGTTTGCCCATTTATCCCCAGAGGCCAGGAGAGAAGGATTGTGCCCATTACATGCTCACAAGAACATGTAAGTTTGGAGATAGCTGCAAGTTTGATCATCCTATTTGGGTTCCGGAAGGCGGAATCCCAGATTGGCAAGAGGTGATCATTCACTACTACATTAGTTTTTACTATATATTGCATATTATCCCTGGGTATACCATTCTTCATAAATTTATTTATTTAATAGTCTATATGACACAGCACCATGGCAATACACGATCCATTTATCAGAATCCACTTAGTTGGATAAAGGTTAAGTTATTGTCGTTGGTGGTTGTATGCATAATATATGGTGTATATTATTCATTGGTACTATTATTCTTATTAAATATATTGAGGGTTTTTCATATTTTTGAACCTTTTGTATTCTGTGATTTGTTCTAATAAATCTCCCAGTATCTTTAACTACTATTAGGGGTCCTCTGCAATTTGCAACTCAAAATTAAAGGACTTTTCTGGGGTGTAAGTGGGCTGGGGCTGAAGTTTCTATCTCTTTAGCTTTTCAAGTATTTTACCTCGTTATTAAGCATTTATTACATACTTCTCTCTTTGTATACGTGTGCACAAACGCGCAGAGGCAAACATACATGTACATCTGTATGTATCGCTCAGGCATCAACTTGTTGTTCCTCTTGATGTTTGGCGTTTTCTGATGGTTTCAGCATCTATTGCTCTGTTACTGTCCTGTCTGGTCGTCTTGATTTATAGTTGTAACATTCCAGATTTAGTAATTATTATATTAAATAAATTATTAATTGGCTAGTTCTTAGTGATACTATGCATGGTTTTTTCCGTTCCTCTTTTTTTTTCCCCCCCGTTTGGACAACTCTTAAGGCCTCTGAGTGCTTTCTTCCTATCAAATCCTGAACAAATCTTTACCACTTTTTCCTGATTTGATATTTCTTGCTCGTAGTTGAATAACATTTTTTATGATTCACCTATGTAGGTTCAAGTAAGTTCAACTGAATTGTTTCCACAAAGACCTGGGGAGCCAGATTGTCCGGTAGGGAAAAGTTTGATTTTTTGTTTTACAGTCGCTTAAAAGCTGTGGTATATAGCTGATTGGCTATTGATGAACCATTTTTTCAGTTTTTCCTGAAGACTCAAAAATGCAAGTTTGGGACCAAGTGCAAATTCAACCACCCAAAAAAAGTAACAAGACCTTTGGTTTTTTTTACTTGCATGTTCATTCTTGATAAAGTGAGCCTTTTAACAATACAGTGTCTTATTGTATTTTTGTTACCTGGGGTGCTTTGCAGATCAATCTTGCTACATTACCTGAAAGACCTACAGAGCCTCCATGTGCAGTATGTCTCTCTTGGTTATACTACTTTGAACATCTTTGTCTGCTTTTTACGTGTGTTTAACTAAATTAGCTTTATATGAATGCAGTTCTATATGAAGACAGGAATATGCAAATTCGGTGCTGTGTGCAAATTTCATCATCCAAAAGATATACAGTTACCAGGTGCTATACAAGAAAACAACAATAGTGATCTGAGGTATAATAATGGAACCAACGGTGATTTGAAGCCTATCACTCCAGCTTTAATGCACAACACAAAAGGACTTCCCATTAGATTGGTAATTCATATTATATATTTCATTTTCTCATATCCAGTTTTCTTATAATGTACAAATTTCTGGATTTTTTTAAGGGACACCCTGATTTGTCTACTTTCCTAGCTATTATATGTCAATGCATTGTCATCCTTTAGTTGAAATGTTGAATCTTTTGTTGATTGCTAATGCGTGTTTGTTTTCCAATCCTTTTCTGACAGGGGGAAGTTGATTGCCCCTTCTACCTGAAAACTGGGAGGTAGTGTATCTGCGGTCAATTTGTTAAAAGCCTTTCTGCTCTACTCATCTTAATTTCAAGTGTGTGTCTGGGTTCTGATTGTTTGCTATTGTGCCTTGTATCATGGATCAGTTGTAAATATGGTCAAACTTGTCGCTTCAATCATCCAGACAGAAATTGTAAGTGCACGATTTAACCATATACATTTAGGCTATACTTGATAGTTGATGCTGTTGAGAACTTAAGTGTTGGTTAACATGATTCATTGGAGTTAATTTAGTTGAAAATTTTCAGCAATCAATCCACCTGCCGCTGCTGTTGACGCAGCTATTATAGCTTCTCCTGCACAACATTTAAGCATTGGTTTTGTAAATCCAGCTGCATCAATCCTCCAGAATTTTGCCCCAAGATTGACGCAAACAACGGTGAGGGAGAGAATTTTCTTGCATTTTGTTAATTAATGGTTATGGACGGAAGTTGTCTGGCAATGTTCTTTGCTGGCAGTTTCTATCTTGACCATCTCTTTCTGTAATTTAAGTCTACATCAACCTTGTCTTGGAAATTGGAATCGTAATATCATGTTGAAGAAATTTCGTGAACTTCACTGACATTATAGTTTTCTACCCATTTGCAGCTTGAGTTGGCTGCCGCTGTATACCCGCAACGACCTGGAGAGTTAGAATGTGATGTATGTATGATCTTATAACTTAATTGCAGGGTTTGGGAAAGGGGATATCATTTAACGTTTATACAAAGCTCCTGTCTTTTGAGGCTTCTTTTCCTCCCTGCTGTGTTTCTTAGAACTTGCGTCTTTTGTAGTTCTTTATGAAAACTGGGGAGTGCAAATTTGGGCAAAGGTGCAGATTTCATCATCCCATTGATCGTACTGCTCCAACGATGGCATCTGCATTAAAGGAAATTCAGCTGCAGCAGAATCTCAATCTCACAGGTTTACCTAGGAGAGAGGTATGAGGCAATCAATCAATCCTTTGCCACCAATGCATATGGATGTGAATTTCTTATAATATAATAAACTGGTTAATCATCAATTGTATTGGTTTGGTTTGGTTTGGTTTGGTTTCAGGGTGCCATCCGCTGTCCTTATTATATGAAGACCGGAACATGCAAATATGGTAGGGGTTGCAGGTTTGACCATCCACCTCCTGGTGAGGTGATGGCTTCGATGGCGACAACAACGCGAGGGGCTTCAACATCTTCTTCCAGTGGAGGGTAAGTGGCTGTACCCCCAAAGATACAAGTGGCTGGAACCTCCGATGTTATTTGGAGATGCTAGGTTATACTTTTAGGTTTTACCACGAATATATGTCTTTTTCTTCTTATGTTGCTTTGATGTTCTAGTGCAGCGAATGTCAAACTGTTAATGGACTTGGAAAAGGGGTAGCCATTGAAGGCATAAGTTATTTACAATTTTTTCTTTATTTATTTTAGGGGCATTTCTTATGTTGTTTGTTGTTGGTTAGTCGGGTCTTTTTTCTTGGCTTGGAAGGACAATCTTTCCAACTTGCAAGTGGGACGGATCTAAATTGTTGGGATCAAGTGTCAACCCCTTTCAATGCAATGCACTGAATGGAATAATGATGTGGACTTGATAATACCAATGAATAGAGAGCTTGCTAACCGGGGGATATATTTCTACCATTCCTCGAGTGAGCGTTGCACACAGAAAAGCTTACATCCAAATCCAGCACCACACCAACTGTTCGTAAAATCTAGGAGTTTGGTAAATGGGCAAATCTTCAAGCAAAAAGCAAGCATTCAATTAATTGGACGCTATTGAAATATTCAAAGCAATCAACGTACTCCAACAGTAACATTAGGGTAAATGACCAGTAATATATATGGTCACCGGAAACCTAGATCGGAAAATTTGGAGAAAAACTGTTTCAACTGTAAAAATAGAGAGAGAAATAATCTTCTGGAATATTAAATCTGTATTGAAATAAATGTGTCTGTATAATCTCTGTCCTTTCATCTATTTATAGATAAAACTATGCTCACTTTCATTGACATATAATATTTATACATAAAAGTCTATATTAACCATTATTTACAAATCAACACACTTCTCAATTAAATTATAAATACTGTATTTCCTTATGTACACGTGGATCAGGTTGATCTGCAGGATTCACTCTCTTTTCCATCACGCCCTCCTCAAGATGAGCTGTGGAAGAAAGCCATAGACTCGTCTTACCAAGAAGATGGTGAAAACTGGCTGCAGGAAGAGACTTGGTGAACAGATCAGCTGGCGGTTGAGAAGAATGAATATTAAGGAGATCAATGAAGCCTGCAGCAAAGGAGTCTCGAACAACATGGCAATCGATGTCAATGTGCTTGGTACGCTCGTGGAACACAGGATTTGCAGAATGTAGAAAGCTGCTTTACTGTCACACCAAAAAGGAATAGGCACAGAAACAGGAACAACTATATCAGTCAACAAATAAGATAACCATTTGAGCTCCCGGACTGTATAAGCCATAGAACTATATTCTGCTTCAGCAGAAGAACATGATATGGTAGGTTGTTTCTTGGTCTTCCAGGGAACAAGGCAATCTCCGATAAAGATGTAGTAGCCGGTAAGGGAGTGTCTTGTGAAGCCACAACATTCCTAATCAGCATCTGAGTAAGTTGTGACTGAAAGAGTGGTAGAAGAAGGATAAAAAAGACCTTGGGAAGCAGTACCAACCAAGTATCTGAGTAAATGCAAGGCAGCATTCCTGTGTGACTGCCTTGGAGCATGATCAAACTGGGATAGTTGTTGGACTGCATGAGTTAGATCAGGTCTTGTAAAAGACAAGTATAGAAGTCTGCCACTAACCTATGAAACTGAGAGATATCTGGTAAAAAAGGTGTGACTGTTGGTTGAGCTTCCAAAATTCCAGCATCTGCAAGTAAATCAATGACATACTTATGTTGATTCAAATACATTCCTGAAGAGCTCTTGGCAATCTCAAGACCAAGGAAAAACTTAGCAGTGCCCAAATCCTTGATAGTAAAGGCCTTGTCAATCAATGCTTTTACTTTGGCTACTTCATGATCATCTGAGCCAGTAAGAAGCACATCATCCACATACACAATTAGAAGAATTATGACAGCAGGAGTATAAAAGACAAAGAGGCAAGGATCGCTTGAAGCCATAATCAATAAGAAGGGAAGTAAAGGCACTGTCCCACTGCCTGGATACCTGCTTCAACCCGTATAGTGACTTCTGCAATTTACAGACCTGATAAGGAGCTGCCTTTGTATATCTAGGAGGAGGCAGCATATAAACCTCCTCATCCAAATGACCGTGAAGAAAAACATTGTTTATATCCAATTGGTGAACATTCCAAGTTTTCTACATAGCTAAAACTAGCAAAACTCGAACAGTAACTGTTTTGGCCACATGGGAGAAAACTTCAAAATAATCCTCACCTTCTATCTGGTTATAGCCCTTTGCGACAAGACGGGCTTTGTATCGATCCATAGACCATCGGGCTTACATTTGACTTTGTAAACCCACTTACAACCGATATCTTGCTTTCCTACTAGTAAAGAGGTCAAAGTCCAGGTCTGGTTATCTTCAAGAGCCGAAAACTCCTCATACATGGCCTTTATCCAATGAGGATCATCTTTAACTTTAGTAAAGATCTGGGGTTTCACTAATAGTGGAGATATTTGCCATAAAATGTTGATGCTCAGAAGAAAAAATGCATGACTCTTTAGGAAGAATGACAAGTGAAGAAGAAGAAGGCTTAATGCAATTATTAGCTAAAACAAAGTCTTGAAGATAGGTTGAAATTTTTTTGGTCTGTCACTCTTTCACAGAACTTGAGAAGAAGGATGATCAGAGATAGTCAAAGGAGAGAAAGAAGAAGTAGTAGGGGCAGAATTAGACAAGAGAGCAATGACAGGAGAATGTGCAAACTATGAGGACTAGAACGAGGAAAAGGTGTATGATGAGGCATAAGAGAATTTGACAATGAGAATCTGTCGGGAACATATTCAACATCTTGAAGAACATGTGCAAGTAAAACAGGTATTGTTCCAGTAGGAGAAGAATCTTCTGAAAAAGGAAAAATGTCCTCATGGAATTGTACATTTCTGGAAACAATAATTTTTTGCAGTTGAGGACAAAAAACTTTGTATCCTTTTTGTCCAGTAGGATACCCTACAAAAACTCCCTTAAAAGATCTATGATCAAATTTATCTCTACCAGGTCTAGAATTTATAACAAATGCCAGGCATCCCAAAGTTCTAAGATGATCTAATATCGGCATTTTCCATGAAGCAATTCATAAGGAGTTTTCCATTCAAGTTGCTGGGAAGGGGTTCTATTGATATGAAAGATAGCTGTAAGAATAGATTTCCCCCAGAAACGTTTAGGTAAACCCGATTTTATCAACAAAGCTCTAGCAACCTGAAGGAGATGTTGATGTTTTCGCTCAACTACTCTATTTTGTTGCGAAGTATAGGGACAAGACCTTTGGTGGACTATCCATAAATCAGAAAGTGTAGACAGTGTTTGAAAATTCAAGAATTCTGTGCAGTTATCAGTCCTAAGGATCTTGATACGACTATCATACTGAGTTTGTACTAGTTGAAAGAAGTGTTTCAATGTTTCTGACACCTGTGACTTATGTTTCAAAAGGAAAGTCCAGGTGGTTCGAGTGAAATCATTTACAAGGTTAAGAAGAATTGTGCATTTGTTAGAGACTGAACTTTGTATGGTCCCCAAACATCTGCATGTAACATTTCAAAAGCGGAAGCTGTAGAAGTAGAACTAGTTGGAAAAGGTAACTTTCGTTGTTTTGCTAAAGGACAAGTATCACAAATGTAGTGGTTTTATTTATTTATGAAATATCACAATTCTGTAAATGCTGTAACACTACATCAGATGGATGTCCCAACCTATCATGCCATGTTGACACAACAACATTTGCACTGGCATATTTATTAGAGGATTTTGTATCAAATCTAACCCTAACAAGTGATAGCATTAATCTTGAGTATAAGATATGTGTTTGTTGTATGGCTTCTGGTGTGAAAGAATAAGAATTGACTATATAGAGTCCATTGATGAACATTCCTGCTCCGAGAACTTCATTAGTCCTTAGGTCCTGCAGCAGACAGAACTCATCAAAGAACTTTACGTAGACTCCTGTTGGGCCAGTTTCCTTACTGATAAAAGATTATGGGTAAAAGAAGGTAATGAAGTACTGATGATAGAGACAGTTTACTAGATAATTCTACATCTCCTATATGATGAACTTGCCTAACTGTACCATCAAGTAGATAAACAGGTGTATAAGAAGTAACAATACGAGCATGCATAAGAAGAGTTATAGAATAACACATATGGGTAGTGGCTCCGCTATCGTTATCCAAAACATATACTAATTTGAACTAAAGTTTTACAGAGATTAGGGATAATGTTGCTACCTGCAAAATCATGCAGATGTGCATAATTCACTGAGTGTGATGTTCCCATCTCCATTGAGCCTTCCCTTTCATTATCTTCCCTATCTCTGCTTGAACCAGGTGTGCCACAACTGTCTGCCACCCGTCTCCATTTTTATGATCAGATCCTCCTGGATGTTCAATTGGTGTATCTGCTAGATGTGCCTGTTGATAGTAGTTTGGCTTAACAGATGCACCTTGCCAACCCTGTGATAAAGAGTGAGTACCCTGAGCAGCATGTGTGTTATTCTTGGCAGTAGAATTTCTATACTTCTCTTCATACCAATCCGGAAAGTCCTTTATCAGAAAACAAGTGTCCTTGATATGTCCATGTCTCTTGCAATGCGTGCAGAACAACTTCATCTTTTTCTGTTTTGCAACAGCCTTTGTTTCCTTCCAATCTTTTTGTTCTCCATCTCTCTTCCATATGATAGGTTTAGCCAGCATTGTCATATTTTCTGATTGAACGGTAACTGTGGTTTTAACTTACTTCTGGCTTTCTTCATTCAGTAGTTTTGAATATATCTCATCCAGGCTGTGTAGTGGGTCAGAACGCAGAATCTCACTCCTAACCGACTCATATCCCTCATTCAACCCCATGAGCATTTGGTAAATTTTATATTCAGTCTCTCTTTCATGTAATTTCTTCATTGCCTCTGGTTCACAAACATTAGACGGCCTCCATTGGCTATACTCATCCCACAGTTGATTCAACTTATTGTAATATTATATCATATTCATATTTCCCTGATTTATTAATGACATCTCTCGCTTCAATTGATACACAATTGTGCCATTAATCTTCCCATATCTTGCCACAATTGTTTCCATATTTGCTTAGCAATCGGTATAAAAGCAAAACTACTAGCCTGACTAGTCTCAATCGAATTAAGAATCCATGGCCTAACCATACTGTCTACTCTTCTCCACCTCAGATAATTAGGTATATTTACATCAGGCATAGGACACGTACCATCAATAAACCTTAGCTTCATTTTAGCATTTAATACAGTTGTAACAGAGATTTTTTGCATCAAAAAATTCATTCTAGTCAGAGGATTGTTTACCAAACTCATGCCTGGAGTATCAGACCCATGCAAATTGAGTTGCTCTTCCATGAACCAATCCAATTCGCGATTAACCATCGGACTTCGGGCAAATCCATGCTCAGTCCTTCCATAGTTCCTATTGTTTCTTGTTCCGCTGCGTCCGCCATGAACAGATATGTATTCCTCATCCCGTTCTTCACGACCGCGACTGTTTTCTCCATCTTCGTACTCCATAATTTCAATTGAAGACTAAGGTTTTGTTCCGATATCAAAATCTTGTAGTTTTAGCGGAATAGTTTCAACTATAAAAGTAGAGAGAGAGAATCTTCTGGAATATTAAATTTGTATTCAAATAAATGTGTATGTATATTATTTACAACCTCAGTCCTTTCATCTATTTATAGACAAAACTATGTGACTTTCATTGACCTATAATATTTACACATAAAAGCCTATACTACTCATTATTTACAAATCAACACACTTCTCAATTAAACTATAAATACTGTATTTTCTAATTCACTTGTGTAGGTGGCGGATCATGCAAGTTTAAAAATTGCCTTGACAAAAACAAAGAAATCAGAGTATTCAGGTGGTTGAACACCACATTTTCGAAAATTGCGATTTTCAATTTGAGGCATGTGGGGAGTGAGTGGCTCAAGACAAAGAAGAGAGGGAAGGTGGTGGGGGGAAATCAGAAAATAAAAAAAAAAGAAAAATTGGGATCGGGGGGAGGAGGAGACAAAAGACAAAGAGTCTAAAAAGAAAAGAAAACCAGGGGTAGTAAAGAAGAATAAAGCAAAATAAAGCAGAGAGGGGAAAGAAAAGAGACAAATCGGGAGTCTCACTCAATAAATCTCCCATCCCAAGAAAGAAAGAAAGAAACACCCGACCCACCTCCCAACCTGGTTCAATGGTGATTGATCATCTACTTACTTTGAGCTTTTCTTGACACAAATGCGCTCATCAGTTGTTCGGACATCAAACAAACAAACAAACACAAACACAACCCTCGTGAAATTTGATGTACATACAGATAAGGTGTCACTTCTCTCTTCTTCTATTCTCTGCCCACTTATTGAGTTATTTTCCCCAATATCCACTTACTATACACACAAAAACTCTCCACAGAAACTCTGTATCTACATATAAATCATACTGGCAGGACAAGGAATAAAGTTAAGTCAGTGAATCAAAGGGGAAATGGGATCCAGGGGGCGTAGAAAACAGAGATGGTGCACCGACGAAAGTCATCATCATCAGCCTCTGACCCCATTGATGGAAGGTCCAGATGACCTTGAAATGCAGCTCAGACCCGACAGAAACAAGAAGGAGAGCTCCGGCGGGTGGGATACCATCCGGGATTGGTTCAGATTACAGAAAAAGTGCGCAATCATGCCAGCATCTGATCATCATCATCCAAGTAGTGATAGTAGTAGTACGAGTAGTAATAATAATAGTAGTAGTAATAGTAGGCAGGACATGAGGCTTCTGCTGGGAGTATTGGCTTGCCCACTTGCCCCAATCCCTCTTCCCCATTATCAAACAGATAATAATCACCACCAACTTCCTCCTCCAATTAACAAACACATTCCCATTGTAAGTTATTCCTCTGTTTTTAATTTCTATATTCCTCTGTTTTTTTTTTTACCCCCAATTGGTAAAATGTTGTTTTTATATTGTAATAAATGTGCAGGAGACATGTACAGCGCATTACATAATACAGCAATACTTGGCAGCGACGGGATGGTCGACATCGAAGAAAGTGAAGGAGGTGAAGAATATGTATGCGGCGGGGACGGTGAATATGGTATACCGGCAAACGGAGGTGTCGTCACTGGAGGATGGAGAGGTAGTGAATAAGACGGTGGGGAGGAGCGGCGGTGGAAGTGGGGGAGATGGAGAGAAGGGATGCTTCGTGGTGTGGGCAATGTGGCCGGGGAGGTGGTCGTTGGAGTTGGTGGTGGGAGGGAACAAAGTGGTGGCGGGCTCCGACTCCAAGATTGTGTGGAGACATACACCTTGGCTTGGTACCCACGCCGCTAAAGGCCCCCTCCGTCCCTTACGTCGCATCATTCAGGTACCCTACCTACCCTCCTCCTCGATCCCAACTAACAAAAAAAAAAAGATTAAAGCAAAATATACTAGTACTAGTCAGTTATCTTCACTTTAACTGTGTAGGATGAACAATATCAACACACGTAACTTTACCTGTTTGCTACTACATACTACTACATTATATACATTCGTATAATTTGTAAATGTTACACTTTCTCTGGTTGGTTGATCGTTTGGAATTTCATTTTTAATACTCCTTATGTCCGAAAATTATTGTCCAGTTTGAGTTTTCATTTATAATTTAAATCGTACTATAAGTGAAATCTCGAACTGGACAATAATTTTAGTAAAGAGGGAGTATATTAAATGTAATATTTTAAACTGAATAATTGTTTTGGAAAAGAGGTGTATCACCCTTCTAAATAACAGTGTTGTTAGCATATAGTACTACTTAGTAGAGCTCATAAGTACGCTTAGCTTGAACTCGTACGAGGTAGGTATTATTAGCTTGAGTGTTTGACTATATCAATACACTTTAGTATTCACTGACTAAGGTATTATTAGCAATTGGGACGAAGAGAGTAGTACGTTTAGGAAGTGAATGTGATAATTTATGCTCCATTTTGTATCATTTTTGTGGATTTGTTGCACGCTATGACTTGAGTATCTCAAATCATTACTTATATAGTTATATTGGTATATGGAACTAGTTTTGTCTTAGAAAATAAATTATTTTGTTCGATTTTTTACACACTAGACATGATTTAAAAAAGAAAAGAAAAGGCATAAGCACATCATTATGCTCATAAACACCTGTATTAGTTCGGGGCTGTTCTCTGGGAATGGATTAATGAAAGTTTTTCCCAAAAAAAAAAAATAAAAAAAATGCAGGGGTTGGACCCAAAAAGCACAGCAAGTTTATTTACGGGGAAAGCAGCACAATGCATGGGAGAGAAACGTATCGGGGAGGAAGATTGTTTCGTCATCAAAGTCGCCGCCGACAGGGCTTCCGTCATGGAAAGGAATGACGGTCCGGCCGGCGCCGAAGTCATCCGCCACGTGTTGTACGGGTATTTCAGCCAGAGGAGCGGCCTCCTCATCTACCTGGAAGATTCCCACCTCACCCGGGTCCTGGTCAACCCCCAGGAAGCAATAAACGTTGACCACCGTAATTATGATCCGTACGCTGATGACTTAGCACCGGCGGTTTACTGGGAAACCACCATCGGAAGCAGCATCGGGGACTACCGGGACGTGGACGGCGTGCTCATCGCTCATCGTGGCCGGACGGTGGCTACCGTTTTCCGTTTTGGGGAGACGTCTTCGCAACAGTATTGGAGGACGACCATGGAGGAGTTGTGGACCATACACGACGTCGTTTTTGACGTCCCCGGTCTCTCTGTTGACAGCTTTATTCCTCCCGCCGATATCTGGGATTCACATCCCAGCTGATGAAATCCCCAACTCCTCCAATTATTAATATTTCGGTTCAAACTGTATACATTTGATTATGCAATGCGTTCTAATTGCATATTGTTCGTGTAATTAAACTAAAGTTTCTTCCCTGTTTTTGTACAAATTTAGTATAAATTAATCCAAAATCCCATGCCACCAGTCAAGATCTTGTGGGTGAAAAATGCAGTGATTGATGCATATGGTCTTCTTTTTTGAGTATGCTTGATGAACAATTATGAAGGGACAAATGAGGCTGTTGGAAAAACCCGATTTAAAGTTTTTTCTTTTTTTTTTTTTGGGTACGAAATCGGGATAAAATCCTAGATTCTTACATTCTGGGGATATGCAACACATATTATATCATATTACAACCATGACCGAACACCTGACGGTAATGTACAGACTTATCGAATCAAAAGCTACTAAAAAGATTAAGTAGTCAGCCAAGAAGACTTATCGAACCAGAAGCTACTAAAAAGATTAAGTAGTCAGCCAAGAAATTCGTCTCCCGATTTTAAGTTCTTCGTTTAATAACAAATGAGGCAGTTGTTAAGTTATTAGAACATGATGCAAGTGGATTTCTAATTCACAGACTGTAAGAATTTCGTACTAAGGCGGTTGCCTCTTTCAGTGTAAAAATAAAAAATAAAAAATAAAACTCTTTGTTTAAACTTTTTTCCATGTTAAAACACAGTACTAACTTATAATCAAGTGATAAAGAAAAACACTTATTAAGTTACTTTAATTAATTTGCTTCCCAAATGATTTAGTGGATAAAATAGTTCTACACGAAATACCATGTTGAATTATTTTCATAGTTTGGTGGATTGAATCATTCAGTAATCGAACTTTATAATGAATTTTATTTGGATGGAAATAACGAGCAAATGTTTTGGATCGATCATCAACTAAACTGTTTAATCATAGCAGAAATTTCTCATAAATATTATAGGCAATGACATGGTAAAAAGACCTAGCTATGTAATCCTTCAATTTCAAAATAAAAAAAGTTTATTCTTCTCAAAAAGGAAAAATTTAGTTGCAATTAAAAAAGACTCTTTATTACGGGAGTACACTTCATAAGCAAAACAAATCGAGGCCTATTATTTAGTGGAACTGTGGAAATGTGAACGACAAAAATTAAAAGAAGAGAGTAAGAAACATCAAAGTAAGTTCCATTTGTCTCCACTCTTTCGTCACATTCTCTCCTCTGCGACGGAAAGCAGAATTCCAGGTTGCATCAACACATATATCAGTACCCAAAATTCAAAAGCTGGTACTAATTAATTAAAAATATAATAACTCGCTCTCCACTCGGTACGTCCTAGCTAGTCAGCTATATGGTAGTAACATTCTGTACTCCTACTCCATATCTCTCTTCTTTTTTTTTTCTTTTTTTTTTTGTGTGTGTGTGAGAAACATATCTCTTCCCCAGAAAGATGTTAAAGCAGGACATTGATCATGATAATGATGATGGATAAGGCTGTTTGGATAGTAAGTCTGGAATTTTTTCGTTTCTTGTTTTCTCCATCGATCTTTTTGGTGGTTTGGGGTTGGAGACCCATGTTTTGTGTCTTTTTCATCTTTCTATACCATACATTTTCCCTTTATTGTGTGCTTCTATAACTAGAGTAAAGGGCAAAATGTTTTCGTGATGGTAATGATAATATGCCAACTAAAACTGAACAAAGATGGTATATGCGTCATGACTATGTATAAATTAGTGCGTTGTTTTCAACAAATCTATCCCTCCTACATGGCATTTACATGATTGATACTTATCTCAACAAATTCCTTGCATTCCCTTATAGCATTTCCTTTCTTTTCTTTTCTTTTTTTTGGCGTGTTTCAAATCCCAATGGAGGGAGCGATGACAGTGGGTAGCACAGCCCCTTCCTACGTAGTACTTCTTTATGTACTTTCAAATATCCAAAAATCCAAATGAATGGGGGGTTTCCTTTTCCTTTGTCAATGGATCCAATCATTGCTAACTTACCACTACTAGATGTGCCACAACCCTCCCTATTCTTTCCATCTCCTAAAAAGACACGCAAAAAAAGAAACACACATATATTGGGTATTCGATTATATTTGAGAACGTACGTCATTGTCACCTAATGCATGCACCATAAACTTATACATTACAACAAAAATGAGTAGTTTAGACATTTTTTTGTGGCTCAATAAGTAGTGTAATAGGACACATATGATTCACATTGCGTGGGACACTACTAAATAGTGTCTCCTATAATCGAGCCACAATAAGTCCTAAAACATTTAAAAGTGTATTATTAGATTATCACTTATTAAGACACTTTAAAGTGGCCTATTAAGTAGGGTAATAGTTCACAAGCAACCCCACATAGTACACTTATGATAATGTTTCATAATATGCATACATTTTTTCATTTTTAATAAGACACTTTTTTAGCAAATGTCTTAATACACATATAATGAGACACATTTTAAAAAAAGTGTCCCACTATAAAGGTATTAATAGCCCATTTTTTATTGTAGTAATACCAATATCTTTATATATATAGAGAGATCGAATTACCATAATATTTCTTTGTCTCGAAATAATTATTGCATTTAAATTTTTACTTTAATACAATTTGCAATAAAACTGAAATTCCATACTAAATAATTACTTTGGGATTGAGAGAGTACGCACCAATTACTGAATTAAGAAATGAAAATCTAAATTTGGGACGAAAAGATTACAAGCTGACGTAAGAAACTACGCAAGCCTCCCAATAACCTTCAAACCTTCCTGTGGTGAATTCCGAAATTAATTTTCCTCCAACCAAAGCTTAGCGGCTCATAATGTATATTTATGGGAAGAATATTGCATGCACATGTTAATTAACAAAATGTTACTAGATTGGGTCACAATTTATTAAAATTCTCCTTTGTCAAATGAATATTTCATCTCTATATAAAATGAAAATTAATTAACAAGAACGAAAGCAAACATCAATATTGGACCGGGCAGGGTGATTTGCCTACTAGCTCCGCAATCAATAAAAAAATCTCTGCATGTCATCATACGTACGTCATTCTATAAGATTAATTAGTACATACATCCATCCCAAATGAGAATAGTTTTAAAAATCCATCAACCAAATGAAGAGCTTCTTGCCGCCGTTGTAGTACTACTTGATCATGGATAGGTTTAATTTCTCAACTGCCTTGCCGGAGAGTTCCGCCGCTCTTCGTGGAGATGACCTTTCCAGTTTGGTGGCGGAGGAGGAGCCCTTTTGGTTGATCTGATGATCTTCTCCACTGGTGGTTATTATTCCCGCCGCCGCACCCGCCGGCGGCTTAGTGATGTCGTAAAGAGCAACAGTAAGGTCTGAATCGAATTAGAAATAGAATCAAATCAATGTCATTTCCTTAATTGCTGGTCGTCTGAAGATGACGATGATGATGATGATGTTGATGATCAATGTTCTGGTGATGGTCACCTTTGCTAATACTGTACGGATCAAGCGCCGCCGTGGCGGGGGTCCCGAGTTCTTGATGAAGGCGGAGATCGTGATCGGAAGGCGAGGTGGCGGCGGAAGACGGCGGCCACATCATGTGTGAAGCTGATTTACCCCCATAAGGAGGGCTAGGCGGCGCCGGAGGCGGCCGTTTCTTACTATTAGTACTATTAATGGAACCACCAGTACCCAACAGCTGGCTCAGGTTGTCATTGCTGGAGCTACACATATTGTTGAATCCTCCTCCGTCCAGTGCGCCGGAGGAGGATCTTTCCATATCCAGGCCGCCGAGGTGATGGTGGTCACCGGCGGCACCTGAACCGTAAATATTAAGGTCTTGGAGGGATGGGAAATTGAGTTGATGGTGAGTTGGAGGTGATATGAAATCCTTGATGTCCTGATGCTCGTGATGATCAGAACCACCACCGCCGTTGAGGGGGTGGTGGTGGTGGTGGTGGCCGGGCTTGGTGGTAGTATTGTTGAAGGCTGGGGCGGAGGAGGAGGAAGGTGGGGGAATGGGATGGTTCTCGCCGGCGAGGGTCTGACAAGCTTTCTCGAGGATAGTCTGCATGTACTTTCCTTGTGCCTCAATCCTCAATTGTAGGTGTCGTTGTACCTGCACTAATCCACCAGTGCTACATTACTTTAAATAATTCAACACCAAAAAAAAAAAATAAAAAAAAAATGTATGTAATGTACATCAATAAAAGCATGCATCAAATTCATCCATTGCTTCGTTCGCACTAGATTTTTTTCCCCTTAACCATCAATAAAAATGAAAGCGTTTCCACCATAAGCCCTTCAACTTGGAGATGTAGAAGTATATATGTCAATTACCTCAAGTTGTTCGTGAAGCCTTCTTTGTACTTCCAATTGCATCCTGGAATTACATCATAAAACAAAAACATCATTTTCCTAATTCATTCAATCAACAATTTTACGGAAAAACTAGATTAGCACCTAGAGACCTTTTAAAAAATTACTATTAAAACGAACTGTACAATTATTTTTGGATGGGATGGATATGGTATATTAATACACATAATCGGTGGTCAAAGAAGAACACAGAAAAAGGAGAGAGAAATGAAGAAAGGCAAAAGGGGGGATGGAATTAAAAAGAAGACATACTCATTCATACTACGACCAATGATCCCGGAGGAGGATGCTGAAGTATTTCGTTGAAGTTCTAAAGTTGAAGCTGCCCATGCATGCAAATTCATATCATTAATTAATTAATCATCATATCAAAATGAGGGGTTCAAATTTTGCTTTAATTGGTTCTTCTTCTTTATTTCTTTTTAGGCCCCTATATACAGTAGAATCAAAGATATTGATGATGAGAAATATTGAAATCACTAGTATATTTTATAGCTATAGTATCCAATTGATTAATCAAAGTCTTTTATAGTGTAACATCTCTTACCATCTTTTATAGGATGATCATTGAACTCCTTGTGAGGCTGCTTTCCAAGCCTGAATTTCTAAATATCCAGGTGGTGAGAAAAAGAGAGAGAGAGAGAGAGAGAGAGATAAGTAAAAATAAAAATACTAATAACAAAGACGAAGGAAACGTATTCATTTGCAAATGAAATAAATTGCAAAGGGGAATAATAATTGAAGAAAAATGCATTATAAAAAATTTGTAGAAATGAAGGAACCTGAAGATGGCTCTTGAGATGATAGAGAGTAAGACCCTTGACTCCCATAACTCTCATGATCGTCTTTGGCGTCGCCTCTACAGAAAAACCCAAATCAACATGTCCATATATGAACCCAATAACAATACTGGATCGATTAAACGGAATAAAATTAAGGAAATAAATTTGAAAAAAAACGTACTGTCGGGGCCACCGAGCTGAGTAACAGCATCAACGAAGCGTTCATGAAGCTCAACCGTCCATCGGAGCCTCGGTTTCGGATCCGTCGTCAGCACAAGTCCACCGGAGTCTCCGCCTCCTCCTCCAACGCCGCCGCACATCCCACCACCTCCGCGATTAGTACCACCGTCGTGATGATGATGCCCCGATGAAGGGTTAGTGCTCATATTCGCCGGCTTCTTTGTCTGGAACATCATTCCCTTTTCTTTTTTTTTCCTTTCTTTGATGTAGATACCCTAGGTAGCTAATATGTTTATGTATACTCTATATATATATCTCGGGTTATGGAGATTGTGTTTCCCAAACTGAGCACCGAAGTTATTTTGAAGCTGAAACAGCTAATAATAATACTACAAAAGTCTTACAAAAGATGTGGTGTGAGTTTTTGGAAGGCGGGGGGGAAGAGAAGATAGGGGAAAGGGCCGGCTGAAGGGGAAACTAATTAGGTTGGTTTCTCAAATAGGAAGAGCCTCCTTTGTAAATCTAATTTCACACTCCCTTCAGGGTGGGTCCAAGTATGCACTTAGTACGTAGAAGGGAAAAAAAAAAATTGAAAGTAATTATGTATACTCATTAATTTTCATTTTTTTTTTTTAAAAAAGGTGTTAATTATTAAAGTATTTGATATACGTGTATTAATTGTTACGGTTAATCTTTTGTGATTTTCTACCTCAGTTGTGGACATAGTACAATTAGGTGAATTAAGTTGAGATAAAGTGAAAATGTGTGGACCACCCAAGTAGTAATTGTTTGATGATGGACAAACAAACACTGTACAGGAAATTAGTTAATATTCAATCGCTTTAAGTAGTCATGATGAATTAATGAATAACATTGAGCGCTATATAGCTGTCTGTATATGTGAAAATGTTGACGTGGTGATCAGTCTTGTGAGATTGAGGGAAGTTTTACCCTACTACAAATATTCTGAGTCTCAAAATTACATTAATTGTTGGTCTCTCTCCTTTTTTTTTTTTTTTGACTAATTAACTTCTCGTACATTACCGAATGGAAAGAGTAAAGAGTCGTAGTATTTGGGAGAGGAAAGTTAGGAAATGATTGCAAAAGGGTGAAAAGAAAAAGAAAGGGTTTCGAGAATGTGAAGGGGAAAGGCTTTTCATGGGAGTGCGGGGTTCTTGAATTTTGTGTTCCTGTTTGTTTTTGTGGCCTAAACTAAGATCGTCTCAACAGAGTGCGTACGTATGTATAAAAAAACCCACCAACAGACCTGAGAAACAAAAATAAAAAGAAAATTTTTGAAATGGTAAATCGAACTTTATTATAAACTCACTCCGGAATCCAATATCTGCTTTGCCATTTTTATTCTCTCTAGCGCTTTTGTGGACTTGAAGCTTGTCCTTTCTCCCTTCCTTCCCCTTTCTCACCATCATGATACGTCTGTATTTATGTATATGCATTTGTATTACGGATAATTATTTCTCCTGTCCCAATAAATATGAAATTTATTTTATAACCCACCGTGTTAATCATATATGTCAATAAATCATGAAGATTTGCACTTAGTTGATTCTTTATAAATTTGTGTATATATATGCATGCGATTGTGAGTATAGAGGAGGAGGATAGGGTTTATGTATATTTATTTTATCTGTATTAATTTAATTTTTATGACAGACAACAAATTAAAGTAAGGAAAAAGGAGGAGCAAGAATTAAAGTTCATGTGTCTCTTGTATTCAGTAAAAATAAAAAAATAAAAAAAAACCCCCCTCAACTTCCAAAACGGAATAGATGCTTTCTTCTTTGACAATCAAAGCAAAGATTCGCTCCTCCCTCCTCCTCCTCCAACCTTTAACTTCAACTTTGATTAAATTTTATCTCCCCTTTAATTAATTAATTATTGTTATTATTATTATTACTTCACATACACACATTTCTTAATAAATTATGTAATATTCCCCTCTCCAGAACTAGAGCACATTAATTTACCATACTTGCAGCCACCAGCCTGATGAACCGGTTTTTATTACAAGGATTTAGTGTAAATTACCTTTCTTGTTTAATTAAGAGCAAGTTATTCCAGGATTCATTGTACAAATTAATTTTCTCCCTTTATAAAAGCGTTTTTCAAATTAACAACAAGAAACAAAAATAAAAAGGAGCAAAAGAGAAGAAGACGAAAAAGAAAAGAAAATCTCCGTAAGCTACTTAGATAGCTCACGCTGCATGCCTTATCATTTTTATATTTATGAATGAATTATTATTCTATATATTATTATTATTATTAGGATATAATTATAAATAAAAGGGGGTGAAAAAAAAGGAAGTAGCGCGCAGAATCATACCCAAGTCGACCTGGAGTATGTGATATGAAAAGCAAATCTTCCAGTCTTAAAGCTGATTAATTTATTCATTGATTACTTAATTACAAACTAAAGGCACAAGGCACACTAAAAGTGAAGGTTTAACTTTAGTTGAGGCCCTCTCAATATAATAATAAAATTTGGAAATTAACTAAAGAAATAAAATTTGATCTATCTAAGGGGAATGGAATTTTATTTTTTTTTTTTCATTTTTAAAGAAGAAAAAACGGCTGGAACTGGGGGATTGGATATAGAGATTGGCTAGGTAGGAAGGATATAGATAGACTACTGTTTGCTTAATATTTAAGCATCTTGTATATGCTTTGAAGAATTTATTCCCACAATTCTTGAATATATTCCCCTCTCCTCTTCTCCAAGATAAATTGTACCACCTTTTTTTTTCTTTTAAATTTTCCCCTTTCTTCTTTATTTTATATGTATTTGATGTTAATGTAAATAAGCCTACCTGTTAATTCCACTCTATCCTGAATTTTCTAAAGTAGTATCATCGTGCTTACATTGAGTACGGATGCGGACATATGTTTTCATTCTTCACCTTTTGAAAATATAACATCACCTCTTATAATTCAGTTTCTAGATTCTTTTGGATGAAAGATTAATTAATGATGCAATATAAGGTACATGCCGAGGCATGTTTTGTGTTTATTAATCGGCACAACATGCAAGCCACTTTTATCCTATTATGTGCGGTAGGTCAAATGAATTTTGCAGATATCAAATCACATTTGGCCGGTGTCCGAAAATCATTATTCTGACTAATTCGGATTCAAGTTGGATAAGTTCTTTTAAAAGACAAAACTCTCCTAATAACTATTCTAATCACTGCTGCATATCTATGCCCGTGTTCGAACATGGGTCATAATTAAGATGGTCCAATATCTTTACCACTTAGACCAAGTGGTTGTTGGTATATCGAATCATGTTTAAGTATGACTCTTCTACCTTATAAGTTCCGTTTATTATCTGATTTAATACGCCTACCCATTTATATCCTGCCAATTTTCTTTATGTTGTGTCTATATGGTCTTCAAAGTAACTGACCTGCCAAATAGTTGTTGCACCGGGGTTAGGTCTGGGCTTCCAACATTAATTTGGAGCCCAATCAACAGGAAGGGATTGGAATTGGATTGCGGTTCATTATTCTCATTTTCATCATCATCATCATCATCATCATCATCACTGGTATATAATAGGAGAATCAGATTCCTGGCTGCTTTGGGACCATTTTTTCTTCCTATCTTATTTTTGGCTACTTTCATTCAAACTCACAATACGTATCCCACAATCTCCATCTTCTTTTTGTTCAAATGGCCAAAAGTCGAAAAGGCTTCACGTCACGTGCGTGGGCTATACAGATTACATTAATCTTAGAGGTCCTTTTCATCAATCCCAAAAGCAAACTCCATTTCCCCAACTGGCCCACTTCTCTGAAAAGAAGAGTCCATAACCTAAATTTGATGTTTCAGCCCAATACTGCTGTTGGTCCCTGCGTTTTAACACCCAGTCCTAACACCGTTTCTTTATCTTCAAAATTGAACATTTATCTGCGTAGATCACTCTTGAAATGGTCATGTTATTTAGAAAAAAACAATGTTTATTTTAACTTCAACTGAAACATATATCATCGGCCGACACAAAGTGTACAAAGAGAAGCCTCTAAGGACTATCTCGGATGCTTCAACTGAGAAATTTATTCTTGACCATTCCTGAACAAATGGAACCTCACCATGTCATGAAGCTACAACATCTTCCACGCAACATCATATGGGAAGCTCCAAACCATATTTACAGCCACTGCCCCAACCTGGCCTTTCAACCAACCATGAAACTGAAGCCAAAGCGATTGTTGGAAGGTGACACAATTCATCTCAGTTTAGCTTAGGTTTCCAAGACACACATATTTAATCTGCATTGGGGAAAAGTGACGAGAATGTGAAAGTGATCATTTGCAACACTAGATTTGCCAGTGCAGTGATTGTTCATTTTTGTGAGTAGGGTTCACAAGATATTGAGTTGCAAAATTGAGATCGAGATGTACCTCCAAATATTCATCCATCCCATATTTGGATCCTTCGCGGCCAAGGCCAGACTGTTTCACCCCTCCAAATGGTGCCACCTGGAGAAGAAGAAGGATTATTGCGAGTGGAACCAACATTATTTTTGGCCAACCCTTGCTCATACTATTTTACTAGCAACCAGAACAAAAAGAAGAGAAAACAATAATTGCACCTCAGTTGAGACAAGCCCTTCATTCACGCCAACTATACCATACTCAAGCGCTTCAGAGACTCGCCAGGAGCGTTGAACATTTGTCGTAAATATGTAGGCAGCCAGACCCGCATTTGTGTCGTTGGCCATGTGAATAGCTTCTTCCTCAGTTTTAAATTTCAAAAGTGGCGCAACAGGTCCAAAAACTTCCTCTGTTGAAATACGCATCTCATTCTTGACATCAGTAATCACAGTGGGCTCATAAAAGGTCATCCCCAGACTATGTCTTTTGCCCCCAAGAACAACTTTAGCTCCCTTTGAGACAGCATCTTGAATCAAAGTTTCAACCTTCTGTACAGCCGCTTCATTGATTAGAGGGCCCTGGACCACACCTTCACCGAATCCTTCTCCAACTTTCATATCTTGGACGGCCTTTAAAAAAGAATCAGCAAACTTGCTATATATTCCTTCTTGCACGAGTATCCTATTTGCGCAAACACAAGTCTGCCCACTATTACGAAACTTAGTAGCCAAAGTCCCTTTAAGAGCCACCTCAAGATCTGCATCATCAAAAACTATGCAAGGTGCATTGCCTCCAAGCTCTAGGGACACCTTAACAAAAAGAATACCACAACAGAGTAAGCTAAAAGTATTCAACAACTGCAGAATTCACTCCCTTTGAATCCCAAGGCAGGCATACCTTTTTAACAGTCTCGGCAGAACCCGCCATTAACTTTTTTCCAACAGCTGTTGACCCCGTAAATGTAATCTTTCTTACCTGATGATGTCATGGAAAATTGATTAACTCATGCATAATCGTTGTCAGGTTGGACACATCAGAAAATGACAAAAATTATAAGTTTGACAGATTAGCAAGTGAACCTTGGGGCTATTAAGTAAAGCTTCTCCAATACCAGAAGCATTTCCCATGACTACATTCACTACTCCCTGCATGATTGAGCAATCAGGAACTGGTACTTATACGTGCAAAATTCAAAAATAGATCCCTCAGACTAACTCAGACATGCTGACACGGTTGAAACACGACAGAATTACCGGTGGTATTCCAGCTTCAAGGGAGAGTTGAGCAGCCGCTAAAGCAGTCAAAGGTGTGAGTTCAGAGGGTTTGATAACAACTGTGCACCCACAAGCAAGAGCAGGGCCAACCTGGTAAAATGCTCATCCTTAGTATAGCCTTCACTATCGGTGCTTAAAAGAAATGTAGAATCACACAGCTTTTAATTGTAATCAAGGAGCATCCAAAGTCTCACCTTTCTAGTAATCATGGCCAGTGGAAAATTCCAGGGAGTAATGGCACCAACAACACCAACAGGCTGCACCCAGAAGAACAAAATTTCATATTTCTACACATCCATAATGAGAAAAGTTTCTAAAGATCCAAACCAACTGAAAAGAACTTTTCTAAGAAAAACATAATTTAGTCAGATTTAGAGAGTGCAAGATTGTATTTGGTCAAGTGAAACCATACTAAAGAGGGTAACAGTATAGTTTCAGTAAATATGCCTAGTATAGTTCCAGAATATTATTGAGCCAGACCAAAGGGAATGTTTCATTTCTTAAACTTCCAGAACATTGTGGTAAACAGACAATAAAATAGTAGAGGCCATAATGTCACCTGCTTCAAAACAAACAACCGACGATCTGGCAATGGCGACGGAATGATATCACCATAGACACGTTTAGCTTCTTCAGCAGCAAACTCAATAAAACCGGCCCCATAGCTGACCTGAAATTGTGCATATTTATATGAACACACTCCCAGACAAACACTACTAAGGCACACAAAAACTTCCAGAAGTGAGAATCAGAATTGGGTACCTCACCAATGGCCTCCTTTAAAGGTTTCCCTTGCTCCAGAGTTATAAGTTGTCCAAGCTCCTCCTTATGGGCCATTATCAAATCATACCTAAAACGCAAAAGCCGGTCAAATAGTAGAGCTCCTCAAGCAGAAAGTACAGGTTACAAGTAAAGCCATACCATTTCCTTAATCGCTTGCTTCTATCAGCAGCAGTGAGTTTCTTCCAAGCTTTTACAACAATCCAAGAAATACAAGTAAGTAATCCCATTACATTTAGACATCATTAAATTTTTACACCATCGTTCATCTAAAAGGGGTGATAAAAGGATAAGTACTAGAGTTTGCAAAGTAGAAGTGCTATATTTTGCAATAGCATAAAAAGTGATACGTATTCGTGATAAGATTGAGTGGCAAATCCTTGGATAACAAAAATGTCTACTCACAGTTAAATGCATCATAAGCTGAAGTGATGGCATCATTGGTCTCCTTCCCTCCCATACAAGGAATATTGGCAATAACTTCTCCTGTAGCAGGATTAGACACCTGCGAAACCCAAAAAGAAAAACAAAAACACAAATGTTCAAAGAAATGGGACCAAACATACCAATGGAATCTCCTGTATGCAAAGCAATGAGAATAATTTTATTCATTAAGCCAGGAATTAATTCAGACCCTTTTTTCCAGCATACCTCAAAAGTCTTGCCATCATGAGCATCTGTCCAGTTTCCCCCAATAAGACCCTTAGTTTGCAGAATTCCTGAGCTGCTAAGACGAGCAGCAATGCTCTGTGCTTGCATATTTATCTGGGCAATCAAATCACATGCCACTTCAAACGAAATTCAATAATCGGAAATCGAATCAAAAGTGAGGATCAAGACACAACTGCTTCCTCATAAGACCCACGGTTAAGAGTGAAATTACACAGCAGAAGCCACAATCACGGATGACCCGAAACGCGACATAAGACCCATAGACACCAAATAATATGATCCGACTGCTCTGCTACCTCGACGAGTAAGAGATGAGAATTTACATTTTAAAAAAAAATGTAAGAAATGAGTACCTGACGAATGAAGAAAGACGGGGACCGGCAGGGTGTAGGGAGGCAGCGATGAGCAGGCGGAGATAACCGAGTGAAGCGATTAAATAGAGTAGACGAAGAAGAAGAAGAAGATAGAATCCGGGCGGTTGAGCAGCCATTAGAAGCGAAACCGAAGATACTACGTGTCAACCCCATAGAGTTCAACGTGCCAGCACTCAATAGTAGTACAACAGTCAATATGCAGTTTTAGCTACTAGCGAATCGCATCAAATGCTTCGGTCAATCGAACAGAGGACCACAGCGCTTCGCCGGTGACTCTGAGTGAGTGAGTGAGTGAATGAGCCTGCCCACATATCCCGGCAAGTTTCGCTCTGTCTATTTCTTTAAATTTTTCGAATTGGTCCTTGTAAAAATCCTAAATTTCAATTATGTCCTTATGCAATTTGCATTGAATAATTTGATCCTTATAAGCTGTAACCACTTCTAGTTACCCTTTTCTAGTTACCCAAGAAACCAAGTTGGCAATTGATGGACAAATATCATAAATCACCAAAAAACAGAAAAAAGAGTAATACTCTTCTATGGCTCTCTCTCTTTATCTCAAAACGAAACTTCATTTTATTTAGTTGAAACAATACAACAAAATGAATTATTTTTCTAAGACTAACGGAAGATAATCTATCAATATTAGAACAAGATAAACATTTTGTATTTTTCATTGATGTGGAATCATAAGATCAACACGTATGACCTCACTTTACTTAATTCATACAACGCGCTAAGCTAGTTTTATAACATTATCTCTTGTTAACTTGTTCCAAATGTGACAGCTTCTGTTCCATTAGGGAAAATTTGGATTAAGGGCAGCATATAAAAAATAATTAATAAAGAGGGCAACACTCTTAAATAATTTGTATTAAGGGCATAATTATTCAACAATCTAAATATTACTTTAGATCTTGGAATCAAATTTTTTTTTCCTTCATTTATTTTAATACATAAATTAAAATCTGTTTCCAAAGTGTATAAATGATAATATTTCAAGAGTAATAAGAAAATAATATAAATATGTTTAATTTAAAAATAAAGATTAATATTTCCTGAATTTTATTAGGTGGTTCTATTTTTTTCATATAATGTTAATTTTATTAAAGTAAATAATTATTTTCTTTCACATGAATCAAAATTTTCTAAATTCTTTTTCCAAAATCTTATATTTAAATGAGCCATAAAAGATATTTTACAGCACTTAAATGATATTATTTCTTCAAAAAAAAATTAATATCATTTATTTTATATTAGTAAAAATTTTAAAATTTAATAATACAAAAATTTATTATGTTTAAGTTTTTTTAACCAATAACTACTTCAATATTCTTATGCTAATCAGGCTTACAAAAAATTAAATTAATAAACTTTCAAAGTAATTAAATTGATATTAATAAGTGTTTTAATATGTAAAGTCATATTTGTATGGTTGAATTATTATGCCCCTAATACAAATTATTCAAAAGTAATGTCCTCTTTATTAATTATTTGTCCTCTACCACCATTTATCCAAATTTTTCTTTCATTTTATATGGATCTTCATTTATGAGAAATGAATAGAAAGTCGGAACAGGAAAGCACTTTTCGGATGGGTAATAATCAATATCATGATTTGTGTCCAAAAAAAAAAAAGAAAAAATAAAGGAGGTGCGAAAGCAAATTATATGTTTTGGAGGAAGCAACAATTACAAACCAAAAATAGTATAGTGAAAAGTGCTCATAAGAGCATCTCCTACGCGTCCACTAAACCGAGCGAACGCATTGGATTTGACGAAGCGGGAGCTCCAACGTGCTCTGCTCTTCTCCGCCCTGCTACATCAAAGTGTTCCGCTTCCTTTCAAAGGTGGCGAAGCACTATTCACCCGCTTCAAAGCGTGTGGACCTTTTTCTCTTTTTTGGATTTTTTTTTTACTAAGACTCTGTTTATTTCATTTTTTTAAAATTAATTTATTAATCACTGTTCCATCCTAACGTATCTTTTTACATTTTTTATATACCGTTTTACATTTTCAATGCAAAAAATACTTAAAAACACATACTATGGTAGTAATGATAATTAATTTGTGAAATTGTCTACTTATTATTTGTATTAATTTTTAGTTTCCTAATCACTATTGTTATCGTCGTAGTGTTTTCATGTGTAAGTTTTAATGATGTATTTTTTTCATCCCGATTATGTAATATTAAGTTTGTGATCAAAACTGTGTGTTTGTTTTGATTGTTTGTAGTGTTCCTTTATGTGAGTTTATTGGAATTTTGTATTTATAGTTTCATATATCGATAATGTATTTTTAATATGTGTTATAATATAAATATACATTGTGAAAATTCAATGGTTGTAAATTTGTTAAGAATAAAATAAGAAGAAGATGAGGAAAATAATATACAAACCAAACTGACGATCAATATTATGATAAAATCTAAAATGACGGCTATGATTCTGCTAACTTTTTTTAAAAAAAGATTCTATAAATATGTTTCACTATTACTAATAATTCTTGCACCAAACATTCAAACGTATTCTTTTTTAGTCAAATAAAAAATGACTTACGGTCTAGATGAAGATAAGCATCTATGTAAAACGCATATGCAGATTTCGAAAAATCTATATGAGACCTTTTAAGAACGAGTATAAGAAATGTATGATAACCTCCAGCTTGGGTAAAGTGTAGTAAAAGGTCAATGCAAGAATGGTAGAAGTCAACTCAAACAACAGTTCGAATGTTAATTATTTGAAATAGGTGAAACGCTTATATCATAGTGGTAGCCACCACTAGAAACAATTATTACTTATTAAATTTTTTAGCCTGTAAATGATATGTACTTAATAGTAAATGAATTTATAAACATATATACGTTTGAATGCAGATGACTAATGACGGAGTATTTCAAATTTAAAAATGGATTCAAGGTTTTTGAAAAAATTCAAGTCTGAATGAAGATTATTTCGAATCCATTAAGAAATATAATTAATTTATGAATGGTTGACTTTTATCATCCGAATTTACTGTCATTCGCTAAATATTTGATTATGTAAGTTTAGATGATGTACTTTTATTTTTTTTATTGTATAATTTAAGTTTATAAATAATCAAAACAATGTCTATGTTTTGATTATTTGTAGTGTTGTTTTTAAATCTGGTTTTATTGATATTAATGTGTATCTTATAATTTTATAATAAATCAGCAATTCTTTTCAGTCCGCGTTAAAATACAAATACATATATTTACTTGTAAGACATAAAAAAAGAAGAAGAAAATCACATTTTGAATTTACCCATTAAAACTACATACTATGATTATTAATTTTAGTTCTACTGGTGAAACATTAATTAAAAACGAAATATATAATTAGTATATAATAATTAAACTAATTAACATATAATTAAGCCCAAGCTGACCCAACTTAGTATCATTCAAATTGCTTCCGGTATATCCGATATCATTGATGAATCCATATTGTCCCTCATTTGATGATGTTTCAAACTGTCTCATGTTTAACGATGATTGTCCTTGAGATTGTTATTCTTGAAACTCCCTTTATTGTATAATTTGGAGTTGTTTTCTCTTATAATATCGACGAACCGATTCATTCAGAATAATAGACATGTCCATCATCAACACTTTGATTACACAAAAAAGAAAGATGAGGACAGTTTGGTGTAATCGCTATATTCATTACTTTTCTCTTTCAAAACGCTTATGCTTTCTAATTGTTTGAAGATATTGGATTTTCCAAAACATAGATGTAACAATTAACAATAAGTATATCTTCAGCCCTATTATAGTTAAAGTTCTTTTTAGAAGTTATTCAATTTTGTTGAGGGTGTTTGCAGAAAGTGTTGTTATGTAAAAAGAGGGAGGGAAAGTTTAAGATTATGTGTTGTAAAAATATTTTATAAAATTGGAATAAAGTAGATGCAAATTGGAATGAAGTATTTATAAAATTTTACAGAGAAATGCGTGTAAATTAACAAATAATCAAAAAAGAAAGGAAATTGGAACCAATAGTCACCATCAATTATTAAAAAGAAGACGTTGGATTCCTTCTTGGATCGACAATTAATACTCAATGTATTAGAATTAATAACCACTGTCAATTTTCAAGAAATGGAATCAGGTTCTTTTATGGACTGAAAACACTCAATGTATTGGAATCAATAATCACCATCTAGTATAAAAACACGTTGAATTTTTTCTTGGACCGACAAATCTCAATCCATTAGAATATGTTAGGATATTCCTTTTAGAGAAATTTTATAAAATAATGAATTAAAAATACTAATACTGTTGAAACTTGAAACTACAAAAGTAGTTGAATTTCACTATTGCATTCTAAATATAGAGTTTACAAGGATGTTGGATTAGAGATACCCTAATAGGGCCAAGGCAGCTCTAGAGTTGGCCAATTTGTTGTAATCCTTTTACAAATTAGTAATATATAAAGTCGTGATTATCAAAAAAAAAAAAAGAGAAAAAGAAGTGTATAAAAATGCCAAAAGAAAAGCTTGAATGATTGGAGGGTTAGCGTTGACTTGATTCCATTCTTGCATTTTCAAAAAAAAAAAATAAAAATTCCAGTCTTGGATGTTTGTTGGACTTCTAAGATAATTATATATCACGTCCAGCCCAATTGATTAATAGGCTTTTAAGGTAATCAGATAGTACGTCCAGCCCGATATTATTACCGTCGTAAAAAAGAAGAGAAACGTTACTACAGAGTGGTGGAAAAGTAAAAAAGTAAAAAAAAAATCAGACAAACTAGAAGAAGGAGAAGGAATCAAAGGGGAAAAGAAAAGAGACATTTCAAAGTCAAAAAAAGAGTATTATCAGACATGGCAACTAATCAGACTCCTTCTCAGAAATTCTTCCATTGTTAAATTTTTCGTATAATAGTTTTTGACAAAATCAATTTCCCCAAAGACTATTATATTACTTCCCACGCCTGCGCCAGCAAACCAAATTTTTTTATTTTTTGTTGTATTATTCCATCGTAAATACCAACAAGAAAAAGAAATTTTTTCCACACCAAATCCTTCTCTTCCCCTTTTTTCTCTTCACAAGTTTCAACTCCGCGTTCATCTTTCTCTTTGTTTCTTTTGAGTTAAAACTAGTTTGATTTGAGGTGGGGAGAAGCACCAGAAAAGGGAATAAGGGATTTCAAAAGATAGTTGATTATGAGCTCCAATAATCATCCGTCCTCCAGTGCTGCCGCCGGAGCTCGCGGATCCGGCGATGCTTCCACTACCGCCGCCCGGAATTCCAAGCGTCCTAAGTGTACCTTCTCCATCTTTTCTTTACTTATCTCTTTAGTTCGTTTCCCGTATTGTTTAATTGCTAGACCCTTTTGACAATCCCTTTACTTCAGCTGAGTCCATCTTCAGATTCTTTCCGTAAAATTGGGGGTTTTTTTTTCCGGTTATGGTGGTAAAACGATTGGGTTTTTGTATTTTTACGATTCAGTTCCTTTTTTTTTTTTTAAAAAAAAAAACTGTAATCTTGATGAATTGTGTTCTAGTTGTGAACTTGTGATCACATCTTGCTTCAATTTTGACCGAGTCAATGTCCTGTTTTCGTTTCCCACTTTTGATTTCTTCTTGGGATGTTTTGCGGTTGAGGTGCTTGCATTCTAGTTAGGCCAGCTGCGAAGTTCCTTCTTTGTGATTTAAAGATTGATTTCTTGTTTATCTTTACAATTACATTATCTGGGTTTAGGCCCTTTAACAGCGATAATGGATCACAAAATTATTCAAGAAAAACAGAGGAATTTAATCCTTGCAGGACATGATGTTTCTTGTGCTCATAAAAGGAATGAACTTTTAGTTATGGAAGGATGTCACCAGAGCAATCATTAGCTCTCTGGACTTGTCTTTGCATAATAACATTTAGCTTTGCTGCTTTAAGGGTGCTTTCGCCCAAAATGACACTGGCAACAACCACAACCTTTCTCTCACATGTCCATGGTTGATGATTTTGTGCATTCGTTGACTCCTTCAATGGCCTGTTGATTTCAATTTTTCCTTGTTTACATGATGCAAATGCTTAGTAATGGCTGACATGTATTTTTTTTTTCCCTATCTTTGTTATATAGATTCAAGGTTTACACAGCAAGAGCTTCCAGCTTGCAAACCAATTCTTACACCAAAATGGGTATGGAACTCTTTAAAGTGGTTTGATTTTCATTTCCATTTTAGACTCATGCTCTTCTCTTTACTAATACTGTGTTGATACTTGCAGGTTATCTCAGCATTTATGCTTGTAACGATAGTATTTGTTCCCATTGGAGTAGCTTCCTTGTTTGCCTCCCATGATGTATGCACGGAGTTTATCTAATTGTTTGGCTTTCTTGTTTTGGCGCTGTCTTAAATTGCACCAGAATAATAAATCCAGCTAATGTTTTATTTTACTTGTTCAGGTTGTTGAAATTATTGATCGGTATGAAACTGAGTGCATTCCAAAAGAATCTAGAAATAATAAAGTTGCTTATATACAAACGCCCGGTGACAAATCCTGCATTAGAACTCTTAAGGTATGTCTCTTTACTTCGCTCTGTTCTGTTAGATTTTCACTCATGGTGTTTACAATGATTGACTTGTTTTCCTTGTGTTTCAAAAGAGAAATTGGAAGATGGATGGAAGCTTGACCACGGACTAATTTGTATGACTTTTCGTTTCAGGTGACAAAGAATATGAAGGCGCCTATTTATGTGTATTACCAGTTGGACAACTTTTACCAGAACCATCGCAGGTACTCATTCTCAGAATCTGGACCTCATGACCTGTATGGTTGTTGCGTAACTTTGTGACAGTTTCTTGAATCATAAAGAACTTTAAGTATATTAGTGCCCTCTGTACAGACATTAGTAGGTTATATCCTTGTACTCTGTTTTCCTTCAAAAGTGTTTTGTGGTAAAACGTTGTCTCCCATCTCCCCCTCCCAGTTGTTCCATTATCGGGTGAGTTTTTGCTCCCACTGTCTATTTGTGACTTCGATTTGTATACTTTTCAGGTATGTAAAGAGCCGAAGTGACAAGCAGTTGAGAGACCATGATAGCATGAATGATACGAATTTGTGTAAACCAGAAGACAAGGCGAATAATAGGTCGATTGTACCTTGTGGCCTTATAGCTTGGAGTCTCTTTAATGACACCTATAGTTTCTCCCGCAACAGTCAGAATTTGACTGTCAACAAGAAGGGTATTGCCTGGAAGAGTGATGTAGATCATAAATTTGGAAAGGATGTCTTCCCTTCGAACTTTCAGAGCGGGACACTTATCGGGGGTGGAAAACTTAATGCGTCTGTTCCAGTAAGCCTTCAACTCCTCCTCATATTTTCTTAAATAGCTGAAGGACAAGATTAAGATATTGAGTATCTTTCCAGGAATCCCAATTATCATGCATATTAATAGCATGGAACTAAACTTTATCTAGCGGTTTTGCTGCTATATCATATTGGTAGGTTGGATTTGTGCCATTGATGATGATCAAGTTTGAGACCACCTTAGATGTAGGAATATTCAACACAGATATGAAAACAGTTGTTGCTTTGTATTTTCATGTATTTGTTTGGCTTTCTGTCTAGCTTGTGGCAAATGTTCTAAATTTCATTTCCATGGAACAGTTGAACAAGCAGGAAGACCTGATAGTTTGGATGCGAACTGCTGCTCTTCCCACCTTCAGAAAATTATATGGCAAGATAGAGGTGGATCTTCAAGCAGGCGATCATATTAGCGTAGTTGTCCAGAACAATTACAACACCTATAGTTTCAATGGAAAGAAGAAGCTTGTGCTTTCTACAACTAGCTGGCTAGGTGGAAAGAATGATTTTCTTGGCATTGCCTATCTTTCTGTTGGAGGGATCTGCTTCTTTTTGGCTGTTGTTTTCACTATTATATATCTTGTCAAGCCAAGGTATGTTCTACCCCCCAACCTCTCGCTGTGGTATATGATTTGAATTGTATAATTAGAGGGACTGAAAAAGTAATGGAAAATTGGAGCATAAGTGTGTGCATGAAGTACCATATAAGGAATGTAACTGATTCTGGTAATGTTTAGCCACTTAACAAAAAGTTTGCTTGTATATCACTATGTTTTAAAGCCACTTACTCTTGGTTCTTGTACCCTTAACTAACCCGTGAATCAACCAACGATAGATGATCATTCTTCTAGCTTCTAATTTTGAAAACTAAAGTTGCTTTTTATCTTATTTGATTCAGGCAGCTTGGTGATCCATCTTACCTATCCTGGAACCGGAACCCAGGTGGGCATTAACCTATCCATATTGAATTTTCTGTGGGCAGTTAGTTTGAACATTTCTTTGTGGCGTGGTACCAGATGTAAGGTTTACGTATGGCCAATCTGCATGTATAAAAACACATATGTATTCTTATTTAATTTTTGGAATGTCGTAGTCTTAGATGATTACTACTACCTGTTAAAGGGAAGACAACATCTTTCTATTTATTTCTTGCAACTTGTTTTACTTTCACTATTTTTAAGGTTGAAGTGATTAGATGTGTTGAACTTGTACCAACACTCCAGGACTAGATGCAGCTAACACCTCTCATCTGATGGATGATTAATCTTGCCATCTCAATTGGGATTTTTTTTTTTTTTACGCATCAGACATTTTGAGATTGCTTAAGTTGTATATCTCATACTGCACTTCACAATGTCAATAACTGAACTAAAAAGAATATTTACGATGCAACTCGCTATTACAAAACTCCATAAGATCCTTACTCTTCCAAAATGCAACGAACATTTATTACCACCAGAAAACTGCAACATAAACTGAAACTATAGAAACCTGGAGCTGCAGTAATGAAATGAAAACACCACTAACTACACGTGCAAATATTAATCATCCAACATCTTGCAGTTGTATAGTGGCATCGTAACTGCCTCCGATGTTCTGTCCAAGTGAATTAGTACTTCTTTGCCCTCCTTGCTTCAAGAATGAGAACAAGAAGGTACAAGCGAATGCAATAATGCAATTACGTACCCTGTTGCATCTTCGCCACCTTCTCTTACCATCTCAACTTGCAAGTACAAGAAGTTTAAACAATCAGGGCTTCTAAATTTGTCAGAATTGGTCTACTTATTGTACTCTCAGCAAAACATTTGAAAGGTATTGACCCTCTGGATATGACGGATCAATGGGATGGTCGCAAGCTGCGCCAGCCTGCCGTAAAATGGTAACTTTCTTTCCAGCCATTGATGCTGCACCCTGAGTACGTGTAACAAAAATAGACAAGAAACAGAATTATGAATGAAAGTAACAAAACAGAAGAACCCCGTTCCTAAAAGAAAGAATCCTTTCCTTTCCATTAAAATGTGAAATGAGAACCTGCCTGGAGCATTTGCAGAAACATCCCACTCTGGGTCATAGCTCCAGAACATGAGCATGTCATAAGCAGACCATTCTTTTTCGTTAATTGCATAGCTAACGAGTTCAAATTTCTATACATCCCAGATGCGCTTTGCAGAACCTGTATAAGTAAAGGTGTTAGCAAACACTTGCGAAAATTACATTCTTGCGATCTAGAAAACTACAACATAAAACTAATGAATGGAATCTAATTTTCACTTGGCAATAACATCAGTCAAGCCTTACACTTGAAGCGTCAGCTAGCCTCAACCCAAGTGAAGCCATTTAAAATTGGATACATGAAGCATGAAAAGAATTCATATTGGGAAAGGATTATACCTTTTTACGAGGAGCTAACTTAGGAGGGTCTAAGATCACAATATCCCACAAGTCACCTCTGGATATTGCAGCCTTCATGAATTCTGTTGCGTCTTGCTTGATAAATGATATCCTCTCAGGGTCCATGTCATTTAGAATTATATTTCTGTTTGCAAGTTCCAATGCGGGCAAGGATGTATCAACACCTTCCATGGAAATTTCGTAATCAGCACAATGAATTAAGTCCAAATGGACCTAAAAACCAAGTTTGGCTTTTATGCCAATCAAACTTTCTTCTAAATTTATGTTTCTCTTTTGGCTCATTTAGCACATTCAAAACATAATGTTCTCATGGAAGTTGTGGGAAAAAATGATATGATGAGCATTGTGGTGAAAATACCTGTCACAATGCGAGCACCACCACGAGCTGCATTCAGAGCAAAACCACCAGTATAACAACATATATCAAGCACATCTAGCCCCTTAGAAATTGTGGACAAGAATTGGCGGTTTTCACGCTGATCAGCATAGAAGCCAGTCTTTTGTCCGTCCAAGGAGATCAAATAAGAGATTTCATTCTCTTTAACCTATTCAAATATCGACACATTTCAATAAGCAAGCCAAATTTGTAAAATGGTTAAAATGCTTGACACTCAAGAAAATTGTCTATATGCATGTATTAGACATGGGAGGTTCCAATGAAAACTTCGTAAAATATAAGGAATCAGTAAGTCACCTGAACCCTCTCAGGAATAACGGATAAGTCTTCTTCTTCTTTTGAATCTGATACGTCAAGTCCTTCTTCTTTCAAAATTTCAATTGATTGTCTCCAGCTTATGTGGTTGATTTGATTTGAACTACTGATGCAAGCTTTTATTTGGTGTTTGTACTTCTCAACCCAAGCAGCCGAAGAAGCTACAACAGCTAAATCTCCAAAAATATCTACAATAAGACCTGACAATCTGTTGCAATCAGGCAAAAGATAGAAGATTTTTTTTTTACACTCCACTATTTTTCTTTTCAGAGGCGATTGGGTACAAATAAGGCTGGATATTATAACAACTAAATTTTAAAGTTCATACTAAACTGAAATCCCAACAAAAAAGAACTATACTTCTTCTAATGGACACTCTTCTGATTCCTTAAACCCACCCCCACCACCACATGAAAAGTAATGATATATAACATGAGTTTCAAGCAACAGAAAGCAACATGAAGCCCTGAGATTTGTAGTTCATAGCTCAGAAGTCCCTTCAAAAAATAGAACTTGCAAATAAAACTGGATCGCGATGGAACATGTAAAACATGTAAATACGATCCATCAACCACAGACGTGTTTGGCAAAGGAACCCTCGAAGAAAGTGCTTGTTAAATTATGAAATGAGCCCAATGATACCTGTCGCCTTCGCTGTTGACAAGACGATAAGCATTTGTATATGCGGATGGAAGCATTAAGCTCCTTCTCAATTGTATGGCAGCCTGAATTCGTGTCTCGAGTAGTCTCTCCACATTCAGTGCACAAGAGGGATCTCTGTCTCATTTTAATGAAAGGTATAAGAATAAAAAACGTAGCCTTCCGGGTGTAGGAATGATATATAATGAATGATTGAGGCCAAGGTAGAAAGAGCTACCCTGAGGCTTCTTCCTCTAATTGCATAAGTCGAACACAAAACATGGAAACTGAATTATAGAATCCCCAAGCAATAGGTTTCTGGGTTCCATCGGCCACAAGGACGACATCGCCTGTTTTGGGAGGCGGCCTGCCTATTATTCGGTCAACAGCACCACTGTACACCATTGGACTACCATCTCTGAAGAGTTGGGTTTTCCCCTTTTTTAGCACAACCATTGCCACTCCTATATATATTTTTCCCCCAAACAGCAAAACAAACATCAAAACCAGAAAACCGACTCGACCATATTACAATAATTACTAGAAATGTTGTAAATGCCACAACAGAAACTACATATAAAGCAAGAATAGCTACTAAACCAAGCAGCAGCCAGTGAAACTAAGGAAAATAGTATCAGGGTTGACAAAAGAAAGGTAAATGGTGACCAGATTGAATGCCAATGTTAATTCAAGATAACATCTTTGAATTTAGAAGTGCAGCTTCTGCCAAAGACTGAAAGTAAAAAACATATTTTCAATCAAACTCTGTTCATTTTCTTTTTTCTGCAGGGTTAAAATTGATAATGGATGATTCAAAAACAAACAAAAAAAAAACATTAAAAAAAAATAACAACTTTGAGAATGTATGTGTGGCGGCATTGATTGTTACTGCAAGTTATTGCACTCTTCAATATCAAACCACAGTAATAATAACAGTACAGAATAATTCTTTCTAAAAAAAAAAAACAGTACAGAATAAAACTGGAGCGAAGTAAAGACTAGTAATAATAACAAAAGAATCACCTTTAGGACATTTGGAAGCAATCTGCTGGAGGGTGGTCGGAGTGACTGTGGCGGAAGGTGGCGGGAGAGACAAAGACAGCGAGCGCTGCGCCATAATCAGGCGGCCAGCACCAGCTCCAGCAGCAGATAATCTTACCATTTAGGAATTTGAAAATCGAAACTATAATAAATTATTATTACATCAAATTAAATATAAATGGCAGTGTCTAGAACGGGCTCAGGAACAGCCCAAAAGGCTCTGAATGAACGAACAAACAAACAAAGCCCAAAATGCAAGAGGTTTATTACTGTCACTAAACTAGTTATAAAGAACAGTAATTATATAAATTCGTCAGAGATTTTATGGAGTTTTTAGTGCACAAATACAAAATTAAAACTGATGTAACCCATCATTTGATGGGTCCCATCAGGCACTGACCGCCTGAGAGTCTAAAGTTTGGGTCTTTAGGAGGCTGATCCCGATTCTGTTTTGGAATTATTGTGGTTCTAGATCATAATTTAACTATATTTTAATAATGGTGAGTGGATTTACTTTCCTCTCATGAGGGGGTGGGGGGGAGTTTTTCAGGGAGAATTTCCCATTAAGTATATCCGTTATATTCCTCCATAGCCAGAGCTACAAAGTACAAATTCATTAGGAAGAGGACAGTAGCATCATTGTCCTGCAGGTTTTGTTTTTTTGGGTTTGTGGTAGAATGGCATCAATGATCCAGCAGATTCTGAATTCTAACATTTCTTCTCCTGCTCTCCCTTTTCTTCCTCCCAACAAATTTACAAACAGCCCATCTTACTGTTATGATTTCTCCAGGAAGAGGAGATCATCCTGGGGATCATCGTGTTGTGGTTCTTCAGGTCTGTTTTGTTTCCTTTCTGTACCTTTTTTTTTTTTTTTTGAATATTCCTCTGCTATTGATGATGAAAGAATAAAAAAGATGCTAACTTTAACTCTTATGGGTTGCTTTAACTGTTGTTATTGGAGCTAGTTTTTGTACGTGATAAAATACTTCTTTTAAGGCTTAAAACGTTTTTTGTTTTTTTTTAACATGTAAGAAGATGTACTTGCATTGTTTTTACTTTTGATCATTACGGGCAATTTGTTTTGGTTTCATCGTGGAGCTCTTCAGTTTTATGAGCTTGTTTCTGTGCCCTTCTTTTTGCGTTATCAGCAGCAGCAGCATCGTTGGCAGAAAGCAGTAGGAAATCCAGCCATTCTTCAGTCCTGGTATGTGTGTACTCCCCTGTGTATTTCATTTTTTAACACATTCTATTTTCTCTTTTGTGCTACTTGAGAGGAGGGATGAGTCAATTAACCCAATTATGTAATGCCTTCCACCAAGATCAAAATAAAAAGATAAAGGTCTGTGTTACTTTTTTTGCAGTTGCAGTACTACAAGTATGAGGAGGAAGTTGCCAAGAAGGCAAGAATTAAGAAACTATTTGATCATGTTGATCTTTCGGTTTCTTCCTACGACACTGCTTGGGTGGCTATGGTCCCGGATCCCGGATCTTCTGGCCCGACTCCCCTTTTCCCTAAGTGCATTGATTGGTTACTGGAAAACCAGCTCGAAAATGGCTCGTGGAGTCTTCCTAACAACCATCCATGTTTACTAAAGGATGTTTTGTCCTCCACCCTTGCATCTGTTCTTGCCCTTAAGAAATGGGGAAAGGGTGATGAACATGTTCACCGGGGTAATTCCATTATTTCCTGATCCCTCTAGCCACCTCCAAATCACCAGAGACTGTTTTCTTTTTTTAGTTCACTAAATCGATGAGGTTTGATTGGTGTATCTTTGTTTCTTCCAGGTGTTTGTTTCATTCAGCAGAATTTAATTTCAGCTTCTGATGAGCGTCAGACTTCACCTATTGGATTTGACATCATATTCCCAGGCATGCTTGAGTATGCTAGAGATATTGATCTAAATCTTTGTCTAGATTCTGAGATACTGACTGCCTTACTTCAAAAAAGAGATTGTGAACTTAGGAGGTAGCTTTCTACCCTACATGTCACATTGTAGATAGTTTTTCTGTATCTTGTCTTTCAAAGTTATCCAGCTGAGCATTGCATGGAAATGAGATGCTTGTATGATCATGTAGATGTTTCTGAATCTTATGAAATGCCGCTTTTAATATTATTTCGTTTATTTCCTTGGTATTAGATTATATGAAAGCAATTCAAAGGAAAGCAAAGAGTACCTTGCTTACATATCAGAAGGGGTGGTAAAGATACAGGATTGGGATATGGTTATGAAGTTTCAGAGGAAGAACGGGTCACTATTTAATTCACCTTCTGCCACAGCTGCTGCTGTTTTGCACGTCCATAATCCGGAGTGCATAAAGTACCTTCGTACAACATTAGACAAGTTTGGAAATGCAGGTATCTCTTTCTGCTAATCCCTGCCCTTATGGTAATTATGCTTCTATCATTCACAATTTTTTCTTTGTTGCTTTTACAGTTCCGGCAGTTTACCCTCTGGACATCTATGGTAGACTCTGCTTGGTCGACAATCTTGAGAGACTGGGTATCTGTCAACAATTTAAGGAGGAAATTCGAAATGTATTGGATGATACATATAGGTATCCAAAATTTAAATGCTGGATATTTTGTCATTTGAACAGTGTGTTTTGTTGGATTCAATTTCATTAACAACCGTTCTACCATCTACCTGCAATGATGAAAAAGATGCTGGCAGCAGAGGGATGAAGAGATTTTTGCAGAGGCATCCACTTGTGCCCTGGCATTTCAGCTGTTGCGGACACATGGATATGATGTTTCTGCAGGTAAATAATCCAAAATGATCAACATTCTGTTCTTCTTGTTGGTACAACTCTATTATAAATAATGATGTATTATCTATCTGTAATGTAGATCTATTAACCGAATTTTTACCCCAAGATTGTTGTCTGAATTCTTTTGATGGATATTGGAGGGACATTCACGCTGTACTACAGTTGTATCGAGCTTCAGAGCTGATTCTACATGACAATGATTCAGTTCTAAAAAGACAAAATATTTGGTCCAGAAAGTTCCTTAAAGACCAAATTTCTAATGTTTATGACATCAAGGGATTTGGTGGTCAAGTTTACAGTGAGGTACTGGTATTTATATCTAGGCTGCCATTGCTTCTATCATCTGGAAACATATCGGCATTCAAACATTCTTCGTCTGACAGGACTTTCAACTAAACATTAATTCCATTGCAGGTGGAGAACATTCTTAAGCTTCCATCTTATGCAAGCTTACAACGAGTTACAAGCAGGAAAAGCATAGAACAGTACGACTTGGATAACACAAGAGTCCTTAAAACTTCTTACCGGTACAATTCTGCTACTCCTGTCACAAATATGCATATATTTCTGTCAGCTATGCTTACTTTTCATTCTTGAGAACCATTTCATCATTTATGCTGATCAACTTCTTGAATTTTCCACCAGCTCATCAAATTTTAGCAATAAAGATCTCCTGAGCCTGGCTGTCCAAGATTTTAATCACTGCCAGTATATACATCGTGATGAATTGAAACAACTGGAAAGGTATTATCTTTGTGTAGTTGGGGTATGTGGCCGAAGCTTTTCTTCAAGTCCAATTATGCTTGTTAGAGTGTTGCTTTAACTTATCCTGTTGTTTTTACAGGTGGGTTGTGGAGAACAGATTGGACGAGCTAAAATTTGCTAGACAGAAGTCGGCATACTGTTACTTTTCTGCCTCTGCAACCATGTTCTGGCCTGAATTATCTGATGCTCGAATGGCGTGGGCCAAAAACAGCATACTCACTACCGTGGTTGATGACTTTTTCGACGTTGGGGGGTCTATGGAGGAATTAAAGAATTTAATTGAGCTGGTTGAAAAGTTTGTTTGCCTTCTTCATCCTTATATCTCAATTATGAAAACCCCTGGCTTGTATCCTTGCCAAATGTGCATATTCTCAACTAATCTTGTTCTACTGTAGGTGGGATGTGAAAGTTAGTGAAAATTGCTGCTCAGAGTCTGTCCAAATCATTTATTCAGCTCTTCATAGTACGATTGGTGAGATTGGAAACAAAGCATTCAAATGGCAAGCACGTGATGTTACCAGCCACATAATTGAAATCGTGAGACACTTTTTCTTTTCATCTTCCATCTTACTGCCTTTTTTTTTTTTTGGAAATGCTTGCTGCCTTTATGGCTTTACCTTCGTCTCCTGAATCTTTGACGGTGATGGATGAACCAATTGCTGTGTTGCAGTGGTTAGATTTACTTAATTCTATGTTGAGAGAGTCTGAATGGGCTAGGAAAGGATCAAGGCCAACAATAAATGAATATATGGAGAACGGCTATGTCTCGTTTGCGTTAGGGCCTATTATCCTCCCGGCACTATATTTCGTTGGTCCTAAGCTGTCAGAGGAAATCGCTAAGGGTCCTGAAATGCACGTACTTTATAAACTGGTGAGCACCTGTGGGCGCCTTCTTAATGATATCCGTGGCTTTGAGGTAAGGTCGATTGAACATGGCGTCATTTATTAAGAATGAGTGACGGTTTTATGACTTGTATTCTGATCGTTAACAGAGGGAAGCAAAGGATGGTAAACTAAACGCGGCTACTCTGCACCTGCTTCAAGGAGTTACTGAAGCTGACTCCATTGTGGAGATGAAGCGTACAATTGAAAATCAGAGGAGAGAACTGTTACGATTGGTTTTGCAGAAAGAGGGAAGCGTGGTTCCGAGAGCTTGCAAGGATTTGTTTTGGAATATGAGCAAAGTCCTACACCAATTTTACATTAAAGATGATGGATTTACATCACAGGAACTGATTGAGCTTGTGAAATCAATTATTCATGAACCATTGCCCTCGGTATAATATGGGCAGTCTAACCCACTCCTTGTGAAGTAGTGAATCGTGCGAACTCGCAATGTTGGTCCCCGTATATCCACCGTCATGGATATATCTGATTTGTAGCATACTCTTTGTAAATCAACTCATCCCGGGATAAAGGATAAAGGCTTTATAAAACGGACATCATTGTAGAAGGAATCCAGTTCTTAGTTCGCTAGCTATTAAAATGTTGTGGAGATTGGCTTCATACAACTCAGCAGATGTAGAATATATCGAATAAAACTGCATTAAGTAACCACTAAAAACCTTTTTGGCTGTCAAGAGAACAGTGATTAAGGGTTAAGTAAAACAGGATTCTTAATCAATATACTGATTGCTACATAGTGCAAACCTTCCAAATCCCTTACTACCACAACCAAAAATTAAGAAACTAAGGACCAAACTGGCTGCAAACAATTTTCAAGGTTTTTTTTTGGGGGGCAACAGATGTTTCCTTGATTGATCTGAAGCAAAACTGCACAGGCCAATAGTAGCTGGTTCAATATGGTTTCTTTTCGTAGGACACCAGGCCGTGAACTCCACCTTCAACTTGTGCTGCTCCAGTTCGAACCTGGAAACAGATCAAACAAAACATCAGCCCTTATACAACCAAGAGAAAAAATACTTGTAACCAATGCAGCAACAAAAGGAATAAAAAAGTGAACCAGAATGCAACCTCAAGCCTTAGTACGCCGGATCTCAATAATTCATGCGCCGAATGTAGGGATGAAGCGCCGAGGTCCTGGAAACCCTGCTTCAATGCTTGCATGGTGTAGGGTACGAACTTCAGAACTGAACCTTTGTCAGCAACTGCTCCTACCACACCCTGTGCTATCTTCAGTTTAGAAGTATCCCCCAAGTATCTTGCATCACTGCCTTTTGTCATTGCTTCCAGGGATCCCATCCCCCTATATTTCTTGACGCGAACCCCATTCTGTCATTTCCAGTCCAAAAGAAATTAAAATGTTAAGAGCTCTAGTTTTTACACAATAAATCACAACAAGATAACTCTATAACTTGTGCAGTGCAAGAACAACCATGACTGTTATGTCGAACATGCATTCACAGTCGTAGTAGGTTGATTGCATAAACTGAAAGCTTACCTGATATTGATAAGTTCCAGGAGCTTCCATGCTTCCGGCTAGGAAGCTGCCCATCATCACAGTTGAAGCACCGAGAGTCAAAGCCTTAACAATGTGTCCGGAGTTTGAAATCCCACCATCGGCAACGACAGGGATCTGAGATCGCTCAGCAATGGATGATACCTTATAAACAGCTGTAGCCTGGAAGAAATTCACAAATTTTACAGTTTAAAGCAGTAAAGATAGCGTGCAACACCAACTTCCCAGAAATGGAAAAAGAGTAAACTTTGGGGGAAATGAACAAAAGAGGCAGCAAGAAAGAATCTTTGCTCAATGTAAGAAAGTGAAAATGTAGAACAGCAACCAAAACCATGGACATTACAACTCCGCTAGGGGATAAACACCATTGATCTGCCTACAAAAATTCAATCAAAACCAATGCTTGAAAGTGAAAATGTAGAACAGCAACCAAAACCATGGATCCGCTAGGGGATAAATTTTAAACGCCATTGATCTGCCTACAAAAATTTCAATCAAAACCAATGCTTTCCAATCCACGAAGCTAAAAATGCAAACACTAAAGCTTTCTTTTAAAATGCAAACACTAGAAGACTGTTACCACAAAGAAAAAAGTCAGAACAACTAAATCAAAATCAAAGCTTTTCATTATAATGACAAGGAGAACTAGGTTGATACAGTAATTTAATAATTTCACCTGTCCACGGCCGACGGCACACACCTCCTGGGTGGTGCAAATGGAACCAGAGCCCATCCCAACCCTGAGCCCATCAACACCAGCCTGAATCAAGTTCCGAGCTTGGGCCATTGTCACCACATTCCCACCAATAATATCCACACCCGGATAAGTCCTCTTGGCATGTTTAATCATATCCAGCTGGTAAATAGAATTCCCCTGAGAACTATCCACAACCACCACGTTCACGCCGCCTTTCACCAGCTCCGCCAGCCTCTCCTTGTCGGATTCCCTCGTCCCGATGCTGGCCCCGACCAAGAACTTCCCGTCCGGGCCGACAGATGGGACCACTCCCTGCATTTTCGGAAATTCATTGAGTATACTATTAGCCCGGGAAGCGGATACTACGTTCACAATCTCCTCGCCGTCCTCCGCCACTAAGGGGGCGAATTCGAGGTTTTCAGCGGCCAGAAAGGAGGCAATATCCTCCAAACTAGACCCGTTAGGAAGCGTCTTAATGGGCCCGCCGGGGATTCTCATCATGTAATCAGAAACCCGGCGGGATTCTCTGTCGTCGGGAGTTAGGCTTTCCCAAGTTGAGAGGGAGACCAACCCGAATAGCTTGGATTGGGGCGACCCGGATTCGGTAACGAAAATGCAGGGGGAAGAGCCGAACTGGTCGGCGGAGGTGACGGAGTCGAAGGGGGAGAGGAAAACGAGGTCGGAGGTGAAAGGGAAGCGGTGGGATTTGGCGGCGCGGAGGAGGGAAGCCTGCTGAGAAGGGGTGTTGTTGGAGTGAATGATGCCTATGCCACCAAGGGAGGCCATGGCGGCGGCCATGGAGGACTCGGTGACGGTGTCCATGGGGGAAGAGACGCAGGGGATGGAGAGGGAGATGTTCTTGGTGAGTTTGGTGGTCAGAGAGACGGCGTCGGTCGGGAAGTCGATGTAGTGAGGGAGGAATATGACGTCATCGTATGTGTAGGAGTATCCCTGGGAGAATAATTTGGCCGCTGAGAACCCATCTTCCTCGTACAGAGATACTACATCGCCGCCGTTCATGGTGCCGCCGCCGAGAAAAACAGAGAGAGAGAGAGAGAGAGAGAGGTTTATGAGTCGGGATTTGGGGGGTTTAAGAGGGAAAGTAATAGCGGGTGAAGGCGGGTGTATTTATAGCGGACTAATTGAAGAAGCAGTTAACCTTATTTCAGAATTGTTCTTTCATCCAAAATGAAAGAAAATGAGAAGTTTTAATTCATCGAATGTCTAAACTTGATTAACCCTACCAACGTGTCCTGATTTACTTTTAGTTACAACAGTAAAAGTCTAATGCGCTGCCGTAAATACTCGGGAGTTGCACCATTTTTTCTATTTTTTTAATTTGTATGCAACATATAAATGAATTTGACTTGAGGTGTGTTTGATAATGTCACTTAATGTTTAAAAAATATTTTATTATTAAGCATCTTTTAATTTTAAATGATAAAAAATGAAACTCTTAATAGAGTAATGAAATTGTGTTGAAAAACTTCAGTACAAAATATAAAAAATAAAAGTTTCTTTATTACTCATTCTGCAATTGTTTAATAAATTCAGTATTTCTAATTCAATATTAAACATTAATAATTAAACGCTAATTTTTATCAAACGAGTCCTTGAACTAATGATTTTAGTCATTTGTGCTCAAAAAATTCCTCCAACTCCAACTGCCTCGTTTCGTTACATTTTTTTAAGATACATCCCATTTGCATGAGAAAATAATAGTATTACAATTTTTTATTTAAAAATTTTTTTTTCCTTTTAACAAAAAAAGTACATTTTTTTGAAAAATACTAAAAGATAAAAATAATCTACTTCCAAACGATGACGGTGTCTTATCAAAGGGAAAGCACATTTTCGATGTCTTGTTGGATTGATGTAGTTTGTTTTGTATACATTACTTTTTTCCCCCAAATAAGGGGTGGTCCTTGTTGGAAATTCGGTATAGACACTAGCGATTACAGAAATATAAAAAGGAAAATTTTTCTTTTTTCCCAAAAAGGAGACAATAGCGATTACAAAAAGTCAGAAATATAGAAAGGTAATGTTTGGTTGAGAAATTATTCAGTGCAGCGGCTGTACCACGCAGGATTGTGCAGTCAGACACGATAATAGAATAAAATAGTAATATTGGGGAGAGAAAGATAATTTCTAGGGGACTTATACCACCAAAATAAGGAATGCTAGTATTTGCTGCACTAAAAATCAGGATACAACAGTTGTACCCAATAAATTTTCTGTTTGGTATACTCTTTACGGTTAACGGGTTAAGGATGGGTTTGAATTTTTTATTTTATTTTATTTTTTAAAAAAAAAGAAAAGAAAAAAAGGTGATCAAAAGCTAAGGTGGATGACACCTCCAAAAGTAAGTGGACAAATTAGAAGTTTCTTCCATAACGAACCATTTTTATTAATTTTTGTTAATTGATAAATTATAATAAAAGCTAATTATAAAGCAAAAGGCAAAAAAGAAGAAGGAAGAATGAAATGTTGCATTTTGGAGTAGTATTTGATAATGTAGCCAAAAAAGAAAAGAAAAAAAGTAAAGAATGTCATCGTGTTGTTATAAACTTTAAATAAAATAATCATCAAGATGAATGATTAACCTAATTACTTATGTTATGATTGTAGTATTAATTGCTTTTTTAATGATATGATGCACATGAAATTCATGGATCAATATACACACAAAAAAAAAAAAAAGCATATATGCTTCCTTTATTACTCATCTGTGATTATCCTCTTTATCACTTGGCTTTAGCTTTTTTACTTCCTTTGCCGTGCGTCTTTTGTATCTGTACTCCACGCCTTCATTGTGATCCAAAACACAATTTCGTAAATTAATCTGTCAATCAGTTACAAACATGATAACCATTCACAACTAAAATTAATTTGATGACTTGTTGACTGATAGCATTATTAGCACCCTTGTTTAACTATTCTTAAAAAAAAAACACATAATTAACCCAAAAAAAACACACACACACACACATACACATTGTGTGATTTTATTTATTTATTTATTTTTATTTATCAACAAAAAAGATTCACAATAACCAGTACGGCAATTTCTCCCATTCACAAGTGCCTCTGGAGTCCGGCCCCTTTTTGGACATTTTCAGTACAGTATGAATTATGGGCCAATTGTCCAATGGGCTAACTCTCTGTTTAATTGAATGGACAAGGTACAAATCAAAATAGGGCGGCTCGCCTCACATCCAAAATATCTCGTTTATTCACAGCGGGGGCCGAATCGGATCCATTTGATTTTGAAACAAGAAAAGAGGCGCCATAAGATTTCAACGGCTATCGCCTCCTCCTCACTCTGATTCGTCCTCTCATACTCCCTAGCCCTCGAAATTCGTCCATCAAATCCACTCGTTTTCTCCATCAATTGCTCTCAGAAGAAATCTTTATCAGTCCGATTGATGGTTAGTTCTTGAATCGAAAACATTCCCGTTATTGCGAAAGTTGAATTGCAAACCCTACTACCTGTTTGTGCTTATTGCTGAATGAGATTTTATGTTCTCGTTCTCTTTACCTTGACGAAGATCCTTTCTTTCATGAACAGGAAATTGAACGCCTTTTGTACTGATTGAAGAATTTTGAAGGAGAAGAAAAGGATTGCTTTTGTGTAGTGTACTAATATCAAGAAAGAGATGGTGGGCGTGGCTGTAAAGGTAAACGTAATTTCTTCATTTTAATTCGCTTGGGTCAGTTCCCTTTTCGTTTTTCTTATGTGTTTCAATGCCGGTGCACTTACTTGGTTTTTGTTGGAAACTTTTCCTCTTAATTTTCAGGGAAAATTGAACTACCCCCTTTCAAATCTAAAGAACCCTAAACCTAAAGGAGGCAGGACTGGTAATTTCTTTTAGTTTTCAGATCTTCATTTTGTTGTTCTTCAACTCGGTATTATGCATTCATGTCTGCTTTTTGTTCCTTTTCTTTTTGCGAAAAAAAAAAAAAAAACTGAAAAGAGTTTTTCTCTCTTTTGTGTGTGTGCCTGCAGTTGCAATTCCATCTTTGAAGATTTTTGCTGAGCCTAACCGGAATAGTAATGCTCCTCGGTCTTCTCTTGCTAATCCTGAGCCTGAAGAGGAATCATCCAAGTAAGTTTCTTGAAATTTTGCATGTACCATTTGTTCTTTTATGTATCCTACCCTTTCTTTATTTCTCTTTCATGTCATGCATCTTTGTTTTACCTAGCCTGTTCATAAGTTTATCAATAATTACCCATACTTTGATGAGGACGGTTATAAAAAATGATTGCGTAATTCTTTATCCAGATGAATATTTTGTGTGTTTGTTTTGTGCATCTCCTTCTTTGGTTTAATTCAGTTCTCAACCTTTGCACATTCTTCTGTTGTAGTCCAAGGAAATCATCTCTTATTGAAGGGAAGTACAAGGGCAATACTGCAAGTTCTTCAAAGGTTGGAACGCTTATTTCTGATCTACACATTTGACCTAGATTTTGTGCAATTTATATACGGGAAGAATGGAAAATGTTTTGACTTTTTTTCACATCCTGCATTTCATCTTGAAGGTTGGTCTCCGAAACTTAGAGAAGAAAAAGGGCAAGCTTGAAAAATCAGGTAAATCACAAATCAATTGGTTCAGTTTTGATCTTTTACCTCCTGGATGCTTAGTAGTAATGTCAATTTGCACACCCCCCCCCAAAGGGACGCTAAATGTCAGAAGAAAAGTTTTGGCTGATATCAGTAATGTGAAGGCAAGCTCTTCAACGGCCAAGGCAAAGGATACGTCAAAATCATTGTAAGTAGAGTTGCAAACATTTGAATAAGAAGGGAAAAGTGCTTGAATGTCAGGCATCTCCTATGTATGTTTTTCAAAATCATTGGATGGCGAATAGTCATTGATGAGAAGGATTTAGTATTGACACCCCACAAAGAAAAAGGACAACCTTTTTAGTGATGTCTATTAAGTAAATAGTTCCTTTATTGTATAAGAGGCCAGTCTCCTTATTTGTTGATGTCATAGCCTTTCATTCCACAATGTACGGTAAACTTCCTCATATTTTATCTCTTCTTGCCAGGTATGATGCGAGGAATTCATTGGTTGGCGCTCGGGCTTCGGGTATTTCTTCAAGGAAACCTTTGAGTGTACGTAAATTAGATTCATTCCTGTTAAGGAACTTGTTTCCTAATTTGAATGAAACATCTCCATCAAGTGGACAGCTTTATCAATTTATCTGTTGTCTTACTGATTTTCTTGAATGCCTTATCACATCTTTATGTTTATAGCTTTAGCAAAAACCAATTATGAGGCAGGACTAGATGCCTAGAGGTTCATAGCGCGGCTAAATGACAATGGTTTCTTTCTGATGAGAAGAATTATTAATGTGACTAATGAAAAAATAAAAGGGTTTCTGGTTTACATATTAGTTGATCATAGGGAAATTGACAAATATTCACCATTTTTTCTTGTTATAATCAAAACCAAATATAAGTTTCATGTTATCATTTTCACATCGACTGATTCAATCTTCAGATACTCAATTTTGTTTTGCCATGAAACAGAGTACGGTGAGGACAGCTTTGACTCAAGTAACAATCAATCATCACACTGCGAAAAAGGGTAAAGAAATTTAACTTTATTCAGGCAACACAGTTTTGTTCCCATCACCTCAATTTTTTTATGTTGGAGTGCAGTTGGTTGTAAAGACACAAAGACAAACTCTGAGGACAGTAGGACTAAAACTCAAAGTGGGCAACTTCTTGATTCTACCAGTACAAGGTAAAATGTTTCTCCTTCTCTCTATATTCACTATTTGTTATGCTTTTCAAGGAGGAGTCTAATAATTTTTGTTTTCATTTATGTCAGGGTTTATGGGCGGCATCAACCCACTCTGATAAGGTTTCTGCAGTTATTGCGTAATTGTTTTTAATTAATTGGTAATGAGTATTATTGCAATTGGTTTAACCTTTTGGTTACTAATGTATGCTCCTAGGAAATCGTTTCCAGCAATTAAACAAGTTAAAAAGGTACCAAAATTTCATATCAAGAAAGTTTTCATAAATTTGGTCTTCAATCTGATTTTGATGCCCTTTTGTGATTGGAAAAACAATGAATTCATGGTAGGAATATACTGAAAGATCACACGGGTGTAAAGAAGGTTTACCAGGTGAGATGCTACATTTGGAAACTTCTTCTTTCTGCAAAGCTAATAACTAAAAGAAATCACATTACTAATCAGTTGTTACTACTTGTTGCATTTCAGTGAGCTCCAAAGTTGGCAGAACTGTGACTTCCAGAGTGACCAGTAGTTATGGGAGTCATTTCGGAAAAACACGAGTTAGTGATGGATTTATAGTGAGGTACGTGAAAGATGAAAGATAATTCGTGGAGTAGAGTTTACTGTTAAATTTATTTGAAATTCCATTTTTTTTCTCTGTTTTTGGCTTGAACTTCATTTGACCTTCGCGTGGAACTTTGTGTGTTTCTTTACCACACATTGTTGCACTTGGGGACTGCTTTTAGTGATATCATGAATCATAAATAGCCCATGTTTCATTTTTTTAACAAAGAAATATCTGAAAGATGTAATCAAAGCTTTGTTAATCATGTTTAATAGTTTGTGGATATTCTTGAAGAAAGTTAATACTGCTAAATATTTTATTTGGTGTACTGCCTGCAGGGGTTCAAAAGGTCGAACTACTTTGGATACTGGAGCATCAAGAAGATCCGTCAAAGTTAGTAAAGCATATGAAATTTATTCATTTATCTGTAGTCTGAATGGCTTTGTTGTTGTGCTCGAGTAGAATTGAATTTCAGTCGGACAAAACTTCACCTGCAAAGATAGAAATTTCTTTCCCTTCTTCCCCTTTCTATCCATGCTGATGATATGGATTCTAATGCACTTTACTTATCTCCAAAAAGCATGAATGCTTATAGATTTAGAGTTTATATTATTGAGTATTCATTAATTAGACAATTGCTTTATTGCTCAGCTAGTGCAAACAATGAGGAGAACAAACTCTAAAACTGAGGGGACGTCAAACTCAAGACCCATTGCTGGCTTCAGTAAACTGCCTGCTCGTTATGATATTTCCTTCAAGAAAAATGAGGAAAAGGGCAAGCTTTCTTCAACCAAAAACATCAACCAAGAGGAGGTTTCTTCTTTTGATAAGAGTCTCTTACCCACAGCAGAAAATGTACCAAAAAGAAAATCGGGTCGTCGAAAATCTTTTATTACTTCGTTATTGACATCAGAATCGAAGGTCAACAATTGTCTATCCTCGTGTTTCTTGCATTGGAATTTTTTTAGTTGTTATGAAAAGAACATTTCTTGGCATGCAGGACGATTTTCCAAATATATATGACTCTCATAATCATCTCGAAGTTTCTGAATACATTGATGACATCTATCAGTATTACTGGGTTATGGAGGTAAGATCTATTCACATCTCTGTCATGTTTTTTTGGACTAGGTGCTTTAAATAAGTTCACAAATGTCCAGAATCGTGGAGTCCATTTGTGGACTAAGTAATTAATCTCGAGATCCTGAATTTGTTTTATCATGACAGTCACAAAATCAGCCTTTGAAACAATACTTGGCTGTGCAAACTGAAATTACACCCCAAATGCGTGGAATATTGATCAACTGGCTTATAGAGGTTTGTTCACTTTTCTCTTGCTTGTTGTTGATCCTTTTGAAAAATCTCGTCTTTGCTCAGTTGCTGTATGGACTCTTTTCAATTATGTACTATTGCTCCATTCGTTTTCTTTTCATTGTTTTGAATAGTTCCCAATTTTGTTTCAGGTTCATCTAAAGTTCGATTTAATGCAAGAAACACTTTTTCTAATGGTTACACTGTTAGACCAGTTCTTATCCCTCGTTAGCATCAAGAAAAACAAAATGCAATTAGTTGGCCTTACTGCACTTTTGCTGGCATCGAAGTATGAGGACTTTTGGCATCCAAGGGTAATGTCTGATAAACCTGAAATTTTAGTTCTAGTATGCACATCATTCTTTTAAATTCTCTTCATTTGTGGGCTGCAGATTGTTGATTTGATTGGTGTTTCAGCTGATTCATATACCAGAGAAGAAATGCTCAGAATGGTCAGTTATGAGTGTGGATTTTACATTATACCTTTGTTCACATTACTCAATTCATTGATGTCTTTGTTTTGTAGTCTCAGAACTGTTAGCATTATGTTTTTCTTACAACATGTTTTATCTCATTTGTTCAGGAAAATGCTTTTCTTACGACACTTAAGTTTCGCCTGAATGCACCAACTCCATATGTCTTTATGCTTAGATTCATCAAGGCTGCACAATCAGACAAGAAGGTACCTTTTAACCATTTCCGGTTTAGAAAGTTCACGTGGATTTTCTCTCGGAACTTAAATCCAGTAACATCTAAATCTGTTGCCTTTTCTTTCTCCAGTTTGAACATCTTGCATTTTACCTCATTGAGCTGTGCTTAGTCGAGTACGAAGCTCTGAAATACAAGCCCTCACTATTGTGTGCATCGGCCATCTACCTGGCTAGATGTACCTTGCAAATGAATCCAAAGTGGACCCTACTGCTTCAGAAACACACCCGCTATGAGGAAGATCAAATCAGGTACAGTATGTCATTGCTTCGTGAATGTTTCTCTAGTCCAGTAAAAGGTGAAAGTTCTCTATCAAATATGATCCAGTAACGATCTAATAGGTTCTGATTGGTTCATCACATCGCAGGCAATGTGCAGAGATGATACTCAAATTCCACAAAGCTGCTAAAACAGCATTGCTGAGAGTAACCCATGAGAAATACATGAAACCTGAATTCAGTAGGGCAGCAGACATAAGTCCGTTGGAAGTGCTTCCTCAGTGATGCAGCAGTCCAGTGTGCAAACATGAAGGTTTCATTACACATGTTTAATGTAGTATTACTAACTAGACTAGAGTAATGTTACTAGTATTGAGGAGGCATTGCAAGCTAGTTTTAAGTCACTTGTGTGCTTGCTTTGTACATATTACTCGCTAAAAACAATTCTTAGTAACATTACAGTCAAGGTCATAATCTATGACTGGGCTTGGGTTATCACTCAACTTGTCAAGATTCCATTATGATGATATTCAAGTTTTAGTATCAGATTAACAGTTTTGATGTAATAGGAGTTTGATATTCCACTCTGCGAAGCTACAATGTTTCATAATCTAAATTGATAGTGCAAACAAATGTCAGAAAAAAAAAAATATAGAGATATCAATAGGCTTTATTAAGATTGCCGTTGAAGGAGCTGTACAGATACATCGGATATCCCTGCAGTAAACCTACAGATCAAGTATAGATATGTGTGTGTATATAATATATAACGTGTATTATGTGTTCTTTAGCTAGTGCCCCTGTCTTGCTTAAAACCTTTCAGCTAACACTATAAATCTAGAAATTCTGTATTGGCTACACCTAGAAAGATACAATGCAACGAGTAGAAACATTCTTTCATTATGAACAGGTAGCTAATAAGCACTCTTGAGGGATCGACAAAGTTTGTCCGTCCAATGTAGCCCTGACAGCCTGATAAAACTCAATCCACGACGAAGATGATGATTCCACGGATCTTTCCCACAGGAAAGTAGGAGTAGGACTGGTAGGAGGACAGGGTGCCGAAACCAGGTCCAATACAGAAGCTGCTGCTGGCTTCAACAATGGTTGTGGAAAATTGAAGGCCAAGTTATCAACTTTGTGCTCATAAATCTTTCCCTTTCTATCCAATTTATACCGGGAAGTTCCCTGAAAATCGCCCTGAGCTTCCCAAGGAACCCGGGGAACGCCCCTGAGATTCCACCTAATCAAAATCAGGTTCTCTGAAGGCTGCCAAATCCTAAGCACTTGAAGTGAGATATCCTTAAACAAGATTCTGCCGTGAAATCTTAAAGCCCAGAAAATCAATTTGTACTGTTCTATTCCACTGAAAGTGTTCAATGGGTCCACAAATGTAATGTCGTCCCTGCCCAACAATATCAATGAAAAAAAAGCAACTCAATTTACAATTATGAAAGCAATGAATGAATCAATAGATACTAAACTGATTAAAAACTCTACAAAATCAGACTGAAAGCAGATATATTCCTCTTTTTTTTCTTTTTTTTTTTTCCCTTTTACCTTGTACAAAAACAAAATTTGTTCAGTAATATAGCAAGGACTAATGAATGCAGCCAATTCAGCCCAGAATAGAGATTATTTTTTTAATGTTCACACCATTTTAGATTGTAAGGTAGAAACCCTGCAGCTAACTAATCAATCCTTAAACAAAAACAAGTCTACAACAATCTGGTAAATACTGAAACTCTGAAGTAAGGAAGCAGAACTCTACAAAACCAGCTAAAAAAAGCTGATCATTTAAAGTTTCCTTCCTTGCCTTTTTCGGACAAGAGCAAATGATGCTAAAAACCAACCTATAAATGTCATAATTAAGGTCCTTGGAGAAGAGAAGAGGGAGGTCTTGGCGAAGTGTCCGGACGGCCAATCCAACGTTGACAAAGAAGTCATCCCGGTGATCATGTTGCCTATTGTCCTGTGAAGGAAAAGCAACTGTAGTTGTAGCTGCAGAAGTTGCAGGGCAGGGGTAAAGGGTCAAGGAAGATACAGAGGAAGGGGATGAAGAATTGGAATTGCTGCTGGGCTGCTTATTGTTAGGGAGGAAAAGGGGTTGTGGAATGATGACGTTTTGAAGTATTGTCTGATGTGTTAGATTTGGTAATATGTAAGCCATTTGATGATTGTATAAAGCCAATCTTCAGCAGCTTGGTGTGTGTGTGTGTGTGTGTGTGTGTGTGTTTATGGTAAGACTATGGAATGGTAATGGTGGATGGTGTGTTCTTCTCTGGCAATAACATAATTTGTGAACGACAGACCACACAGAAAAGAATGATCTTTTTGGTTGGGAAGAGGTTTGTGATGTGGAAGAAGAGTAGCAAATGGAAACTGAAAAGGGCCCCTAAAGGAAGGGGGAGCAATTACTTGGTTCTAAATTTGAGTGATTTAAATTTGGCCATGACATACACAATTACACACAGTCAAGTACCAACAAATTTTTCCATCAATAATCAACATTGTCCACCATTGACCGCTTGTAACTTGCCAATTTCCTTCTTCATTTGTTCTTTATTATACTCACTATGTTCCAAAATTATTATCAGATCTATATTTTCAATTTTTGAAGAAACTAATTTAAAACGTAAAACCCAAATTAGCCAAGAATGGATATATATTTCCATCATAAGCCATTTTCCTTCTTCATTTTTCTTATTTACATTTATTTCATTTTTATTGATTACATATATTTCCATCCCTTTGTCTCAGAGAGAAAGTATTTGGTTGAGTTTTGCAGACAAGTGTATGAATATGACACTTTACTACTTCAGACATTTGTTTATATTCCCTGGGAGAAGTGATCCCATTGGGGCAGTCTAGAATGTCCAGTCCAATTGATTTTATTTTTGCTAAATGTATTGAACCATTGAAAAGATTGTTCCTTTCAACATTAGAAGATGCTAAAACAGAGCTGCTCCCAAATAGGGCATATTCTCCCAGAAAGATTTTTTGTTCTCCAAAAGACTCCTTTTCTTTGAACAAAAAAGGCTGAGCTGAATGGAATGTGAGGGCCGTTGAATGCGCAAACCCAATGGAAGAATGGGCAAGAGCCAGAATATTAGGCCACCTTCATTATCGGCAACGTACAGCACTGAAAACACTATTGAATGGCAAGTGCATCAGAGACTCTAATTTGTTGCCTCTACTTTATCAAATTATCCAACAAATGATGGCTTTTTCTTAAAGCACAATTGGAATTATATCGTGAAAAAAAATCAATATATGCAGAGTGAAAAAGGGTAGGCTCAGTAGTAGTTGTGACATCAACAAGCTCGAAGCTTTCATAGTTTGATGGTATATGTAGTTTATTCATCACTGCCAGAACCCCGAAACCAGAAACAAACATAAATCATAGGATCTCGAAACCACAATTATCCTCGAGTTCATATAATCAACAAATCCTTCTGTTTTTTTTTTTTTTCTTAGACAGAAACTAATTGAAGCTAAAAGAAGAAAAAAAAATCAATGGAGGAGAGACCTCAGAAGCTAGAGTTGTTTATAATCAGTGAAGATCAATCTGAAAGAATATCAGAAGATCTATCAATCAGATGGTACGGACAAATCTCTCATACATCCCTGGTCTTCCTCTCACAACACAAAATCAATCATAATACAAGAACAAGCAAATATTTTTTTCAAAAAAAAAGAACAATAGAAGGAGGAGGAAGAGGAGATTCTGACGGCTACCTCACCGGTGAAAGGTGGAGAAGCAGAACCAATTCTCTTCACAAGTTTTCGCCAGTTTTTATACCCCAAACACATAGCGCATACTGAGATACTCGTAAAACCCTACCTTTCTCTTCCCATGTATCTATTGGGCTTGTAATACTGCGTCGAAGCTACTGGGCTGATCTGGACTGGGCTTATATTGCAGCAATTACAAAATCCAAACATTAATTAATAGATTAAGAAAAAAAAGATTAAATGACTATAATAATAGAGGATTACATAAACCTTTGGATTTGTTAAAAATAAAATAAACTTCCAAAATGTGACCTGTTGGTGAAATGGTGTGTGTGAATGGGGGGACTAGTTCAAGGCATTTGTGAGTTGATGAGTAGGAATTGAGATGTGGGGTGAAATTGTGGCGATGTTATCAAGATCTCTTACCTGCGGAACGTTTTAATTTAATTTATGTCAGGCTATAACGTTCTTTGTAGTAACCAAAAAAAAATGATTCTTTAAGGTGATAAAAATATAAATGAAAAAATAAAAGAAATAACAAATTTTTACAATCACAATTGCGTTTTGCATGCAAGTTAAAACTATAGTCTGCGATTTTTAGTCAATGATTTTCGTAAACTCGGGATTTGGTCATAGCCATTTGACTTTGTTCCGAATCTGAGAGTTTTGCTGTTGATTCAACCGATCGAAGTACCGAACAAGTACACAACAAAGCTAAAAGCGTAAAGCGACATCTTACTGATTCAGTTTGTCTTAGCACGCAGGTTCATTTATTGCAGATGCATTGTTTTCTCATGAAATGTACAACAGGATTAGCAGTATCATCAGGACAAAATGACAATCAAACATACAATAGTACTGGAACCATTTTAGACCTTGTTGATGCTCTTCTTGTGCTCGGGCGCATGTGTGAACTCGAAATCTATGTGCACGAAAGCCCTCTCGACCTCAGGCAGTTGCTCGAGCTTTTCTTGCAAAGTTTCGCCAATGTTATGTGCTTGGTTCAGTGGCATATCTTCCGCCAACACGATGTCCACCTCCACAAAGTAATGGGATCCGAACGTGTACGCCCTTACCGTGTCAATGTGCTGTATCTCTTGATGGTGATTCCATATGAGGTAGGTCAGTTTCGCCAGGAAGTCTGGAGGAGCTGTTCTTCCAATAAGTGACCACACGTTCTCAATCACTGTCCTAGCCCAAGTGTTCATCGTGTACAATGCAATCTGCAGGCATTTGTTCAATTAAGTGTAATTTCGTACTCAATAGGGAATAATGATAGAACAGGCATTGGCTTTAATTGAATTGAAAAACTCACCAAGATAGCCCCTGTGGGATCAATCCACCAGTAAAATCGAACTGCTAAAACAGCAGTTATCAAACCAACCGAGTTGGTGATCACATCAAAAAAGTGGTCTTGGGCATAGGCTCTCACTATTTCGTTCTTGAACCTTCTGCAGTACACCATGAGCAGAAATTTCACTACCGTCACACTCACCATTATACCAATCATCCACTTCTCCTTCTGATGATCCAATTCAGGATGAGACTGCAGCAGAGAAAATATAAATAAGAGGGAGTACAAAGATGCTATTTTCCGCCCATTGGCAAACAACATAAATCAAGTAGGAATATTTTAAAGATTTAACACATGGTCTTCTTTACATGTCCCTCTTTCTCAGAGATTTCAGTCGTAAATCATAATGCCACCAAAACTAGCCAGGCAGGAAATCAATTACCGTTGAAATCAGCTCCCTGACAGATTCAAGCAGTATTTGTAATCCTAAAGTTGCCATGACAGATGCGAAAACAATAATACCCTGAAAATATTACAACCAATTAGAATATAGAAAATGACTCGCACGAAAGCAGATATCATGTATGAGCGCATTGCCAAGCTATTCCAAGTACCATACCGAGGCAAAATTCAATCACTGTGCTGATCCAAACACTGAGGAAATCAAGGCAACCACAAAAGCCTAACAAATATTGAAGCTTACTGATTTTCGCATAAAACTACAGTTCAGCAAAAAGAAAACATCAAAACACCAGTTGAATGAATTAACAATGAATGTGAAGAGAACTTACCACAGGCTGCATTCTTTTTTTCCCAATTGGATAGTGATAGTGGTTTGGGGTTTTCATGGCATTGGATGTAAACCAGAGAATGAATCCAGACAAAAGATCCAGGAAGGAGTCCAGAGTTGATGCAATTACAGCCAAGGATCTGCTCTCCACAGATGCATAAACTTTTGCCAAGAATAGCACCAGATTAGCCACATTTGATACATGAATTGCCATCCTTTCACTCCTAGCTAGCTGCTTTAGTTCATCCTGATGCACCAAATAATCATACATGTTCCATATTTAGTAACTAAAACCCTCAAATTACCTAACTCCCATTAAACCCCCGCAAAAATAAAATAAAATAAAATCTTTGCTATTATTTTATTTCCCTCAGTAAATTAAAAAGACTCAGTTCTTCCTTAATGTAGAAATTAAGACAAGCAAATTGAACAAGTACCTCAGAGAGGTTCCCAGGCAAGCAGCCAGATTCATGAATGGTCTCCATCTCATTGAAACCTTCCAGAAGTCTTTCTTGCTTCTTGTAATACTCTGCAATTTTCCCATCCTCTGTCCCCAAAAATACACCAAAAACAGAACAAAGAAATGAAAGAATTAAAATTTCTCCTCCTATTCAATTCTGATTTCAAAACGAAGAAAAAAATAACTAGCTAATTAGATCCGAACCCAATAAATTTACATTAATATTACACATGCATGCATTGCAGGGGAAATAAAAATAAGAAAAACAGAAAGAAAAAGGGCAATGGAGTTAGTTGTATTACTGTGATGGCAGAGGCGGCGAGGATGATAACGATGATGTTTGGTATCGGTTTCTTGAGGCGGCAAACGGAACTGCTCAATATTGAGTCTCCAGGAGGAGGAGGATGAGGGGGTGCCTCCGCCGTGGGCGGCGGCGGGGGACGAGGATGAAAAACCCCTTACGTCATCATCGTCGTCGTCGGCGGCGGCGGCGGCGGGTGATGACGGATGAATAGGCGGAGAAAGCAGTTCCCTCCTTGAACTTTCCAGAGGATCGACGACATGATGATGATGCAATGCTGATGCGGGTTGCGGTGATGGGGTACGACTGCCGCTGCTCTTCATTGTTGTTCTCTGTCTCTGTCTTCTAAGCAGATGATCAGTACTTCAATTTGATCATCAGTTAACACCAAGAGATTGTTTGGTTGTTTAGCAAAAATTGAGGTTAATAGTACAAATCTTTTTTCACTCGAAGTGGAAGCAACATAATCTGTATGCACCGATAAAAAAGGAAGAAAACAAATTTCACCAAATTACGTCTCTTTTTGGTCCTCGTTTATCTGCAAAAACCTCTCCCCCTTTATATAACTGCTTTCCGGATGAAAAGTGGTGTACATATATATAATAATATATATAACTGACATTTGCCCCTTTACTTTAAAGTTTAAGTCTGTAATAGTTTAATCAATCAAAACCGCTAAAAAAAAAAAGAAAACTTTAACCGTAAAACATAGTATTAGATTAAAAGTTTGATTAAATTAAAGTCACATCACACGAATCATGAATGTGCTTGTAAATCTGGAACTTGAGAAGTAGTTTATCTCTTCTAAAAAAGCGACCACTTAAAGAATGTTGAACACTTTCAGATCGATAACGCAGAACCAGTTTCGTAACGGAAATTGCATTCTTGCATTTTAAATTAAACTGATGATATACAAGACCCGTTGAATTATCGCAAAAGGTTTTCAATGCAGAAACGAACAAACCAATTAGCAAATTGTGATGGTATATTGAATATATATTAGTATTACATAAACTTAATATTCAATACAATCGTTGTACTATGTAAGTCAGTATAACCGATAATAACATTTGGACATTTGGCGGAAAAAAAGTATGCTTAAAAATGAAAGAGTTTATATGTGTTTTTTTCCCGCATTCTTATTTTGGTCTAAAAAAAATATTTTCTATGTCGTAAAAGAATTATTCAATTTAAATTATCATTTTTAATATTATTTATTTATATTAAAAATAAAAATTCAAATTAAATAATTATTTTAAAACGAAAGAAATACTAATATACGTATTTCACACTTAACAGTAAAATGAATACAACGAACATGGTGTGAACTGGTTGGCCGTTGGTTTGATCCTCTTTTTAGCAGTAGTTGGATAAAAAGTGTTGATATTTGTTGCAGATTAGTAGTATTAGATTAGATGATGAATCATCTTAGCTCATACACCACTACATCCTCCAGTCCACGATACCCAGTTGAATGTATAGTTTTGAGAGTTTAATTAATTCGGGTAAATAGTACAAATCATCATCGTCACTATTACCTTTGGTCCCAAAAATGAAAAATAAAATCATCACCATTTTACCTGCTCCACCACCCACATTTTCTTTACTTGTATTTTTTCCACTCATCTCTACTTCACACTACCGTAGGGAAAATAACAAAAGACCGACATTTTGTTTCTTTATTTTTTGGCACAATACGAAGCTTCCCAAAAGAAACAAAAGTTAAGAACAAGATATCCCATCAGCAGGTACTTACATTCAATAGTAATGATAGAAGAATAAGAACAATCCCCGTGGAAATGACTCCTTTCATCTTTCATTAACTAGTAAAAGAAAGTTGTAGTAGTTAACTGATTGGGGTTCGGAATTCTCTTTCTCAAAAATGTCCAAATGAATTGCAGGTGAGCGATTTTCTGAACTGCAAAAAGTAATATTACTACTCTTACCCTTTGCAACAAAGAAAATTTATATTGTTATTACTGTTAATCTAAAACATTAGGATAAGTAAACACGACTGTTTACGGAGTTTTATTTTTTATTTTTTTGTCAGTGTTTTATCGCCAGGAGAAGAGCCCGCACTGTGAGTGAGGGAATCCCTTGAGTGGAGAAGAATCTAGCCTACAATGGTTGGCCTGTATTTGAAGGGTTTACTCGTTCATGACTTCATTCTAATGCTGAAAAGCCCAAATTAGCTCAAGGTTCATCATCGGCCTTCCTCTTATTTTAGTTCACTTTTTTTATTTATTGATGTATTTGATAATAACATTTTTTAAAAACTTATAAATGTTACTCCCTCTGTTCCAAAGTTATTGTCCAGTTTGAGATTTCACTTTTAGTATAATTTAAACTATAAATGAAAACCAAAACTGAACAATAATTATGGGACGGAGGGAGTATTTTTTTTTTTGGACTATGAAGATGTCACCATCACCATTGAGATATGGTCGATTATCAAATATTACACGTTTTTTTGCCTCATTACGTATCACTGTAAGAAATTATACCAGCAAGTAGCAGAATCTAGAATTCGAATTGGTTAGCAATTTTTTTTTATGAGCAAGGTAATTTTTTCCACGTTTTCAAAATTCATTTTATGGGATTAGATATGATGGTTAATACTATCTCTTCTAAATCGTTTAATAATGTCTTTGGCAAGCACGCTTCTCTAATTTTTGAGTTCAAGATAGAAAAATGGAAGTGGGCTTTGTCTTTCAGTGCTTTGAAGGTTTTTTGAATTGTTTTCTCAGATTATTTTAATAATAATTGTTCCATCCCATCATATCTTTTTACATTTTCAATATACTTTTTTACAGTCTCAATACAAAAAATACCTAAAAATACACACTAAAAAAACGAAACAAACATATAATGTTTCAAAGATTTGTGAGTAAAATTCAAGGTCCTTCCTCTATTTTCTGCCGGAATGTGAGGGCTTTTTAGTCAATTTGTTCCATGACTTTCAAGTCCGGAGTGATTTATGATATTTCCAAAAGTACAAGGATCCTTTTGATTTTGGAAGAAACCTCGGGGTGTTTTTGATAATTGGCCAAAAAGAGAAGAGAAAATAAAACAAATACAGCGAGCTCCATTTGCCTCAAACTCCGAAAGAAAAAGAACAAAAAAGAAGCAGAAAAAAACCCACAGAATCAAATTTGGGTAAACTCACTTAGTCGGTCTCAAAGACACACTTGGGGGAAGGAGAAAAGAGAGGGGGGGAATTATATAATAGTTACTATTTTTTTTTTCTGGAATATCCTGTCTGTAACTGCGTTCAAGCTCAAATCTGCACATATTATTTCTTTCATTTCTCCCAGAGAGCTGCTAGGGTTTGTCATTCCTACTCAAGAAGATGGTCAGTATTTTGCTGTTAGTTTTTATATTTTTTTTTCTTGTTTTTTGCATCATATCATGTTTTTAATGCTTTTTTATCCATTCATTTTGTGATCCTGCTGCTGAATTGTGGACTACTATGCTTCGATTGTTGATGTTGTAGCCCACCTAATTATTTTTAGTTACATGTTTATCCCAATCACCTTCTTTTCAGTTGCCCCTTTTCAAGGTTTTGTGGTTTGTGCTGAGTTCGTGAAATCTCGCTGATGACTTAATAGTTATATACTTATTTTGGAAATAGTAGCCCTTTTGAAATTTGCTGTATAGTAGGATGGGATTTGAGGTGTACTTTGTGTCAATTGGTCGAGACTTGGAAGTTTTTCTATAATTTCCTTTTCACCAGATGGACCTGACACTTCTTTACGAGTCTCAACTTTTTATCGTACCGTCTGCATGTTTGGCGGAAGATAAACTGCTGGTTTCTTTTTGAGTCAATTACTGCAATTGATTTTTTTCCCTTACATTCCGCGACACAAATTGCTACCCTAGGTTACTGGGTTTGTCTCTGATTTTTGTTATAAAACTATGACCATCCAATTTATGTTACAGAACAAATTGGGTAGAGGCCATCGAGACAAGGTTCAGCAATTCATGACCATTACTGGGGCCAGGTACTTCACTTGTTAGCTTAAGTAGTTGTTGCTGTTTAAGTATGGCTTTGTAGGGTTTTTACCCTTCATCTTCAGTGTTTGTTCTTGAGTCGTTTGGATTCCAAGTAGTGATTTTTTTACGATGATTATCACTTTATATCCAAAAATTTTTGTAATGTTTTGTTTCATTTTACATTGATCTCTTTTTTCTTGTTTAAAATTCAGCGAAAAAATTGCCATTCACTCATTGAAGACCAGTGATTGGAATCTTGAAGGAGCGTTCGATGTATTCTACAGTCAGCCTCAAATTAAGACGTACACTGATACCAGGCGCATGGAAGAGCTTTACAACAGATACAAAGGTTAATTTGAGATACCTCTGATTTAATTTGTAAATGCTGATAGTTTTCCATATATAAATTTATATACGTAATCAAGAAGCATTCCCTGCCAACCATCCGGATCTTGAAGCGGTTTGTTAAAAGAGTATCACCATTCTATCTGAACCTTTTGATTTTTTCATGCTTTGCAGATCGGTATGCTGATATGATTATGGCTGATGGGATCACTCTTTTGTGCAATGATCTTCAGGTATTTTGGCCATGATCCACAAGTTCATTATATCTAAGGCAATGCATGATGGGGAAGGTTTAAAGCATTCTCCATAAATCTTGTTTTATGAAATTTTGTTTGTGCATTCACATTTCCATAAGTTGCTGCTGATTTTGTAACAAGCAGTTTTGTTGTTATTGCAGGTTGATCATCAGGATATTGTTTTGGTAAGTATTCATATTCAGGTGCTTAATCTCCGGCTTTCAACTATTTTTGTTTGTTAGAAATGGACTTATTAAGGCATTGCTTGAGAAAAGTAATGATCTGAGAAAATGCCCTGTTTTTACCTCTTTGTGCTTGGTTGCTGATACAATGTGTGTTGGTCAGGGGTTAGTTATTGTTTTTGGTCTCAACATTTGTTCAGTTTAGGCTGACTCGGCTTTCTCTGGTAATTCAGTTGGTTCTTTCATGGCATATGAAGGCTGCTACCATGTGCGAGTTTTCAAAGCAGGAGTTCATTGGTGGATTGCAGTCCCTAGGGTGTGTTTAAAGTCAATCTATCCAGTCTCTCTATACTATTTTCTGTTTCTAATATTTGCTTACGGTTATTAATACATTTTAAATTTAATTGCAGGGTAGATTCATTGGAAAAATTAAGAGAAAAATTGCCATTTATGCGCTCTGAGTTGAAAGACGAACGTAGGTGGTCAGATGGACTACTCTTCCTTAACTCTAATCAACTTTTGCTTAGTGATATGTTTAGTGTACATGACTGTTGTTGCTTTCTAATTCGATGTGGCCCTATTTCTTCATCTCGTGCTTGCGATTTAATGATATTACGTGTAGGGTGGTTCGCAAACAAAGTTATTGGCACTTGAATCAGTTTTGCTTTTATGTTGGTAATGAATTCTAAAATTGCCTGGATCTTTTGGACTTGGTTTCTAATGACTTTTGGTAATTGGTTATCTGCAGAAAAGTTCCGGGAGATCTATAACTTTGCTTTTGGCTGGGCCAAAGAAAAGGTATTTCTTCAATTTGCTTGGGAAATGGTCATGAAAGTTCTGTTCTTGTGCTCTCGATAAACTTTAATTTACATTTTTCTTCTCTTCAACATATCTTTTAGTTCCTTTTTAATATTGCTTTCAGTTCATAGACTTCTCCTCTATTGCAGGGTCAAAAATCTTTGGCTTTAGATACTGCTATTGGGATGTGGCAGTTGCTTTTTGCTGAAAAGCAATGGCCATTAGTTGATCATTGGTGCCAGTTCTTGCAGGTATACTTTTCTGTGTCAACAATTTCATAGAGATTGCTGATGTCGCTCAGATTTTTAGTCACTTTTGGAAAGGATATTATCATTTTTCCCTTTGAATTGTACGGTTCCAATCTTCAAGTAAATAGTTCCTATGAGATGTTTTTATAGCAAATTTGGTTTTGGTGTGCCCAACTTTATATTGCCATCTGTCTCAGGCTCGGCATAACAAAGCAATCTCCAGGGACACTTGGTCTCAACTTCTGGAATTTGCCAAGGTAATCATCAACAACATCTTCGTTTGTTTTCTGAAAGTTGTGAACCTGCAGGTGTTCTCCCATTGGTCTACTACCATCTTAGGCTGCTGCCCTTAGTTTATGCAAATCAAGCTTTATTGCATGTTAAAATTTAATGGGTAGGAGTATAGTAGTAATGTGTGACTACTGAATTGATTCCAGTTTCTTGTTTGCCATACTGCAGACCATTGACCCTGCGCTCGCGAACTATGATGCTGAAGGTGCCTGGCCATACCTCATTGATGAATTTGTTGAATATTTGCTTGAAAATGGCATAATTCAAAAGAATCAGTACAATGATTGGACCAGCCAGAAGTGTTGATTAAATCGCTACTGGTTTTTCAGATTTGAAGGGTGATATTTAGTCTTTCATCTTTGATTTCAGATGAAAGAAGTGCTGTTTGATTGATGAACATTTCTGTGTTTACTTTGGGGAAAAAAAAGGGAGTAGTTTATGTTTGTGCCCTCTTCTTTATCTCAGTATAAAATGAAAATTTGGGAACTGTTAATAAATTGTTGGAATATTTACTCTGATGTTTATTAGGTTAGGCACGATTTTCATTTTGAATTTGATTTTCTCGAAGCTAGACTTTTCTCGGAATGAGAAGCAATGCCTGAAGCACTGTGACAAATCTCCAAAGCTTAAGCCTCAACTTATTTTAAGTTTGACTGTAAATAGTAGATGTCATGGTTTGAACTGCATACAAGATTTATTGGCTTCTTGTTTGTTCATTGCCCGGCAAGAGGACCATTTTCTGTAGGGCGTCTAGGCTAGAAAGCAAGGATTCAATCAGGAAAATCCATCATACTCTATACAACTACAAAAATTTAATCTACAACTGTTACAATGCTACACAACAAGAATAATTGAATAAGCCATCTTACAAGTGGAAAGGCCTAGAGGGAGACTTACAACAAGAAGAAAAAGCTAATCCCACTGAGGCTCTTGCAGAAATTTAAATGCTCTATGGTTGTCACATGAACAAAGAACGCCCTAAAAGAACACGGATCTTGGTAGTCGAATAGCACGCCTGGATTTCATCACTTTTGCTCTATATCTCTCTATATTAGATTGCACTCAGAATAGAATACGCTTTTGCCAATTTATTATACTCTTCAACTATCAAAAAAACCTGGACCAGCCTTGGCGAGAAGTTCCTTCCCAGCATCCTTTCCCATTGAGACCATGTCTTCAAATGCATATGGGCCTTTCCTAGAGGTTTCAAGTACTGCACGCAAGGGAAAATAACAGAAGGTACAGAATGTCAAAGATTGATGGATATAACAACGTGGATAGCAAGTCGAAAATAAAATGGTGATGAGATTCAACCTCGGGTTCCATCTGGGGAAGCCACTAGTCCTCTGAAAAAGCAGTTTCCATCCTCATCTCGTGATGCATACCCAGCGATAGGAGTACGACAAGAGCCATCAAGTGTTTCCAGAAAAGCCCTCTCGCATGCAACAGCCAATCTTGTCTCCTCATGGTTCAATGAGGCTAAGTAATTTGCCTGCAATATAATTGATAGTGTGAAACAAAGGTCCCAGACTACTATGCATTCACCTTTAGTCCACCATACATGTTTGTATACAACGAGATGAATATACATCTGGAACTTCTCCCGTCTTAAAGGGGGGAACAAATACACATACCATCTTGTCATCATCGCTTCTACATGCAATGCCAATGGCTCCTTGAGCAACAGCTGGAAGCATATCATCAATAGAAAGAATTGAAGTTACATTTTCAGTCATACTCAGACGTTTTAGGCCGGCTAATGCCAACAATGTAGCTTGCACAACTCCTTCGTTTAGTTTTTTTAACCTAGTCTGAACATTCCCCCGAAAGTTTTCAAGCACCTGAAGAGTAAATAGCAATGAGGATTGAGGAGAAACATCAAAATACAGTTACATACGTTCGACAAGATAGCAAAAGGAATCATCAACAAGATAGAGGATTCAACAACCAACTCCATCACTTGATAAAGAAATGAACATAAAGTGTCTGACCAATCAAAACATACAACAAAAGAAAGTATGCCTAAAAGAAACAACTAATTACACATTTCTACTCCTTTACAGTTCTCAAGAGTGTAAAATTGGGCATAATATCTGCTCATCTTATCATGGGAAAAGTTACAAGCATCAGCTTTGAGATAAGTTATTTGCTAACCTTAAGTGAAGGATAACGATGAAGGATTTGTGATTTCCTCCTCAGGGAAGCGGTGCCAATTGTCGCTCCTGCAGGCAGATCGGCCAGTGAAGTAGCAGATAGAGAAATAAAAGCATCCCGCACATCTTCACGGGGAAGATTGCAAGGCAAAATGGTTTTTTCTGGGAGATATGTGGGAACATCTTTCATTGAGTGAACAGCAATATCGATGTCTGCATTAAGAAGAGCCTCATCTATTTCTTTAGTGAACAAGCCCTTCCCACCAATGTCTGCCAGAGGCTGGCTTAATATTTTGTCACCTGTCGTTTTTATGATGACAATCTGAATAGCCCCTTCCTCGGCCAACTCGGGATGAGAAGCTATTAGTTTATCCCGTGTCTCATGAGCTTGTGCAAGAGCAAGTGGACTGTCCTACACAATAATGAAGACTCGCATATCTGAAACATAAGAGAGTCTAGGAAAAGGGCTTTGAAAGATGGTAGAAACACAAGACACAACCGAAAAACTGGAAATTTCACGGAACTTCATATTGGATTTCCATATAAATAACAAAGACGAATTCTGCCGAGGATGCGATAAATGGCAAAGAACGGGCAGATGGTCCTTCAACATCAAAACTTTACTTATGTTTTCATTCATTCATTTTTGGAATTTCACTGGGCACATTAAATGTAGGCATGATCTAAAAGACAGGCTATTCCATTAACCATTCTAGAAGAACACTGAAAAGCCTAATTTGGAATTTGTACAAACAAGACTACCAAAACCTTCCCCTCCTTGATTGCTAAATCTCACAAGAAGAACCAGTTCAGTTCACGGAGCCAAACAGCATGAATTTATACAGAAATTTGGCTAAGTATTAAAGTTAAGAGTTTATAAGTTTCACAGAAAAAGATCACCCAGAACAACTATGGTAAAGACCAAACCCAATCACTCAACCCATCCTTTCTTCAACCAATCGTATTCGTCAAAAGAATCAGTAATATCCAGATAAAGGAAATCTCAATCATAAACAATAATCCTTATACAGCATCAGCTGCAGTTTAAAACACACGCACACCAAATAAGTAAACCCAAAAGAGCTTAAGGACATAATTCTCACATAAAACTGCAATATTGAAACCATTACAGAAATCCCAGAGGGCAAAAGTAACGAACAACAACATACAGTAGTAGTACCAAGGTAAAAAGCCCATTTACATATGCAGCTAACAAACAAATAAGAGGGAGAACTCCTACATCAAATTGCAATCTCTATCCTAAAACATAAAAGCCCAGAAGCCAAAAATTATGCTAAAATAACAACAAAAAAAGTGTTAGTAATACCTTCCTCTGGTCCCAATCCTAATAACAGCAGTCTTAGTCCGTTGAAGTTGCTGTTCCACAGCAACCGAAGCCCGAGTGACGAAAAGTCTCCTGCCCCCTTGATTTGGAACAAAAGATCTTTTACTGTGGCAAGGCAGAGCTGACCCTTTACTGAAAACTGAAGGAGGAGTCGAAGTTCTTGGAACAGAAAGAAATGGCATTTGATTTAGAGTGGAACAGGACACCGTCTCCATTCTTCCAACCTGCGATTATTGGGAAAGGGGTCTGAAGAGATTAGGTGTTTGAAGGAAGTGAAAACATGAAGAAATGGGGGATTTTGGGTTTGGCCTTTTGGGTAGAATGGTTAGACAACTTATCCTTCCATGTCACCCATTTGAAAAACCTTAAAAGTTTGTTATGTGGACCCGTCACCATCTGTTTGGCCAGTCATCGGTTGCCACATCATTTTCTTAACAGAACAGTGGAATAAAATAACTGAATCATTATTTAGTTAATGTTGCAAAACTAGAGTCTATATATAATGATCTAATGTAAAAATAACTAATAATTTATTTAGTGATGATATTTTATTTACTTCTCTGTTAGAGACTATATTCTCTGTTAGAGAATATATCTATAGTATATTATATTAAGAGAGAAACTAGAGAGAGAAAACAAAAAATAATTCTAAAGGTGCCACATAGGATAAAATCATATGTGTCATTTTTCTAATGGTTGAGTCAAAAAATATTTACCACAATTATACTAATAGTCCTTCAAATTTTATGTAAATAAAGTTTTATCAAATGGCATTTAAAACTATAGTTTAAAATAGAAAAATAAAAATTAATTAAATTTAATGGACGGATTAATGAACATTAATGCACCAGAATTATTCCCTCCCCAAAAGAATCCTCAAAGTTACTACTGGACTCACAATTTAATTAATCTCTTTCCAAAAAAAATCTCCCTCCCAATCATGTAAATTAATAGACTACAATTCAAAAAAAAAAAATACTAATCATTCAACATTAATGTTATCTTTAAAATCTTCTCCCAAAAACATGACCATGTATTTTTCGCCAATAAAAAAGAAAAAAAAAGGTACAAAACTTGCCTTCAATTATTACTAAAAGGATGGAATTTAACTATAATTAAGTGTTATTTTTTGAATTTCAAACCAATGCATTTATTTGTGTAATATCATATATACCCAAATAAATATAATCTTTCCTTAATAATATCTCAAAAATTATTATAAACTTTATCTTTATCACTGAAATTTTGGATAATCAATTATCAAAAATCCCAATTTATCTCTATTTATACATGCCACACAAATCATGAGTATGTTCCACTGCTGCAAAAATTTCCCCCTCCCCAAAACAACCCGAAATCCAAAGATGAAAGGGCAAAAATTTTAGCCCTACAGTTGGTTTGTTGTTCTGAAAGTGATGAAATAATAGTGAATGGATCGTGTGGCATGGGAGGTAATAGTTAATTAAGGTTATATATGATTTTTTTTTTCCGTATGTTCTTCTGCAAAATGATGTTTGAGGGTTCTTTTTCACACGTTACTAAATTTATGTTTTTTTACCCATAATTTCATAATTTCATTAATTATTATTTTCTATTATCATAGCAAAAAGGGATTAAAGGGCAAAAATTTTAACTCTACAGTTGGTTTGTTCCTCTAAAATACTAAATATTGGGCCAAACAATACCATAAAATCTTTAATTACAACAAAAGAACCATAAAAATTTTAAACTTTATACTTCAATCACACATAATCTACCATCTACTATTGATAATTATTTCATTATGTATTTTACGCGTACGATCATTTTATCTTTTCATTCAATATGTAACATTAATACAATCTTATTTATTTTACTCTGCTTATGAGTGTTATTGTTCAGTTCTTCTCCTTCAATAAAAATCAAGTGAATACTTGCATTTCAAATGATATGCATTATTTTATCTTTACAATTACGCCTTTATTTAATTTTATTTGTGTAATATATCTTAATTTGGACTCCAAATACATTTTACACTTTTTATATTTTTTTTGTTGATTTTTTATAATGCATATGAATAAATCCCGCGCATACCGCGGGTTTAACATCTAGTTATTATAATATAATAGCAAACCTTATGAGATTTAAAAAGAAGAAAAATAAGTAAGCATAAGGAGTAGGAGGAAAGAAGGAGAGAAAGGGAAAAATTATCACTTTTTGTGTGTCTTTCTCTCCTTTGAAACTCATGTATTTATAGGAGAAAATGTGGAGATAGCATGACTCCATTTTCCTGAGCCTATATCATAGCATTTGACCTTTTGGTCATTTACCTTTTTACAACACTCCCCCTTAAATGACCAAATAAATTACACCTATAACACTGCATCGTTAAAAACTTTGCAAAATAAAAACTCAGTGGGAAAAAAGATTTTAGCGAAGGGAAAAAAAGTGCAGTGCATAATTATCTCCCCCTGATTATAACATCGATAATTCTTCACATGCTGTGTAAATGACGCATTCCGATGTTATGAACATGTTTTCTGAAAAGTACTGTAGGAAGTGACTTTGTAAAAAGATCAGCTGAATTCTCGCTGGAAATAACATATTGAATATCAATATCATTATTCTTCATGAGCTCTTTGGTATATGCAAAGAATTTTAGAGGTATATGCTTGGTCCGATCATTCTTGATATATCCTTCCTCCAGTTGATGAATACAAGCTGCATTATCTTCATATAGAATGGTTGGATTTTTCTTGACTGGAAGACCACAAGACGTCTTGATGTGTTGTGTCATTGACATGAGCCATACACTTTCTCTACTTGCTTCATGTAATGTAATAATTTCTGCATGATTCGAAGAAGTAGATACTGTTGTTTGTTTCAAGGAACGCCAAGAAATTGCAGTTCCTCCACATGTGAACACATAACCAGTCTGATATTTTTCATGGTGAGGATCAGATAAATACCCTGCATCTGCATAACCAACTAACTCTTGTTTCGAATTGTTAGAGTAAAACAAACCCAAATCAATACTTCCTCGAAGATAACGAAATATATGCTTGATTCCGTTCCAGCGTCTTTTGGTAGGGGATGAGCTATGTCTTGCTAATAAATTAACTGCAAAAGAAATATCAGGTCTAGTACAATTAGCAAGATACATAAGAGCTCCAATTGCACTCAAATATGGTACCTCAGGACCAAGAATTTCTTCATCATCTTTAGCTGGACGAAATGGATCCTTTTCATCATTTAGTGTTCTGACAACCACTAGAGTACTTAAAGAATTTGCTTTATCCATGTTAAAGCGTTTTAAGATCTTTTCTGTATAATTTGATTGATGCACAAATATTCCATTATGCATATGTTCAAATTTTAAACCAAGATAATACTTAGTTTTTCCAAGATCTTTCATTTCAAATTCTTTCTTTAAGTACGCAACAACTTCATCAATTTCTCTATGTGTTCCAATGATGTTCAAATCATCAACATAGACAGCTATGATAACAAATCCAAATGTTGTTTTCTTAATAAAAACGCATGGACAAATAACATTATTGATATATCCCTTATTTATCAAATAATCGCTTAAACGATTATATTACATGCGTCCAGATTGCTTTAACCCATATAACGATCTTTGGAGTTTGATCGAATACATTTATTTGGGTTTTGAACTTGAAGTTTCTGGCATCTTAAATCCTTCTGGGATTTTCATATAAATATCACTGTCAAGTAACCCATATAGATAAGCAGTAACAACATCCATAAGACACATTTCTAATTTGTTAGAAACTGCAAGACTGATTAAAAACCTGAATGTAATTGCATCCATCACAGGAGAATATGTTTCCTCATAATTAATTCCAGGTCTTTGAGAAAAACCTTGGGCTACAAGTCTAGCCTTATATATGGTAATCTCATTTTTCTCATTTCGTTTTCGTACAAAAACCCATTTGTATCCTACAGGCTTTACGTTTTCAGGAGTGAGGATAATAGGTCCGAAAACTTTTCGCTTGTTAAGCGAATTCAATTCAGCTTGCATAGCATCTTTCCATTTTAACCAGTCATGTCTATTTTGACATTCTTTAACTGATTTTGGTTCAGGATCATCATTTCCATCCATAATTTCACATGCTACAGCATACGAGAAAATCCCATCATTTTCTTCGATTTCATCTCTATTCCACAGTATCCCCATATTATTATAATTGATTGAGATTTCTTTTTTCATCTCCTTTATTCTTCTTGGGGAATTTCTTTGCCCTGTGTTTCTTCAGAAATAGTTTCTTTTGTATTGTCTTTATTTTCTGTTCCCTTTTTACTTCGGGGATTTTTATCTTTTGAACCAATCGGTCTTCTACGCTTCAAACGTGGTTTAGACTCTTGAGAGACTTTATCCTCAATTTTCAGCTTTGGGATTTCAATCCGAGCAGGAGCATTAGCTGCTGGTATATGTGATTTAGTCACTCCTTTTGAATCCACAAAAGCATCTGGCAATTGATTCGTAATTACTTGTAAATGTACAATCTTTTGTACTTCTGCTTCGCGTTGCTTTGTGCGAGGATCAAGATACAATAATGATGGTTCATTCCATGCAATATTCTTAATTACTTCTTTTCTTTCTCCCCCTAATGTTGGGAAAATAGTTTCATTAAACTGACAGTCAGCAAAACGTGCTGTGAAAACATCGCCAGTCAAAGGCTCAAAATATTTAATAATAGAGGGTGATTCAAACCCAACATATATTCCCAATCTTCTTTGAAGACCCATTTTGGTATGCTGTGGTGGTGCAATGGGTACATATACAGCACAACCAAATGCTCTAAGATGTGAAATGTTTGGTTCACGTCCAAATGCCAATTGCAATGGGGAGTATTTGTGATCCACACTAGGTCTTATACGAATCAATGAAGAAGCATGTAATATTGCATGACCCCAAACTGAAACAGGTAGCTTTGTTCTCATAATTAATGGTCTAGCAATTAACTGTAGTCTTTTAATCAACGATTCTGCCAAACCGTTTTGTGTATGTACATGAGCAACAGGATACTCGACAATAATTCCAGTAGACATACAGTAATCATTAAATGCCTGAGACGTAAATTCACCAGCATTGTCAAGTCTAACCCTTTTGATTGGATGATCAGGGAATTGAGCTCGTAATTTAATAATTTATGCAAGAAATTTTGCAAAGGCAACATTACGAGTTGACAATAAACATACATGAGACCAT